TTTCCCGCCCCGCACTTGTCAATTTCTAGTCAATTCATGTCATGATTGGATTTTGACTTCCCCAGCGCGGCATTTGACTTACGGCATTCTTTGAAATCGAAAATAATGCACAATTACATGCTCCATAAGACTCCGCCGACCCGCATCCGGACAAAAAATTTCCCGCCCCGCACTTGTCAATTTCTATAGTCAATTCATGTCATAATTGGATTTTGACTTCCCCAGCGCGGCATTTGACTTACGGCATTCCTTGAAATCGAAAATAATGCACAATTTCATACTCCATAAGACTTCGCCGACCCGCATCCTGACAAAAAATTTCCCGCCCCGCACTTGTCAATTTCTAGTCAATTCATGTCATGATTGGATTTTGACTTCCCCAGCGCGGCATTTGACTTACGGCATTCCTTGAAATCGAAAATAATGCACAATTTCATACTCCATAAGACTTCGCCGACCCGCATCCTGACAAAAAATTTCCCGCCCCGCACTTGTCAATTTCTAGTCAATTCATGTCATGATTGGATTTTGACTTCCCCAGCGCGGCATTTGACTTACGGCATTCCTTGAAATCGAAAATAATGCACAATTACATACTCCATAAGACTCGCCGACCCGCATCCTGACAAAAAATTTCCCGCCCCGCACTTGTCAATTTCTAGTCAATTCATGTCATGATTGGATTTTGACTTCCCCAGCGCGGCATTTGACTTACGGCATTCTTTGAAATTTAAAATAATGCACAATTACATGCTCCATAAGACTCCGCCGACCCGCATCCTGACAAAAAATTTCCCGCCCCGCACTTGTCAATTTCTAGTCAATTCATGTCATAATTGGATTTTGACTTCCCCAGCGCGGCATTTGACTTACGGCATTCTTTGAAATTTAAAATAATGCACAATTACATGCTCCATAAGACTCCGCCGACCCGCATCCTGACAAAAAATTTCCCGCCCCGCACTTGTCAATTTCTAGTCAATTCATGTCATGATTGGATTTTGACTTCCCCAGCGCGGCATTTCACTTACGGCATTCCTTGAAATCGAAAATAATGCACAATTCATACTCCATAAGACTTCGCCGACCCGCATCCTGACAAAAAATTTCCCGCCCCGCACTTGTCAATTTCTAGTCAATTCATGTCATGATTGGATTTTGACTTCCCCAGCGCGGCATTTGACTTACGGCATTCTTTGAAATTTAAAATAATGCACAATTACATGCTCCATAAGACTCCGCCGACCCGCATCCGGACAAAAAATTTCCCGCCCCGCACTTGTCAATTTCTAGTCAATTCATGTCATAATTGGATTTTGACTTCCCCAGCGCGGCATTTGACTTACGGCATTCTTTGAAATTTAAAATAATGCACAATTACATGCTCCATAAGACTCCGCCGACCCGCATCCGGACAAAAAATTTCCCGCCCCGCACTTGTCAATTTCTAGTCAATTCATGTCATGATTGGATTTTGACCTCCCCAGCGCGGCATTTCACTTACGGCATTCCTTGAAATCGAAAATAATGCACAATTTCATACTCCATAAGACTTCGCCGACCCGCATCCTCACAAAAAATTTCCCGCCCCGCACTTGTCAATTTCTAGTCAATTTCTGTCATGATTGGATTTTGACTTCCCCAGCGCGGCATTTGACTTACGGCATTCCTTGAAATCGAAAATAAAGCACAATTACATGCTCCATAAGACTCCGCCGACCAGCATCCTGACAAAAATTTCCCGCCCCGCACTTGTCAATTTCTAGTCAATTCATGTCAAAATTGGATTTTGACTTCCCCAGCGCGGCATTTCACTTACGGCATTCCTTGAAATCGAAAATAATGCACAATTTCATACTCCATAAGACTTCGCCGACCCGCATCCTGACAAAAAATTTCCCGCCCCGCACTTGTCAATTTCTATAGTCAATTTCTGTCATGATTGGATTTTGACTTCCCCAGCGCGGCATTTGACTTACGGCATTCTTTGAAATCGAAAATAATGCACAATTACATGCTCCATAAGCCTCCGCCGAGCAGCATCCTGACAAAAATTTCCCGCCCCGCACTTGTCAATTTCTAGTCAATTCATGTCATAATTGGATTTTGACTTCCCCAGCGCGGCATTTGACTTACGGCATTCTTTGAAATTTAAAATAATGCACAATTACATGCTCCATAAGACTACGCCGACCCGCATCCGGACAAAAAATTTCCCGCCCCGCACTTGTCAATTTCTAGTCAATTCATGTCATGATTGGATTTTGACTTCCCCAGCGCGGCATTTGACTTACGGCATTCTTTGAAATCGAAAATAATGCACAATTACATGCTCCATAAGACTCCGCCGACCCGCATCCGGACAAAAAATTTCCTGCCCAGGACTTGTATTTTTACAACGACAATTTGTACTCATCAGATTATAAATATTTATATGAGCAGAAGTTACGGAATCACTTGAAATAATAATGCGCAATGGTACCGTTAAGCACGTAGCGGTTGTTTTCTTCCTATCTTACAATACTTTTTTACTCCTTCAGTCTTTTCCTTTCCTCTTTTTTTCCCCATTCAACCACAAACCACCATGTGAACCAATCCTCTTCGTCGTCCTGAAGAAGACCCTTTGAGGTCGAAACGTTGACAAAAAGGCCTAATCCGGACCCCTTCAAGTCTACAAGTGAGCCCTTATCCTTTCACTTTTCCTAATATATATCCTCACCGCACAATTTACATATCAAAGAAATAAATGTGCTGATTTGGCGACCAGACATGCTCCTTTGCAATATTTGTAAAATTCGACAAAACAAATGTTGCATATAAAGGCCTGGATTGTATCATTTTTAATTTTGCATAATTAACAAACCTTAACAATAATTTGCAGACCATAACCTTTTACGAGGTCACGTTAAAATAGTCCATAGTGAGGAGCGACCACATGTCTGTGCCATTTGCGGACAAGCTTTCAAACTGAAGACTCACCTAGATCGACATGAACGTGGACACGCTAATCCCAATTGGAAACCAAGACCGAATTGTAAGCCTAAAACGTTTACTGCACCGAAGAAAGAGACAAAGAATCAAGAAACGGATCTGCCTCCAGAGCCATCGTCGTCAGCGTCGTGTGAAATGATGGACCACAGTTTGAAAGAAGAAAATGATAATAATGCAAACCCAACCTAGTTAATTTTATGAAATAGTTTATTAATCAAATCGACCCTGCAGTAAAAAAAATAGTATTCTATTATTAACAAAATTTCCCATTAGTTACAAAATTTCTACTTTTATAGAAACAGTTTCTCTGTAAGACGGGAAATAATCTTATGAAATTCTATATCAGATCAATCCTTACTGGAGGATTATTGATGTGAAATTCTTGTAAATGTTGCCCTTGGGAAAAGTGCTTAATACAGTCTGAATTTAAGTTGACTTTACTAAATTCAAATTATAAATAGTAAGTTTCACTCTGCATTTAGTATACCTTAGAGGACAACCCTTCACCGACAGAATCACCGATCTTGATGCCCTTTGGATATGTTGTAGTCCTAGGTGAGTCTAGCAAAAGTGAAGAAGGATTTCATTCCATGGCCCCATTTGCGCCCCCCACACCCACTCAAATTTGCGAAAATACCCTGTTTTCGTTCATTCAAAAAATCACCAAAAATCCAATTTTGATCGGATTTTCATAATTTAAGCGTTTTTGTGATCTTAGATAGTTGCTTTATCATATTCAATAGCAAACTCAATTTTTTTGAAATTTTGATTTTTTCGAAGGCATGGATATTTTCGAAAATACTCACAAAATTAAAAAAATTGAGTTTGCTATTGAATATGATAAAGCAACTATCTAAGATGACAAAAACGCTTAAATTATGAAAATCCGATCAAAATAGGATTTTTGGTGATTTTTTGAATGAACGAAAACGCTATTTTCGTACCTTTGAGTGGGTGTGGCGGGCGCAAATGGGGCCATGGAATGAAATCCTTTTTCACTTTTGCTAGACTCACCTAGGACTACAACATATCCAAAGGGCATCAAGATCGGTGATTCTGTCGGTGAAGGGTTGTCCTCCTAAGTTTAATTGTCCCAATCTAATTGTCCTAAGCTATTAATTAATTAATATAGAATTCAGAGTGTACTTATTTTTCAAAGGGGTAGCATTATTTAACGGTACACATCACCTCGTTATCATTATATACTTAACATTTTCGTACAAAAATACTTTGTAACCGATTTATATTTGAAAAAACATGTGAAATTAAAACATTTATTACTGTTATTTATCAAGTATTACATACGTATACTAGGTGTATGTACATACATACATACACTTAATGGTCATGAAATCAAATTTTATGTACTTATTTACATACATTGCTACATATGTACATAAGTAAGTTTAAGTTTTTTTCCCTGTAAGTTTTCCCATTTTGGCGTTACTTGAAACTTTAAAACTCTTCAAAAACTATTGCATATTTCGAGGTCTTAAACCTACTTATTTTTGTCAATATTTGAATATACTAATTCTTAAAGTAACACACCCGTCCACCTGAAAATCGTATAAGTTGATGATATTTACAAAGTATTTTATTTGAGAACTAATTTCCGAATTTGTTCGAAACAATCATATATATGTAATTTTATTAGAAATAACTAATTTCTGGTAAAAAAATACATTTTGAACTATTTATTAAGTAACAAGACGTTTGAGGCATGGTTGTCTCCGCGTAATTTGTTACATATTGAGTTTTACACAATTGTACTTGACAAAGTAAGGATTCTCTACACATATAAAAGTTTAGAAATATACAATTATTTAGTATTATTCTTGAAAATTCTTAATTCTAGTATTGTAGTCCTCCCGAAGGAGGACTACAAATATTTAGTACTCGTATACATATCGCTTGAATCTATGTATGTTTCAGCAATTTGAGTATTTCGAACAATCCAATTAAACATCCTACACACATTTCTCAGGGAAATTTTCTCTACACACCTTTAGCTACGATCTTCCCCCCACGGTTTTCCCCCCTTCAATAGTAAACACATCATAGCAAAACCAAGCCCTCTTCCCCGACCCGAAGACATAGTTTTCCCCCTCATTTTCAACATCAAACCCGTACTGAGCAAGGACTCCGTTCCGAATTTCTTGTCGAACCGCGTCCTGCCCGATTTTATCCAATTTCGAAAATTCATCTTGGTTAATCAAATTTTCGTACATTTTGTACATTATGGGAGCCATGGCTTCAAACTCTTCGGCACTGTATTGACAGCGATTGTGGCACAATTCTGAGCGCCCTACCACCAATTCATCTCTGTTCAAGATCTCCTCGATTTCCGTCATTTGAACCGCAATACTTTTTTGCCGCTTTAAAAATTGTTCTTCTCGCGAAATTGAGATCGGTTTGATGCCCATAACAGAAAGATAAAATGCACCCCAAGGTTTTAACAGGTATTCAAAGTTTTTGCACACCGTCTCAATGTCCGTAACCCATTGAAGCGTCATGTTGGACAGGATTAGGTCCACCTGTCCGGCGAGTCGGGTTAATTCGGGGGCAAGTTGATACCACGGCTGGGAAATGTCTTGACACACGTAGCTGATTGTTTCCGGAGTGGGGTTGTTATTTTCGGAAAACGTGACCATATTCGTGTCATTATCGATGCCGATGATGATGTCGTGCGGGATTAATTGGGCTATGAGACGAGTCAGATCTCCCGATCCGCAACCAATGTCCAGAATTACGGAGAATTTCCTGTGTAGATAAAATTACAGTGAGTTTATAAAAATCCGTTAAAAATTTATACCAAAAATCCTAAAACTCCTATAGATCAAAAAGCATACTTCTAAAAGAACTTCCATACGTTACTGCATCAAAAACGTCAATTTTTACATCACCCACTCGCTCTTTCGCTATCCAACACATGTTTGGATTAACAGGAATACGATAAATGTGCTACCCAACTTTTGATAACGTAATATATGGACGTTCCCTAATTGAACTCACAAAGATTTTTTCACAGAAAACAACGCATTATTTTAAAAAATTAGAAATTTGTCACCTCTACATTTTTTTAAAACAAAGTGCACCCTAAATAACGTTGGAAATTTTACACAACTGTATTTAGCCCATATTCCCATAAATTTTAACACGGGAATGTTACTACAACAACAGATTCAAATTCCTTTATTTCTGTATTTACCTTTGTCGGAAAATCGGATAAAATTTGTCCAATTAATTGTTTGCCCTCTAAAAACTGCATTGTATTACTCTGATCGTACCCCACCGATTGAATATTAATCTTGGCTCGCTAAATTTATCTTTGGCGATGTGATGCTCACTAATCTAATTAGGCGCATCCCCTTTATATAGCTGGCTGCTGGATAATTTATGCAAGTCTGGAAGAGACTAAATTTGTACCCAATGCAATCTAACTAACTCTTATGTACGTATCAAATAAGTAGTTCAAGGATTATTATCCAGTCTGTAAAAATTTGCGAAAAATCAGCAGACCTGCTGATAAAAATACCTGTAATTTTGTTCCGATATATCATTTATAATTACTTGCAGAACGGTTGCGCCAACTCATACATTAGGTACATAAATATACCAATCCAGTTTATATCCAGTTTACCATTTTTAAATAGGAAGAAATTCTGCAGACGGTTGGAAATTAACATACCTAAGTGTTCAAGGTTCAAGGTATATACATTCGGGTAGGTCCAGGTAAATATGTGGAGTGGACGTTATGTAAGAACATGTTATGCAACATTTTTGCCACACCTGCCAACCAGACGAAACAATAGGTATTTATTGGCTGCGAATTGAATGCAAGAAGAAAACCTGACCTAGTTAATTAATTATTGCAGCGACATTTTTACTCTTGACATTTTTACTATATTAGTAAAGTAAAAGACAAGGCCAAGTTGATACTTTGTACGTTACGATTACGTAAATATGTACATACATAGGAGAACTTGTCGGGGAATTTGTTGTCTGTCCATTATGCGCTGCTTAAAGTGCTTAAAGTTTTGCTGAAAGTGCAGACTCGTTTTTGTAGTATTTATATATTACAATTATACACCACATTATACAGATAATTACAACAATTTGTACATATGTGGCTATGCAATTTATCAGTCTGGGTAACGCCCGGTTTGTACCGTTGCCAAATATGTAACATGGTTGGGATAGCAACAATTACCTTATCCCACTTATGTTATTAAGCGGCGAACAGCGAAAGTTTAACCTGGGCGTATGATAGTCTTGACAGTGGTGATGGAAATGCTTTTCCGGAAATGTATGTATTTAGAACTCGAGTTTCTCTTTCGCCGATTGTGCAAATTCCTGTAGATCGAATTGTCAAGTGACTGAATTTTGTGGACGTTTTTTCTTAAATTGCTCGTAGTGGGGTTAAATATGAACAAGTGAATATTTCTGATTTTTTTCATTTTTTGAAGCGTTATGAATGTATTACATGAATTCTTATGCATATATAATCGCGACAAATTTAGTTTCATGATGATACAACTTTGTAAGTATAACTTGAACTTTTATGTACACTTTTACGTATGTAATGAAAAACATAAGAACGTCGGCATGCTTCCATAACTAAACGAGAACCCCGCCATTTTTATTGCCCTTGTATTTAGAGTTATCTTTAATCTTCTTGTTTAGAAACCATATTCACGTCAACCCTCGCACAAATTAAGCATAAGTTAATAATTTTGGCGAGATGTCGCAAATATTTTGCTTGAAAAATGTGAAACTATTTATATTTACCCAGCAATTGGGCACGCTGTTATGTAGATATTTCACAAAGTTTTTTCGCATTCTCATCATCAAGGGCAAGAGAAATTAGAAATATCAATGGGATAAATATCAAAATAGGTAGGTGTTTCTAATTAGATGACTTGCGAGATTGTCGAGATTTGCGAAGTCATATTTTACGAATCCTCCCACCATAAAGTTGTTTAACCGTGGCATGTTTTCTAAAAGCGTTGAGATACAAAATAAGAGGTTGTCGTGAGTGCGCTCTATGAATTATTAAAAATTGTGAATTGACACTCACGTTTTTTGTAGCTAGATTAACACATTTCTGAAAGTTTTTAGAACTTGAGGGAATTGATGAAATTTTTTTCTGATGCAGAATTTGTCAAGCTAAAATCCTCACCTTGTCGTAAAATCGGATAGACTTTTGAAATTAATTGTTACGTTCTTCAAACTGCATAAAGTGCGTTTTATTGTTCGTTTCTTGTGAAATATTCATCTTGGTTTGCAAAATAAAATTCAGCTCGTTCAATTTACCTTGTGGATATGGAATGTGGTCAGTAATTAAGGATGCTCCCTTTTTACATATATATGTAAATCTGCTGGCAGGGTATTGTGACACACGCTAGCAGTATGTAGGAATATCCCAGTTGATGTCAGGGACCGTCCATAAATTCGAAATTTATCAATGGGCGTATTCATGTTAACCTTTGCATACGAGCCTCATTCTTGTCTAAATTGAGCCAAGTTGTGAAGTTTTGCGATACACATTTCACAAAAGGAGGACGCACTCTTCTTATGAGAAAATCCCCCCCCCGTGATATTTGCCCAAAATTTTGATATGTTGTACACCTCGAGGTGCTGATCAAAAAATGTATTGGTCCCTAAGCCCTAAGTGACCTGGTTCGACCGGAAACAGGTCAAAGGTCAGTGCACTTTCTGGCTCGAAACCCCACAAACCGTATATTTTTGGAAAGCTACGGACCTCACGAGTCCGAATATACACCACAATAAGGTCCAGGGTCAACCCTAGACCTTTGGAGGTCAGGTATTTTGGGCAAGGTGACCTTTTTTGGACCTTACGGACCTCCGCTGCACTCCGGTCAGCCGAGTGCATGGCAACAAGTTTAGTCGACTCTATCGCTGTTGTGTGTGCAACTGTGTTGCAACAGCAAAATACATTTTGAACTTTTTTGCTTGACCTCGAAGGGTCAAGAGTTGACCTTTGACCCTATTTAGGTGTATATTCGGACTCATGAGGTCCGTAGCTTTCCAAAAATATACGGTTTGTGGGGTTTGGAGAGAAAAAGTGTACTGACCTTTTACCTCGGTTTCCGGTCGAGCCAGGTCACTTAGGGCTTAGGGACCAATACATTTTTTGATAAGCACCTCGAGGTGTACAACATATCAAAATTTGGGGCAAATATCACGGGGGGGGATTTTCTCATAAGAAGAGTGCGTCCTCCTTGTATGTTATAACATTTTAACAGTTAAATCAAATGAATTATTAAGGAGGTTATAAAAATTTGTTTGAAATAAGGAAAAATGCTTTATTAAAGGTACTTACTTACATATTCAACTATTTTGTAGCAAATGTGTTATTTGCAGGTTTCAGGAATGAAAACATTACGCATTTATGATAATAAACTTATTTAACACTCCGTAATGCCATTGCGAAAATTGACAACTTTGCCGAAATAATTTATTGCAGGTAAAGAATGCAAATCAATCTTGCTTTATTTACTTATTTGTGTTACATTATGTAACTTACATAAGTCTGTATATTTAGCACTTTGCAAATTTTTATAAATAGTCTGACATTTTAATCACAAGTTTTATCGTCATACATGCATAAAACTTGAATATTTCTGTTTATAAGGAATAGTAACTAACAACAGGTATTTTTCCTCTTTACTGCAAACTCGTCGTTAACGTATTCATTCATTAAAGACCAGTTACAGATCAGGGTTACGCAAATACAGTGTTACATATGTACACACGTACGTATCATGATTCGTACGTATGTACATACGTAACACTGTATTTACGTAACCCTCACTCACATAAATATTATGTAAGTATTATGAAACAGTTTTCCTTATTTCAAACAAATTTTTATAAACTGCATAATAATTCTGGAATTATTAGTTTAACACAAAGGTTAAAATTTGGAATTTTTTCCATCGAAGACTTACATAACTCCCAATTCTTCAGGAGGTTCACATATATAAAGCGGATAACTCTTGATTACTGACCACACTCCATATCCATAAGACAAATTGGACGAGCAAAATCTTACTTATTTCGTCAGCCAAGATGAATATTACACCAGAAGCGTACAAAAAGAGAAACTCAATGCAGTTTGAAGAAGGGAAACAATTAATTTCAAAAATTGTATCCCATTTTCCGACAAGGTAAGAAATTTTGGCGTGGCAAATCTTGCATTATGTATATACATATTTTATCAAAGTTCCCTAGTCGAAACTTTAAGAAATTTGTAAAACGAAGGGTCATGTAAAAATCAACAAACATATGAGTAAAAATCGTAACATTAGTAAAGTGATTTTCGCTAAAATAATCTTACGACGCTTACAAAATCTTATAAAGTTATTTTGCGATACGGGATATGAAGGAATTATAAATACCATCATTGAAAAATCATTCTTCAGTTATATGAGTTTTAACTAAGCTATATTTTATTAAGACACATTTTCCAAGAATTGTAAACTGTAAATGTGTGAATAGGAAATGTTAAGATAATTTTTTTAACTGTAAGTTTGTCTACAGGAAATTCCCCATAATCCTAGACATCGGTTCCGGATCGGGAAATCTGACCCATCTCATAGCCCAACTAATCCCACACGATACAATCTTCGGCATCGATAACGACCCCGGCATGATCGACTTTGCCGTAAACAACAACCCCATCCCGGAAACAATCCGCTACGTGTGCCAAGACATTTCCCAGCCGTGGGACCAACTTGCCCCGGAATTAACCCGACTCGCCGGCCAGGTGGACCTAATCCTGTCCAACATTGCGCTTCATTGGGTCACCGATCTTGACACGGCGTGCAAAAACATGGAAACCCTGTTGAAACCTGGGGGTGCATTTTATTTCAATATTTTTGCCAAAAAACTAATTTCATTTCCACGCGAAAAACAATTCTTGAAGCAAAAAAGTGTTTCGTCTCAAATTACTGAACTAGAGTGTATCTTAAATCGAGATGAATTGCGGGTAGTGTTTCGGTCAGAATTGCGGCACAATCGCTACCAATTCGGTGCAGAAGAGTTTGAAGTCCTGGCGCCGATAATGTTTAAAATGTACTACAACCTGATTAATGAAGAGGAATTCGCAAAATTGGATAAAATCGGGCAGGACAAGAAATTCGGGACGGGGTAACTGCTCAGTATGGATTTGATGTGGAAAACGAGGGGGAAATTTATGTCTTCGGGTCGGGAAAGAGGGCTTGGCTTTGTTACACTTTATTTACAATTGAAGGAGGAAAGAGGGAAGGGTGTAATAAAAAGTAGGGAATTGTACGAAGGGGTCGCTCATAAATTACGTAACGCGAGAGGGGAGGCGGGGGGAACTAAGGGTTGACAGTTATCGTGTGAAACATATTAAATTGCAGGGGGGGGGGCTTAAATTTTGCATTATGTAATTTATTCCCGGCCCCATTTGTATGCTAATTAATTAGTTAGATTTTCGCACAATATTAAAAAAGTGGACCTTGCCATGCCAATGAGCAAATTTTCTCTCACTCTAAAATTTTTTTTATGTACGGATACAATTATCGAAATTTTTCACACTTTATTTACAAAAAAAAGCCAATTCATGCTAGTCAGCATGGAATGTGATTAGCCTATGTAAAATCTAGATTCAGTATAAATACTCGCTTAATTAATGTCATTAGCAAGCGTCATTTGAATACTTGCGTCGTATCACAGTACATACTGCACTTACATAATTCAAACTTGTTGAGTTATTCATTTCATTAAATCTTGAATAACAAATATATTTACCTAAATAATTAAATAGAAAAGGGACAATTTACTTACACATGTACAAATTTATCGGAACTGTCTAACATAATAAACCAGACAATTATTAAATTGGCAAAATTTTGTAATGTGTAATAGCTTCAAAGAATATTTGCATACAACCAGAAACACATACACATTTTCTTATTTAATTCCTGGTAAACATTCCAGTCTCAAATTCGCTTCCATTCCCAACAACGTTGCCAAGCTCTTCTTTATAATTTTTCCAGCGTTGGTAAATAATGCTGCAGAGTTCCATGTTTATATCCACCACGATGTCGGAAGGTAGCTGGGAAAGCATTCTGTCATAATTTGTATACATTGATAAATATTTGAGTTGATGTATTTGACAAGAAGGCGATACAACGACTTGTGGAACGGTTTGGGTGGAAATAATTTGTGAAGTGGTGGAGCTAAGGATGCTGGAATTTGAGGTAGTTCGTCCCATCTGTAATTATTAATTCGAACTTAAATTGTCTTCTTCTTGTTCAGATATTTTTGTACACTTCGCGGCAATTCACAGAGTCCTTGGTACCATTGCAAAATCCGTAAATTCTCTTAGGAGGAATACCTCACTAGTTGCCACCCACAGATCTCGATGCCCTTTGGATATGTTGGAGCCACCCATGAGTGAACAACAACCCCCAAGTGGTTTGATGCCATGGCCACATTTGCGTCCGCCACACCCACTTAAAGGCGTCAAAAATACGAAAAAAGCCATGTTTTCACTCAATAAAACCCTCGCCAAAAATCCAATTTCTATAGGATTTGGAAAATAGTGCACCATTATACTCCCAGATAGTTGCATTATCATATCCAATGTCAAACTCAACTTTTTTGAAATTTTCATTTTTTCAAAGACGTACCCCTGGTCAGGAAATTTTCGAAAATATTAAAAAAATTAAAAAACATATTTTGGTGTCGGATATTATAAAACAACTATCGGGGAGTATACTGGTGCAAAATTTTGAAATTGTGGCCAAATTTGAATTTTTGGCGAGCGTTTGAAGATGCTGATTTTCGTGTTTTTGACGCCTTTAAGTGGGTGTGGCGGACGCAAATGTGGCCATGGCATCAAACCACTTGGGGGTTGTTGTTCACTCATGGGATGCTCCAACATATCCAAAGGGCATCAAGATCTGTGGGTGGCAACTAGTGAGGTATTCCTCCTTAGACTTTAAAAAATTGTAGAAATATTTATAAGAAAAAATTGCTCATAAATTTGTGTTAAGATCAAGGGCGTCTTTTCATTTTGCAAAAGTTTGTACACTTATTTTAGAAAAGTTACGGGTTTCACAAGTTTCAACTTAATGACTGCGGTAATTGTATCGTTAATTAAAAGAAAATTGGAGATATGTACATATGTACCTCATTCTGTCCTTGGCTTGATAGAGGTGTAATATCGGCCGGTTTTGGCAAGGTTTTGACCTGACCAGAGGAACAACTGGATGATCTAGTATCTGCTAATTGTGGGACAATCCGGGTAGAAGGGTTCCCCCCATAAGTGGGGACAACACTACTAGGGTTTTGTGGGATCCCTGAAGGGAGCCAACTTCTCCCAATTTCTGATGAGTCGATTAAATTTGGTTTGGATATCTACAGTGTCAATATATATATTGTATACAATTATGTATTTACATCAGACTTAATCACAAACCTATTTAAATATGTACACCCTTAAAAATAGTGTAACCCATTTGAAAGTCCAGTTAACTTAATAAATATTACAGTTTACACTGGATTTAGCATATTTTACTTAATATGAGATGACATTGAGAGCTCATTCACTTTTCAAAAGGATAACATTATTTTTAAGAGTGTACCGCTACCAAAAACATAAAATATGAATTACCCAATTTGGTGGAAAAAGAGGCTGCGGCTGCATACCTCTACCAAAGCATGGCCTAAAAATAGCGTTATCGCCATTACCCATTTGAGTTTTGTTACCCGATGTCGCCGATATATCAAGGCTGCGACCCCACGTGGGCTAAAGCATGAAGAAGGTAATACTTATTAATTTTTGCATTTTCTTTGCTTAAATCACAGATTTCAAGAAAATTCATAAAATTGCAACATACCGCAATATACTGTCCAAGAAGCGATCCAACACCACTAGAACTTACTTCCGGAATTGTAACAGGTTTCAAATTTTTACGGACCGAGAGAGCACCCTGCAAACAATTGGAAATTTGTTTAATAATTTTACATATTTTTTTTTGTTATCCTTAAACCTTTAGCAATATCTGACTTTGTGGCGACACCGCAAAGTTAATACCGTCCACCAAGTCTTGAATCTTTTTAAACATTTTTTCCGTTCCGGTCTGTTCTTGCAAACCCTTCCCAGCCGTTGTCACCAGGATGGAGAGACATTCCAGATTTGCGTCATCTTTTTCGACTAAAGGTTTATGAAAATTAAGTATTAAGTTAAAACTTATTATTAAATGGGCCCATGATTTAAATTCTTTACCCAACAGTTTTTTGACACATTGCATGACCACGTTACACGGGATATTGTTAAAGTTGAATAATTCCCCCATAAATTTGGCCAGACCCCGGAATTGTTTTCTACTCAGGGACTCATGTTCTTGAAATGATTCCAGGGTAGAATTCGGGTCAAAGGGTGGCTTGCTTATCAATGTGAACTTGGCGTTGTGGAGGAGAAACCTCTCCTTGCAGCAAGTTTGGATAAGTTTCTTAAAAGGGAGAGATGCTTTACTTTCTTGAGAACAAAATAGGTGGATCTGCAAATAAAATTAGAATATAAATTGACAAATTGTTGAAAATACAAGGTTTCAAAAAATTATGTCTATAAACTTTGCAAGTACCAAATTTGCATAACGCGTCGCCAACGAAGGCTTGAGGCCAATCTTGTCGAGCATAATGTCAACCACGATTTTCATGTCGGCTTCACCCTCAAAAAGGAGACTAGCAAATTCATGAACAATTCCAGTAATATTTGCTGCCTTAAGTTTATTCAAGATTTGGCGTGTCTTAACCGGCTGAAATAACAATTTGGGCATACATTTCATGAGAAAAAGTATATAATGCCATTAATTTACAAATATGTATAAGTATGTATCTACCAAGTTAACTTTTTCCGTCTGGATTGTTTCCGTCGCCGTTTCTGGAGCAATGTGTGCAACCTGGTTATCTAAATTGTCTCCTGTTGGAGAAGGATTTCCGCGAAGAAGTGTCAAAATTTCCTGGAACAGGAAGGAAACTAAATTATTCACTTAATTAAAAGAATGCATGCTAACTTGTACAGATTAACCATGCACATGTCAGACATGTTTCGCACGGATCTTCTTGAAACCAGCACTAAAATCTCAAGGAACTAAACACAAACAATAGTTAGTGTGACATTTGAGCACTTCAGCAGAATTCACGAAGTTATGAAGATTTTAAGTTGGCGAAAACGCGTATTTTCACCATGCGAAACTGTACGGAGTTCACCTCTCCGCTTTCCGATTTTCTCTTCCGCTTCTCTTCGCCAGGTCATCCGTTTTCACATTTCACTCAAAATTGAATTAATTATTTAATTTCCCAACCATTCGATTTTTTGCACTTGGCTTTTACATAATTAATTCAATTTTGAGTGAAATGTGAAAACGGATGACCTGGCGAAGAGAAGCGGAGGTGAAAATCGGAAAGCGGAGAGGTGAACTCCGTACAGTTTCGAAAGAAAATACGCGTTTTCGCCAATTTAAAATCTTCATAACTTCGTGAATTCTGCAGAAGTGCTCAAATGTCACACTAACTATTGTTTGTGTTTAGTTCCTTGAGATTTTAGTGCTGGTTTCAAGAAGATCCGTGCGAAACATGTCTGACATGTGCATTGTAAGTAGGTAATCTCACCGAAATGGCACATTGTGACTTTAGCGACAACTTATCCGACCTTTGGAGTAGGCCGAGTCGCTTATGAATTTTGTCTAAATCCGCTAAAAATGCATCTCTATAAGTCACTTCATTGACATCTGTCAGCAAAACCGCCGATTCTTTACATTTTTTCGCCTTATCGTTCAACTTGGGTCCAGCGATTCGCAGCAACGCGCAGAGAGTAGCGATATTGATGTCATCAGTCAAATCTACATAAATTTGCATATGCTATCCGATTTTGACTAAATTAATGGCACATATTTTGTAATATAAAATTTGCAAAACAAACTATGTATCTCATGATGTTCAAGTTTGGCCAGAGATCCGTGATTAATGAATTTTTTTGTGGGATTAAGGATTAAGGATTAATGTTATTCCGGGATTAGATTAGTCCAGGATTAATTAAATAATTCAATTTGCTGGGATTAAGGATTAAGGATTAATTCACAATGCTTTTGAATTCGGGATTAAGGATTAAGGATTAATTAATCCTGATTAATTCATGATTAAGGATTAATATAATTTTTATTTTCCTGTACAGAATTATCGACACAGCGATATTAATGTGTCAAATCTCAAATACTTACAAAACGTGCAATATATAGTAGTGTTGCGTTAAGTACGTAATAAAAATCAATGTTGGAATAATATCCCCGCCAATTACGGCAAGTTTTGGTGCACAAGCTATGCCCCTGGCCTTTACAGAGCCACAAGACTTGTCAAGTTCTTCGACATCAAAAAATGTGCCGGTCAAAACGAATGGCAAACCTTTCAGTTCAGTTAGATTCCTGTTCGCCATGATTAACGATTGAATCAGTACTTTTATGGAAGCAACAATATAAAGTTAAAAAATATAATGCATGCTACATAATTTCAGGAGAGGAAAGTAGAAAGAATGGAAAAATATCACATGGTTGAGAATAACTGTTACCTTGCTCATTCGCAGTATTAATCTCTCGTGAGAATTAATCCTAATCACGATTAAGGATTAATAATTTGGGCATGCTTCGTCGGGATTAAGCATTAAGGATTAATGGAGCAAAAATATTTCGTCGGGATTAAGGATTAAGGATTGATTTCACACATTTTTTTGTTGGGATTAAGCATTAAGGATTATTAATCCTTAATCCCAATCCTTAATCCGTTAATCACGATTAATTAATCACGGATCTCTGAGTTTGGCGAAGGTTTTTGCACCTTGAGAGGAGAAATCGCGCAGTCCACATTATTTGGAAAGTGTAAAAGTTATAAACTTCGAGGTCGCATTTTATCCTCCTCGCAAAGTGTGCATCTCTCCCAAACCTGCTTTTGGAGAGTATACGCGTCTTTTCTAAATTTCATGCTAATTAAATTTGCGATCAATTGATACTAATTTGGCCAAAACCGGAGAGCAAACGTTCGTAACTTTACATTGTCCAAATGATTTCGTTACCTAATAATATCTCAACACAGTTAATAATTACGGCTGGTCCCATCACTTTTTCATTGTACAATTCTCCCACAAATTGAGCAAGGGCAACGCCGTAATTACGACAGTTTGTCTTGACGGCGTTCAAATGGATTTTCAGTGGTTCACGAAGGTCAGGAGCGAGGCCAATAATTTTTGCGAGGTTTACGTTCCGTAAAAACTTGGCTTGCCAACTGTCTAGGAACTGCTTAACGAGTGTCGGCATTGTACTTTTTGCCGTAGAAATCTGTAAAATAATTAAGTATGCAATTATTAAGTATTAAATCGAGTATGTATATTTATAAAGGAGATATAAATAAATACCAATTTGGCATATAAATCACGAGCTTCCGGATGTCGGACAATCTTTTCCTGAATAACGGCAACCACGATGCGAATCTTGTTTTCTTCCACGTCCACAACCAGGAGATTAAAGACGTTAAAAATATGGTCGAAAGTGTCGGAGCTTAAAGCTCCAAGTAGTGAGGACAAGGTGGCTTCGAATTTAAGCAGCTAGATAATTAAAATGCTATTCGTAGTAAATGAATGTATTTTGGTGGAATATTTAGACCAGAAAATTTGCGTACTTCCTTGAGTTCGTCCATTTTGCTATCTTAGTAGGGATTAGATAGTTTAAAAATACAGAAAGCGAAGAACTGGGGCAACATTAAATAATTAATTAAAGTATTAATTAAAGCAACTTTTATAATTATTGCCACTACTTAAGCACCTTGTATACTTATGTATCTATTGAGTAAGAAGAGTTAATTAATGAACATATTTCTCGAATATTTAAAAACTTCTTAATAGTTACGGATAAACGTGGAAAGTTATAAAGTTAGGAAAATCACCTGTTCACCTGTCACCTGTAAAATAATTAAGCCTCTATGCCTGCATAATGCATAATGTCGGGTTTATGATGAATGTACATATCTACTTATCCACCACCGCCCCTGGTTAGTGTTGCGTGTTTTATGTATCCTGTGTTTTTATTTTGACATGACTTATAGTATGAACATTGCTATTTTTACTTGGAATACTTGTTTTTTTGTCATTTTATTTTACACACGAGATAACACGTTATCAAAATATGTTTCGATTTTGGATCTAAAGTTTTGATGATAAAATATGTATCATTTCAGGTTACGTCTTCATTCGAGTATTTTGTGTTTTTTTACGCACACTGTCAAATTCTTTGGCTTGCATGGAAAGTTTCTCTTTGTTCATACACAACATCCCTGCACTGCACATGTATGTACAGTGTATCCAACAATTGAGTACACGGTGTAACGGCTCTTCATTCCCATGCTGACAAATTATTCCAGAGCAATTAATAATGTTCAGAAAGTTTACTATATAATAGTAAATTTAATGCTGAATCCAATTCTGAAGAGCGTTTTTCGATATACCAGAGCGTTTGTGCAGAAATAAATTGACAACCCTAAAATCTGTAAATATGAAGTCAAACAAATGAGTACACGGTATGATAATGATGTGTTTTTATAAGTATAAAATTTAATCTAATAGTGTTATGAACCACTTTTGCCAATAATAACACCTTGAATTCGTTTGGGCATGGATTCCAACAATTTTTTGTAAAATCTGGGGCTATATCCTCCCATGGAGCCGCAATAATGGTCTTCATGCTTTCCTTACTAGATGGAGACCTGTTGGTAATTTTGTGTTCGACTTCTGACCATAAATGTTCCTTGGGACTTGGTCCGGTGATTGGACTACCCGGGAAAGTATTTTAATCTTCCTGTCTTGAAACCACATGGTCACCGTCTTCGCAGATGTTAGGGCTCCGAGTTTTGTTGAAAATAGTAATCGTCCCGAATTTTCAGGTTTCCAAGGGATGGGATCAAATTTTCCTTCAAACTGTCCAGAAAGACTTCCTTAGTCATAATTCCGTCGATAAAGTGTAATATGTCCACTCTTTTCAATATGGACCCTAAACCGTTGCGGAACCACCTCCGTGTGTTACTCTCTTATGGATGCATTCCGGCTTTAGTGCTTCATTAGTCTTTCTCCACAAACAAACAACTCAATCTGCACGAAACGACTTGAACTTGATGTCGTCGGTCCAACGGACATGTTTCCGATCGTTAATTGTCCAGGCCCTGTGATCCCTACCCCATTTTAGGCATCGGCGTTGATTACGGTTTGAAATGAATGGTTTCCCCCTTGTCCCTAGGGTATTTAAAAAGTGTTCCTGCAGTCTGTTCCTTACAGTTTGTGGATTAATGGAAAGGCTTAACCCTTAGTTAACTTCGGTAGACATTTTGGTCGCAGATATCCCCCTGCTTGACATCACTTTTTGACGATTCTTCTGTCCACACGAGCGAATTTTTTATCCTTTTTCGACCTTTCCCTTTCCGACTTACCACGGAGCCAATGGGATTCCATTTGGCGATAATTTTTGTAATCAAGGACTTGTGACGTTTTGTTTTTTTCACTAATTTTGTCGTAGCAAAGTCTTTCCTGGTGAATAGAAATAATTTTATTTGTTCTTTACGGCAAGGCTCGCGTCCCGCCATTTTCGCTAAACCCTGTCACCTAAATTATTGAAATACATAGCGAGAGTTTGTTCACTAGCAACAATAAACTATAGTGAATTATAAATTTTAGCTTACCGAAGACTGGACGTCAAGAAAATGAAAATGTTTACACTAAACTTGTAACGTATACTCAATTTTTTGATCCGAGGTTTTGTTTTTCTCGGACATATCTCACAGTTCACGCTGAAATAATTGGTTCACATGAAATTTGCTATGAAATTTAGATTCCGCATAACATTCTGAGTTACGTATGCGAATTTCATTGCCAAACTTTTAACAACGAAGAATTTATTCAATGTTGAACGAAGGGCCGTTGTACCGTGTACTCAATTGTTTGATACACTGTATGTCTGCATGTACTAAATATGTGACGAGGTTTCCTGCCCATGCACTACACATAGGAAAGTTTGGATTTATTATATTTCAATCCATTAAAATAATTATGAAACAAAGTGAAGTGAATATTTCTAGCATTATGGAAGCATTATTATTTTAATTAATAAATGTGGTTTTAAATATGTATCACTGTTAAAAATGTGGTGAAGTCACATATGTATACACTCCGTGATGGTATTGGTATTGGTATCACCAAACCAATACCACTTGGAACGAGATCGACGATGTCTTCTTTGGAAAGTTCCAAAACTGTGCAAACAGTGTTAGACATAATGTATCGAGTGGGGAATTCCCAGGGGGAAAAGTTAGGGTGATGATTAATTTTTATCAACCACACAGGATGGGTGTTGAAAATGGGAAAATATGGATAATGAAATAAATCGATTTTTAAGGCGACCAGAAAAGAAGAATCATTAAAGCTTGTTATTTTGGACATATTACTTACTTGATACATATTCGCATTCTCGATTTATTTTACACGCATGTATTTACATATTGCCAATTTCCATGCATAATACTCAAATCAATAAGTGCGTACGATTGAAATACTTAAGTAATACATAAGTAAGCAATCATCAAATACATTTTCTTAAGAACTAGTAAAATTCTAATATATTTTTCTCCTAGATTAACCAGTTAAATTTATGCCAAACTATTAGATATTTTCTACGATTGACTCTGAAATTTATCAACATTTTCCCAATTAACGTCATACCCCGCCATGTAAAGCCGGCCGACACTGTTCAACAAAGCGACGCGATCGTCGCCATCTTTCCGGGTTAGGGATGTCACAAAAGTATATTTATTCGCTGCTTGAGGATCATTATTTTGAATGATGTCTTTCACCATTTGGATCAGAATGGGGTGCGGTCCGACCTCTAAGAAGTGGGTGACGCCCTCCGCCAACGCGGACTCCACGGCGCCAATCGCGATCACCGGGCCAGTTAAGTGGTCCAGGAAATAGGTCGGGTTTAAAGTGTCCCACAATTTACCGTCCACGGTGGATATGAATTTAGCCTTCGCGGGGGAATATGAGATGGTGGATGTCGTTTCGAGGAAGGCGGGAATGATAGGCTTCGTGAGGGAGGAGTGGTATGGGTGGTACTCCTTGACCAAGTTTTTTATCCCGTGTTTTTTACAAGTTTCTGAAATTATAGCAATTTTGAAATCGGAAGTTCAAAAATTTTGAAGAGCACAAATTGTTGTAAAGGTAAAATTTTTAAATATCCCTCGTGCGACGTTCTTTCATCAAAATTGAATTTGGATTAGCTTTCGAGGTACATTGAGACTTCAAACTAATAGAAATATTATTCAGAAATATATGAAAAAGAAAATATTTACCTGAAAATTTATTAATATATTTCAAATGTCCCACGACGCATGTCTGTTTTGGCGAATTGACACCGGAAATGTCCAGCCACATGTCTTCCATGTCGACCTTGCATTCTTCCATTATCTCGGCGTATTTGACCGTGTCCATCTGAGCGACGCAGAAACCTTCTTCCTTAATGTTTTTGGTCATCAGTATGATTCTCGTCATGATGAGTTTGAACGCCTCCTCGATCGTAATCATGTCTGCAAGAAGTAAAAATATTATATGTATGTAATACTGCTATAAACGTGGTGTAGACTCACAAATATGATTTTATCGGTATTAAAAGTGTTAATGCTTGTTGTTATAATTATATCGCTCCTTAAAAATCTGTTCCTGATTTTTTAAAACTTTAAGCTAGCTACACACATATTAGATACTACGCCGTATTATTGATCAACATCACTTGGTAGAGTCATATATGAAGACTGCCTGGTCTTATTTTATGTCTGGATTTCTAAGCGTGACGCCATAATATGTAAAGTTTAGATAAAGGTAGAAGTTATAATATATGCAAAAATTGGTATTTTCGTTGAAAAATTTGCACAAAAATAACAAAAAGCAGTTTGACTGAACAACGTTTTTTTCCCTAACCATATTTAACATCATGAACTCCAGAATTTGAGTAAATAAATACATATACCTAAACCTGAATCTTTTTTTAAGAAGCTACCTGCGAAAACCGCCGCCCCATATTCCCCAAAGCTCAGCCCCAACACATAGTCTGGTTTAATCCCCCAGTTGTCCCATACTTTGAAGAGGGCGTACTGCAGGGCTAACAGGTACGGGAGGAAATTGATGGGTGACTCCATCCAGTCTGGAACCACGTTGGGGACAACCGCCCCCTCCAGAAAGGATTTGATATCGATGTCATACTCTTTCGCCACGTGGGCGGCACAGTAGTCGAAATGCTGGCGAAATATGGGGCTCACACGGTAAAGGCATTTCCCCATGGCGGGATAGTGCGTTCCTTGACACGTGATTAGGAAACATATTTTCGGTTTTTGGGCAGGAATTGGTTTCCGGGGAACTTGTGAGGCGACAAGCTCTTCAACCGTTTCGGATAAATCAGCCTTCGTCCGGTAGAGGATGGCTTGTCTAAATTCGGTTGAGTTTAAGACAGATTTTGAATTTGGCAGATTTTTTAGGGCTGCGATTAAGGCGCCGGAATCCGTGGAGCAGACTGGAATTAGTTTTACATCGTCCTTTGCTACGGATTCTTTTACTCTGGACAATCCTGGCGTGTCTGGATCCACGAATAATTTCAGATCCATAAAGTCCATCATTTCGTAGGTAATTCCTGAAGGATATTAAAATTTTCAGTGTGGAAATTATGCTAAAAATCAAAAACTGTGTCAATTTTGAGAATTGTTTACCTTCTAACTTGTCCATCTTGGTAAACCTTGTATTTACTCTGACCAGGAAATCTTGACCTTTTCTGGTGGGGTGCACCGAGTTCACTAAATGATTACCTATCATTACCCACTCTTAAATACTGTCTCGACACGTCTCATGACTCGTTGTTTTCTAATTCGGTACAGATCACGAGTTTTATTAAAGGTAAAACTTTATCTCTCCGACCCACGAGGAATGAGACGCGTGACGTATACAGACCCATTGTCCGAAATCGTTATATTGTGCAAGTAGGTAGATTGCACACGCGACCAGATCATGATACTTGCTCATCTGCAAAGTAACCCCGAACAAATCCATATTTACAATGCAGGCCCACAGATTGCAATTATTTGTGTGTTTACAAGCTTGAATAGTGACCAACGTTAGTCATACATATGTTGGCGGATCTGCTCTGGAAGTCTTTGCTATGGTAATATGTATACGTACAGAAAACACCGTTAATAAATTATATAAATTGTGTATGGTTTTTTCTTAATCGAAAGTGGAATCCTTCCTTACCTAGCTTACATCCGCCGGGAAAATATGAACAAGCGTTCATAAATTTGACGCCATTATTGCCTCATGTATTCTGGATTTCCTACAAGGTAAAAAATATTGTGTAAATAATTATTGTAATTATTTCTGACCACCTGAAGAAGGAAACAGTGGTTTCCCGAAAGCTTGTAAACCATTACACAATGTCATCCATACGATCTGTCAAATCACCTCTAAAAAAAGGCATGTATTCGATATCAATATGGTTTTGTATATTTCAGTTGTTTGAATTTCGCCACGGTCACGATTTTAGACCTCCGAACCGTCCTGGGCGAAAAATTCCTGTGGGCGTCAAAAAAAATCGTACACGGTCATACGATAGCTCATTTGTTTCGTTAGGCTTTGCCGCGTCCAATAAAAAATATTGGAAAGTCGAAAAAAATTATCCATGGAGTTTCATTTTTGGCCTCTCATTTTGAATCATTAAAAAATGCTGAACTTTGACCTGTGTGTGACATTAAAAATCGACGACGCGGAAATTGTCCGTTGATACTTTTGACATTGGTTCCCGAAGTTCGGAATTTTACAAATTGTGGGATCATATCGAAATAAAAAATATGTCGTTGCATCTACAATTTCGTGACGTAAAGATCGGTCACGATAGTATGACACTGCCCCGTCAAACCCGCGCTAGGCGGGAACACAGCGAAATTAAATTTTGAAAAAAATATTTTTGAATAGACCAAGTTATAAGCTTTCCATCGATATATGTCACCAATTATTGAGTCATGGTTAACACTCGAAAAGCTTGGGTTGAAAGGCAAGAGTTGGAAAAAGACGAATTGAGTTTCATAAAAATGAAGCAAACAGTGATTCCAAAACTGCTTGGCAATTTTTTAAAGAAGAAGGTATTTCTGAATCCAACCTCAACTCTTACATAAAAAAGTACGAGGAATCCAATGACGTCAAATTCAAAGTCCCCAGTAGTCGACCTGCAAAGCTATCGGCGACAAAAGTAAAAAATCGGATAAAAATTTTTTCAAAAATCATTCATCAACGGCAACGGCTGCCACGACAAGGAAGGTCAAGATTTCAAAAAGCTATCTGTTCACATTCAAAGTCCATAAACTAGGGATTATAGCCAGGGCAAAAAAACCAGCACCAAATTACAAACCAACACAAAAGGAAGGGATTCACGCTTGCTGGAAGAAATTGTTGAAGAAGATTCGGGGAAAAGTGGTCATCATGGACGATGAGCCCCACGTCACAGCTGACACTTCAAATCTTTCAGGAAGGCATTTTTTCCATAGTTCCAACCCCTGTGAAGTAAAATATGAAGACAAAGTCCAAAAGAAAGACCAATTCCCAAAAAAATGAAGAATTTGGCAACGCATGTCTAGCATTGGTCATGTTTCCGATCCCGTCATTTTGGAGGGCACTATAAACCAGGAGGTTTATCTTCAATTCTGCATTGAAGGGGGACTGGAATCGTTTATTACCAAAGATCATAAAAAAATAATGTTTTGCTTTGGCCTGACCTCGCAAGGTCCCATGACGCCAAAAAGGTCACTCAGTACCGACATCTGAAAAAATTTGAATTTGTGCAAAAAAATGGAAACCCACCAAATTTTCCTCAACTGCGACCAATTGAGAAATTCTGAGCGCGGACTATATCCAAATATTCTAAGCTTTCAGAAACGCCAGACACCTTAATTAAATTTAAGAGCGGATGGAGGAAAATCAGCTTGATAGTAGGTGCAGTCTATGGGCGGAATTTGATGCGAAATCTGAAGAAGAAAATGCAATCTGCAGCAGACAGCGGAATTGAATCATTAAAATTTGAACTGTATGGCAATCCAGACCCTTTGGTGAAAACATATGCAATTTTTTTGAAATTGCATTAACTGTGCGTAAAGTTATGAGCATTTTATTACATGAGTGTCATACTATCGTGACCGATCTTTACTGTACACTAAACTATTTGTATGAGTATGTTCATAGACTGCGATAAGATATTCTACGTTCCATAGCGATCCATCACGTGTTAAGGTAGGGCTCATCGTCAAATTTAGCCCATTTTTAACAATTTTTCAGCTCTAGGAATTTATTTTTAAATTCTTGATCATAAATATGTATGTATGTATTGAGTGAGTAGATTTTTCAACTTGAACTTTCAACAATTTTTTATAGTAGACTTTTACACAAAATCTAATAGCCGAGAAACATTATTGACTTTGACGATTAAGATGATGAGTCATTTAGTCCTTCATGCATTAATTCTGCCCAGGAGTGAAGAACTCAATGAGCAATTAAATGACATAGTACTTATTAAATGTAATGTTTAAACGTTTCTGACCGTATTTATCATACGTAAATATGTACACATATACATATGTACCCAAAGCTGCACCTGAAAACAGGAAATTTGTATCACTACATTCTACATTTACGTCGCATCATGAATTGTTGTTCAAGTATTAAGGGAGCGTGCATGTATTAGGTCACCAGAAAAGTGGGTGGGTCATGTTGGATCGTCTGGGTTACTCGTGTTAAGCCTAACATGAGTATGACAGGATGAAGGGGTGGTCACAAAATCGGCGTTTTTTCATGACGTAACGTGTGACAGTTACATGTAAGCGTAATAAATTAATAATGACCCTAGACAATTTTATTCTTAGAATAAAAAGAGAATGACCAATACTTCTTCTAGGAGGGTTAAGTCCAAAAAAATACGATATATGTACACATGTATAGTTACAGGAATACTTTGTTACAAAACCTAAATAAACTGAAAGACGACATGAGATTCCCGAAAAATGTGGAAACCCAACCGGACCGAACTACGAGGGGACCACGGAAAGTTCGTGACCGTTCGTGTCCGTTCTGACCTTGAAGGAGGGTCATTTTGCCCCACTTTTTTTTGTTGGCGTGAGAGATAAACTTATCTGCATCTCAGATGTAATGGCTTAAAAATTCACGATCACGGCCGAGTCGAGGAGATCGTCTGATGTGAATGGATTCACCGCGAAAGAGGCAAAACCGATGAAATTTATCCAAGGTTTGTTACGTAGATTTAGACCTTCAAAACGGAAACGTGTACTTCTTTTTGCATTTAGTCATTCATAACAAACGGAATATTATAAATTCCTGGTGTGCATATTTATGTACATACTTTGCTTGTAAAGAGATAATGGGGTTGGTTATTTCGTCCGTTTGAGTTGGTTAGATTTGGTACGACTTTAATGAATTTAATGAGTGCGTAACATTACATAGTGATGGTTGGAAGGAACAAATCATTGGAAAAAGCTTCTCGCAAAAAGTTAGTGTTTAACGGATTTGTACAGTTTTTGGTAAAATGTGTACTTCATAAATATTTATATTATATAAAAGAAAAATAACTTACATTTTTCCAAGTAATATTTAAGCATAACTAATGAAATCTTTAGTCAGTTGTTGAATTTAATACATACAATTGTGAAACACGAAATACATATATTCAAAATTCTAGGAACCCTGACGTACACACATAATTGGATAAATTCGGTACTTGTTCTCATATATAGCATGTTAGATATAATCTGTAATGAGGTACACAAAATTAAGACAAGCTACACCACTTCCTTTCTCTATTTCGTATCATCGTGACGTAATTTATTGCATGAAACAAGGTGAAGAAGTGTGTACGTGACACATTTATCCTAACCATTGAAAATTTTGGTTCTCGCGTACACGCGCTGGACGTTAGGTGGATGATTTGACATTTGTTTAATTGCAGCCACTTGTGTTTCAAGATGATAAGCATCTACTTATATTTTCACCGTTGGTAAAAGGAATTTACAATGCACACATAAGTAATTTGCGTATTGTGTACATATCTATTCCCCACCGACCGGAAACAATAGATGTTATGCCAGTCCGGAATTTGTGGTATAAGAAGTCTTGCTTTTGACCAGTTTAAACTAACTTTTCGAGCACCTATTCCCATCTTGACTACTAAAATCTACAATTATTTTTTGTAACAGTATTTCCTTTAAAATTTCGCCATGTACACGACCCAGTTTTTCCCCTTGTTAGTTCGTCATCTTCATTGTTGCCGCCTTTTCAAAGGGGTTCCATTCAAGTATGATAAAAACTTGAAGAAGCTTGTCCTCGTAGAGAACCCCAGGGACATCCAAATTTTTAGAGCACAATGCGTAATTATGCTGTTGTACGTGGTCGCTATGTTCCTTCACCTTTGCTTCGGACCACTCACGGTACAAAAAAAGTTTCAGGCCTTCTCCTTCTTCGCAATTTATCTGATCATGCACCTCGTCAAGTGGAACTATCGACTGGAACTCGCACCAATTCAAGTGATCAATTCGTGCATGAAATTTGAGAGAGAGCTGGTTAAAGGTGGGTTTGGAAGTTCGTTAACAATGCAAATTTATAAAGATAGATGCAAAACATTTACATCTAACAATGGAGATTTCCCAGCAAATGCTCCCCGAATTTGATCTTTTACAGGATCCGCTACTAACATGTGAACGCGGTCACTCTTGAATTGCTCCGAAACGGGTTGGAGTATCGGTTCCAAATTTTGAGCATAGCGACATGTGATTGTTGACTAGGGCTGAGCAAAAAATTAGCTCTCTAGATTCAAAAATGACCCTACCATTGACCTTAGAGTAAGAGGGTACCATAAAAACACTTTCCAAACTTAATTCTTCGTACACAGACATAATTAACTACTTCAAAACTCAAGGACAACAAGTTTCGAAAACAGGGATACATAGGGTACTGATAAATGAAGGTCAACAACGACAAGCTCGTACCAAAGGACAACCATCATGCCTCAAACCCGAGTCCGAAAAGTGCTAATTCGGCCAGTGCTTAAGAAAATTGACCTATTGACCTCTAAGGGCAACTCACCACCCGAGAGAGCAGTGGCACGTCTAACCAAAGTGTCATAGACTAGTGTGCGACGAGCAATTAAAATTTTGCAGAAGCAAAAAAGAAGAAAAATCCGAGTCCAACAGCTGACTGAGAAGCATAAAAAAAATCGTCGTCTGACCTGCAAAAAATTTTATATGAATTACCTGACAAAAGATAAAAGTGACTTTTTAGTGTCGTTGGATGAAGAATTATTTTCATTAAAGATACCAACGGTCAGAGAAAAATTTACTGTACAACCAAAGAAGAAAATAATTCCAGAAGATTGACCATCCCGCACGCGGAAAACTTTTGCAACAAGTTCATAGTGGTTAGTGCATTATCTGGTCGTGGTGTCCTCCCACTTATCAAAGTTTCTCAAAAAGTGAAGGTAACTGCGAAGTACTATATTGACTTTGTTTTAAAACCGCTTTTGGAGATTCATGTCCCAAAACCATATGGCAAGGACACAAAAAAATTGATAGTTCATCACGACGCAGCGTCATCACACACCGCCCTTTTGACCCAGGATTACGCCAAGGACCTGAAAGCTAGACTCGGGATAACAATCATCTCAAATAGTGAAATGCCTGTTAAGTCACTCTATGTAAGTCCCATGTATTTATTCGGCTTTGGATATCTGAAACAAAATCTTTTCTCCGTCACCCAAAAACTTTCGACGGAGTTTGGAAAGTTATGGGAGACGAGTGGTCTAAAGTTGACTTCGCCATGGTCAAATCAGTGTACAAAAGTTGAAATCGCCGATACCGACTTGTAGCTCGAGAAAAGGGCTTTCACATAAAAAATGTTCGGGACCTGCACTCCAAGCCGTTCAACCAGTAATTGAAGGTCATAAACGTTCACGTGTTAGCGGCGGAGCCTCCGTAAATCCAATTAATCTAAAATTATCAAATACAAAATCATAGTGATCACATGAGGATCGATTCGATCGATCACAAATTTAATTAACATTATGTTTGAAAAAAAACCACTGCATCCTCGAATGTACAGGTTTAATGGAGATTTTTTCACAGAGAAACGGGCCTTACGGTTGAAAATCAAAATTTACTGCGCCTTTTCTTCTTTTTTGATTCAACTATCTCCTTCAAACCTGCGAATTGGGAGATCGTGTTTTGCAAATTTCATATTAATCCTAAGTAATTAAATTTGTCATGGATGGACACTAATTTGGTCAAAATCGGACAACATGCACTGGGAGATCTCTATTATATATGTAGGCAGTTCAAAAATTAATACGATGTAAAATAAAATTATAAATACATATACATTTATAGCTGTAATAAGCGATTACTTGCATATTGAAATTTGTCTACAGGTGAGGAAGGCATGAAAATGTCTACCACAGCCAAAGTGATGGTCTGCTTCATGACAACGCTTCAGTACTCTGTTATCGGCTTTCCTGTCGGGATCTTCTGCCTTCTCGTCTTCGACCCCTGCTTTCCGCCCTTCCTCCTCTCAATGTCGACCAACTGTTCGGCCATAAAATGGACGAATTTTGGCCCGGAAATCCTTGTGCTCGTGTTCGAAACGTGGATGGCTGCGCAAGCAATCTACTCTGGATGCATTTGGGCATTCTACATCCTGTTCGTGGGAATTACTTGTGCTCTAAATTACCTTCAAGTTGTCCGCTGGTAGGTTGATAAGACGGTTGAGAAATATAATTTGTTGCTTCAAATTTTTCCCGCTTGGTTTTTGTTTAATCTCTTTCTTTAATCTTTAAACCAGCTTCAGAACGAATGGAGGCATGTATTTTGCAGTTTTTACCAAGCAATCAATTAGTCCTCCATCCTTCATTTTATTACATAGATCGTTCCCTCGTAAAGTCTGAGGAGATCCTTATTTCACCATAGCGTTTTGATATGGCGGGAAAAAATTTGGTTCGAATATGAATTCAATTATTCTGAATCTGGTCACCATATTACAAAAGGTGGTAGGAAACTACTCGTAGGAAACTGGGCAGGGTTACATTCTGAAAAATAATGCTACTTTTTTGAAAAGTGAATCCAGTTTGAATTCAATATTGAGTAAACTATACTAAATCCAGACTGAAGTTTACTATTTACCAAGTTAAAATTACTCTGGATTTAGCATCGTTTAGTTTAATATAAACAGTAAAACTGATAGTACATTTACTGTTAAAGAAGTAATATTATTTTTTGGTGTATATGTACAATCATTGGGCAACGATTTGTAACAATACCAGTGTCTCAATCTGTGTAATCCGAGATTACAAAAAATCTAAACTGTTTCTTCTTTTTTACTAGCAAAATGGCCCGTGCAAAAAAACTTGTTCAGCATAAACTATGCATTCGAACGTATCGACAGGTGCACATCGTGGAGAAAATGTTCAACGATTACCTCATGGCTCGAATTACCCCCGCCATAGTCATGGCCATTCCAGCGATTCAAATCGTTACACAATTCGTGTCTGTAACGATGCACGATCAAATCGCGATGCCAGGATTTCTCGTATTTCCCCTCTTCCTAGTGAATGGATTTATCAACAATGTCCTCGTCTTCACGCTGGCATCATGGATCAATTCTACGTCGAAGGAAATGCTGGAGAAGTTTGGTCGGCAAGTGGCTCACGTCGGTGGGAAGGGAAGAGCTTACTTGAGGAAGGAGGTGCAATCCTTGAATTGTATGAAGATTAAGTTCGGGACTAACTTTATCGATCGAGGAACACCGCTAGTCATACAGAATTTCTGCTTAGCGCAAACCATGTCACTGGTTTTGATAAGGTCGTCAAAAGCACATAAGTAGTAGTGGAATATTTGTATTTAATTAATAAGAAATTGGCTTATACACTGGATGACTGCTTCAAAAAATCATGCATCCAATTTTGTTTTGAAATGTATTTATATTATGTACTTAAAGTTCTTGACGGTGAATTTACATATCCTCAAAGAAATTGTATGCAATTTTTTAAACTGCAAATATGCATTATTCGTCCAATTGTATGCACGTTAGATATGGTAAAATAAATAAAATAAATTAAAAAATTAAAAAAAATAAAGACATACACGTGCAAATGTATTTAGAAATTGTGTACATACACACATGCTTGAGTAGAAATTTGTATTTGATTTATTCGTTTTTCTTCATCTTCTAAAAATTCGTAAATTTTGGTAAGCTTATTTACAAGATATCCATGTAAAAGAAAACGCAAATTTCCAATAGATTTGTGTCAGCATGGCGGATTTTAGTTCTCAGTTCTGTCTTAAATCCGGAAAACATTTCATGTGGGATAAATGAATACTTCACCATGTAGGTCGGCCCTGGAGTGACGATGGTTACGTTCTCGTTGATTATCTCCTTGCAGAAACCGCCAGGTATCGTGCAAATCTCAGCCCATAAAGTTCCCCATCTAATTGGGATACCTGTCAAAAAATAAATATACTGCAAGAAATTTTAATCGCGAAATTACAAAAAAAAAATGTTAAATTTTACTTAGCACAAAGTCTTGTTCCACTTCGTAAACTTGGCCAGGTTGTACTTGGCACTATCCTTCACAGTCGGACATCCTGGTTTCTATTGCAGTTCCCTTAACCATAAAAAATAAAATGCAACTGCCTCAATATGTTCTGTATTTTGTCGCATTATAAAAAAATAAACCATCAAGTCAAGCCTTATGACATCGTTATATCGTATATTGAAAGGCTAATAAAATTTACACCGTTCACCGACTACTGAAAGTTTTTTATAGTTACAACTCGCACAGAAAACATTTTACTTGAAAAACACAAAAAAGGTAAATCACACAGCCCTTAGTAACATTGTAAAACGATTAAATTCTATAAACTTAAAAGCTTTTACAAACTTTGACAAATATTTCAAATAAAAACTAGCCCACAAATTTCAGCAAACCTATTCAGGATGATACGTGTCTCAAATAAATTTGTCACAATCTTGGTAATAATTTCAGTACATAACTAACATAACTGTTGCCACAGTTACATTGACGACTCCGGCGTAAGCGACAGCAAGGCAGGAGAGAACAAGAAGTGTGGGAGATCTCATTTTGACCCAAATATAAAAAAATTGAGAGAAAGGGTTTTGAAGTATGTATCGCTGGTTGAAAATTTTGCCTGCTTTTATATGCAATTGGGTCAAATCATGAGCCGTGTTGGCGGGTTCACCGGATGAAGTCAGTGATTTGCGTAGTTAAATTGTTAATCACAAAAGATAAACTTACATATCGATACTTGTAAGAGAACGAACAAAAGAGTGTTTGAAGTTTTTGGTAGAAATTTGATACGTGAAAACTGCAGCACGTGCTCTACGCACGGTCCCAAGGGACAACATGATAATGACTCTTACATATAATTGATCACTCGCCAGGGCGGATGTGATCGTATTAGATTAAAAAGTTTACTGTCATGTGATACTGAAGTATTTGCGTCAATGGTGGCGAGCAACCCGTTCTCAGATTTAATTATCAAGGCAATTTATGTAACAGTTAAGTGGGCCAAAAAATAATCAAAACTGTGTAATAAAAGTATTTGTTTATCTATGTATCGTTGAGCAGGATGAGCAAAATGTATATATGAATATATACGCAGATAGTTTGATTACTCAAAGTGCAGTTGCAAGAAATAAACATAAAATCCGTAATTATCACTACAAGAAATTATGGTTAGTTTATTATATTCGAAGGCAACTTACATACTCTTGGAAGATTGGTAGTAAATCGTTATCGACCGGAGTACATAATTTATTCATACTGTATTTATGTAGATAGTCTATTTATCGCCCGGTCTAAAGACAACACTGATCTGGCTACAATTACTAACCGGGTATACTTGGAGACCCGGGTAATTTTTTCTTCGCTTATGCATACTTTGAGAATTTAAGAACATGCATTAATGCTAAAGTTACATAGAAACAAGTTTATTAAACAAACAAACACGCACTAAATATACAAAGTGTAAATGCAAATACAATCAACTATATAAAAAATCCGTAGAACAATGTATTTAGTCTAATGCGTTTTTAAAATTATGAAAAGTTACAATAACTGGGCAATTTTATAAATTAAATCTTTATTTTTTTACCGATAAGTTGTGCTGCACACTCATTTACATTTACATATTTACGCACATGTACATATTTACGAGTTAATTGATACATGCAATACAAACTTAAGTATATGCAAATGTACTAAAGGTCTTATTTATTCACACACATATGAGCGAAAAATTGTGTCCCAAGTATTTCATTTAATATTTAAAGGTTTTCCAAACTGGTAAAATTATGTATTGTTTTATAGGACATCAATATCACAAGAAACGCAAATCTCTACCACACCATTGTTCGGGTTAGCGATTTCTGCTCTTAATTGCACTGTCTGTCCGGACACGACGTCATTCGGGATGAGAGAATACCTCACCGTGTAGTGGGGTCCTGGTGCGACGGTGATCAAGTCCGCGTTGATAATCTCGACGCAGGTGCCGTCATGCAGGCAAATATTAACCTTTAATCTGAGAGATCCACTCCCCGAGCCGTCTGCCAAAGGATAAATATTGTAAGAAATTTTAACCACGATATGTAGAGCGTCCATATATTACATCATAAAAAACACCGATTTTTAGAGCCACCCCTCCCCTATCTTACTCATCGTTAAGTTCAACGCGGGTAAGTTAGGCGGCGAGAAACCACCCACTCACCTTTCTGATAACGTAATATATCGACGTTCCCAAAGCAAAATATGTATAGGGCTAAATTTTACATGGGATAAAATCTTGTTCGACTCGGTAAACTTGGCCAGGTTGTACTTGGCAGTATCCTTCGCAGTCGGATACCCTGGTTTCCCTATGGGTTCCCTTCAATACAGACAATAAGCATGGTTACATAAGCAAATGCGTGCATACATAATGAGCGTGTACTCATGTCACAGCTTTTTTATGCCTATGTTGTCATAGTTTTTAAAATTATTTTACAAAACGTACGGAAGTTAGATATGTACATTCTGATAGATGTGCGAATTGATTCATAATCCTGTTCAATAAACATCCTAGGAAAGTTTTACTGCATTATGGAAATTTTAAATTAAAACTAACATCCCACGAAATATTTATTACCACCGTGATCCCTCGTGGTAAACAATCGAGTATTATCGCCAATAATTATAACCAACCGGAAACAAATTGCTGGACTCAGTCACCAAGAATAATGTACACGGGAAATATTCTGTTACAATTATGGTTCAAAAATTTTGGAGATAAGTAACTAACCATTCCACCACAACGGGTCACGTTGACGACTCCGGCAGAGGCGACGGCAACGCAGGAGAGTGCTAGAAAAATGGCGATTCTCATTGTTACCCAACTTTACAAAATATTTACATAAAACAAGGGTAAGCGAGAAAAGCTTGGAGTATCGCTGGGTGGAAATTCTGCCTGCTTTTATACGCAATTGGGTCAAATCATGTGCCCTGTTATCGGGTTCGCCGGATCAATTTAACAATTTGCGTAGTCAAACTACTGGTCCAGAAAGATAACAGAACGAACATAAACGTGGTGTCAATTTTCGTGGAAATTTGGTACATAAAACCACCCCAAGATTCTTTACGTACGCTATGAACGGTCCCCATGCACATTGTCGAAATGTCTCTTAAATATAAATGATTACAGTAAACTTTTTAATCGAATATCATATTCAATTAGATAAAAAGCTTACTGTGATGATGTTCAAGTATTTGCGTCAATCGTGACGAACAACCCTTTTGTCGGATTTATTTATCAAGGCAGTTGTAATGTAGGAGTCAAGTGGGCCAAAAACAATTAAAACTATGTTTTCCGACAATTGATTTATCTACATTAAGACTACAGAATTTAAGAATTTATCTACAGTAAAACTGTTCTATTTTACGCATTGGCCACGATAACGGCTTGAAAATTTGCAAGGTGGTAGCCTAGCAGCACACGATGAGAAATGTAGCTTTGTTAGACCATATATTCCTTATCGTTTGGCCTAGAAGGACTATAGTTGGATACCGTTCCTGTTTTTGAAAAATGTCGAAAGGGTCATGCAGACTAGCATATTATGATGCCGGTTATAATTAGATTTGGTATTGTTTCGATAACCCTTGTGGAAATGGTGATGAAAAAATAGTTCGCCTTAAACTTATGCTCTTGACTGTAATCAAACATTTGCATAAAGGGATAATGTACACTCTCATATATAAGTCTGAGCGCAAGTTTGCATTTTATTTTGCTTACAATATATTTTTGTTGTTAGTAAATATATTTTTACTGAAATTGTAAAAAATGTATGTACATTTCTTCTACAAGACGTCAATATCACAAGAAACGCAAATTTGTACGCCACCCGTGTTCAGGTTAACGATTTCTGCTCTAATTTGTACCGTCTGTCCGGACACGACATCATTCGGGATGAGAGAATACTTCACCGTGTAGGCCGGCCCTGGAGCGACGGTGATCAAGTCCGCGCTGATAATCTGGACCCAGGTACCCGTGGAGTTAAGGAGAATATCAACAAATAAGGTGAGCGATCCACTCCCCGGGTTGTCTGTCAAATGATAAATATTGTTGGAAATAATACTTACGACACGGGGAGTCAATACATATATTACGTCATCAAAAAACTCCGATTTTTAGGGCCACCCCTTCCCTATCTTACTTATTTAACACGGCGAAGATAGGCGAATAAAAACCACCCACCCACCTTTTTGATGACGTAATATATGGACGATCGAAATGCGATGTACAGCGGCTAAATTTTACTTGTGACGAAGTCGTGTTCGACTTGGTAAACTTGGCCAGGTTGCACTTGACAGTATCCTTCGCAGTCCGATACCCTGGTTTCCCTATGGGCACCCTTAAATTTGAGCAATAACCAGAAATTAGGCATCATCGCTTTTTATCGTGTAAGAACTCGCTTAGAAAGTATTTGGTTTAAAAAATCGCTTCACGCAGTCATTGGTGACAATGAAAAATCACCACTCGAAACCATTTCCTTTTCGCGAACTCTGGCTTATTCCCAAATCTTTAAAACCTTTTTTTCCATCTCGGGCACAAGGCCCACACACGGACGATCAACCTCACTTCAGTTTTTCGGGCCTAACCCATACAAACACTACATTTTAAAAAAACTACTTAAAAAAATATATTAGTTGCATATCTAGACATAGTTAAAAAGTGCATTCCTGTCTAACACACGATAGTGTATCATACAGTATGCAGATTTTTTTTCTCTTCCTTCAGGTTTAGCTCATATACTAAATTATCTCTCTCCTAGGTGTCATTTTATACCTATATGTAAGCATATTCCACCAATAAAAATTGCTCGTACACCAGAGGCTTGCCTCAGTTGCACGAGACAATTTTTCTGGTTCCCGTGACCCCTCTTATAGATATATATAGGATAACGTAAGTTAGGGTATTTGAAAACTCATCGTAGAATTCTTTTTGCATTTTTTAAAAATATACATTACCCATAATTAGACAGACATTAGTCATTTTCAGTCCCTTAACTCAACCCTTCATAGCTACTTCTTATCTCCACGTCATTTCCTTACCCAAATTCAGTCTCCTTAACAATCAATATTTCAGGAACCAATTACTTGGCTCAGAAATTTGCTTGTTATATAGTTATACATTCTTCCTTAGTTATAAATACTAACCTTGAATTTAAAAAATTGACTACCAACCCTATCGGACATCCCCGAAGTCACCCCGAATTTCAAAAATTTGACAACCAACCCCATAGAACACCCCGAAGTCACCCCGAATTTCAAAAATTTGACTACCAACCCCATCGGACATCCCCGAAGTCACCCCGAATTTCCAAAAACTTGACAACCAACCCCATAGAACACCCCGGAGTCACCCCGAATTTCAAAAATTTGACTACCAACCCCATCGGACATCCCCGAAGTCACCCCGAATTTCCAAAAAACTTGATAACCAACCCCATAGAACACCCCGGAGCCACCCCGAATTTCAAACACTTGACTACCAACCCCATCGGACATCCCCGAAGTCACCCCGAATTTCCAAAAAACTTGATAACCAACCCCATAGAACACCCCGGAGCCACCCCGAATTTCAAATACTTGACTACCAACCCCGTGGAACACCCCGGAGTCACCCCGACTTTCAAAAACTTGACTACCAACCCCCCAAAACAACCCGGCGTCACCCCGACAGTTTCATATCAACGCTACAACCCGACAAACCGCTCCAACATCATGTCCCATTCGTATGCAATAGTTTTTACGGCCTCATCGCCACACGTCCCCATACGCCGCCGCATTATTGTCAAATATCGGTTTATATTGGTTAAGTGGTTTATTTTACCAATTAGTTTAATTTACCAACTCTGTTAAAATAACACTATTTTAAAATCGCTAATAATTGTAAACAACAATAATGCAGACCAAGCAAATCTCACATTTTATTTCTGGACCGGGGCCCGGTCTAGGAAAGCCGGTATTGTAAAGAACCGGATTATCTAGGTAGTTCTAATATTAGTATCAAATTTTTTGCGACGTAATATATGAACGTTCCCACTGAGAAATACAGTAGATAAATTCTAAATATGTACTTGGCATGAAGTCTTGTTGGAATTCGTAAACTTGGCCAGGTCGTACTTGGCAGTATCCTTCACAGCCGGATACCCTGGTTTGCAGAGGAGTTCCCTTAAAAGATAACAAGTTAAATAGCAAATGTATTGTAAGAGTTGACCCACGCCAAAGCTTTTGCCGTCCTTACAACTCGCTTAGGAAATGTTTAGCTTGGAAAAAATATAAAGGTACTTCATAAGTGCGTGAATTTCCTCATCTTGTTAAATATACCATGCTAATTTGGCGTACAAACCTCTCACAAAAAGTTTGCGAAATCTTGCAAATTTATAGCTTAACCAAAAGTTATCATAAAACTCCTCCTCTCTCCCACGAAATATTTTGTTGCCACCATTATGCAAAAATTCGTCCCATCGTGTTGAAAAATCTGATATTGTCGGTAATAAGTAAATATAACCATCTAATAACAAATTTTGACCAGTCTCAGCAACCAAGAGTACCGTACATGACATAAATTTGACACAACAATGGTTTAATTTTCGTAAATAACTAACCACGCCACCACAACGGGTTACATTGACGACTCCGGCAGAGGCGACGGCAACGCAGGAGAGAGCTATCAAAATGCCGAATCTCATTTTTCAATGAATTTTGTAAAATGTTTAAAACTGGAAAGAAAGAAAATGTTAGAGTATGTACAGCTGGACAGAAATTCTGCCTGCTTTATACGCAATTGGGGCAAATCGTTATCTGATTCGTCGGATCAATTTTACGATTTACGTAGCGTAGTCAAACTGCTAATCACGAAAGATAAGAGAACGAACAAAGGCATTGTATCAATTCTTGCGGAAATTTTGTAGATAAAACTACCCCAAAATGCAGCACGTGCTCTGTGCACGATCCCCAGGAACATTGTCAAAATGTCTCTAATAATTGATCACTTAACTAGGCCGGATGTGATCAGACCCGATTAAAAAGTTTGCTGTGATGGTGTTCAAGTGTTTGCATCAGGGGGGACGAGCAACCCATTGTCAAATTTAATTCTCAAGGCAGTTGTATGTATGTATCATTCAAGTAAGATAAAAACAATTAAAACTGTGTAATCAGGTTAGTTATTTATTTATTTTTCCATGTGTCGTTGAGTGGGCAATTAATTTGGTAATTTACTTATAACATGGAATACGGTTTCCCACCAGTTTCACTACAACATGCACACTACAAAAAACTTATAGTGTCACATCTAGTACTAATATGGACTTGGTAATGGCTTACTGTAACATTTTTAGTTGCATTGAAATTATAAATGCTAAATACATGTACACAAAGTGTTCATAGAGATTTTCCAACCCAATAATATAATAATTATTGGAATCAGAGCTGCAAATTAAAATATGCATACATATTTCAGTAAAGTTTAAACTCTCATTTAAATTTAATCCTTAATATGATTTCAATTATTTCATTCCAATTTTTTTTCAATATGAATAATGTATTATATACAAAAAATATGCATGTGTATTAAATATTTCTCTTACATATTTAGATACGAATAAAGATACATAGATATGTACATATTTCTGTAATTCAAATAAAGTTGAGAAAAATTAATTTACAAAATCTAAGTACACTCAAATTTTAAAGGTCAAACTCGTCCATGCACAATGTGGTGCATACGAGGGGAGGATCAATAAAAGTCAATCTATTGGGGTGGTATGGTAATTCTCAGAACTAATACTGGAAACTTTAAAATTTGTTAACATCTATATAAAAGTAAATTTGAGTTAGTAATTCATCATAGAAACTAACCATTGCATTCATTAAGGATGATATATACATACATAAATACAAATGTACTAGTTTGTAGTAAAAGACCATCAAGGCTTATACTAAAGGTATAATTATCTAAAGTATCATTCCGGGATTAATAAGCTTTCCCTTTCAAATTCCTCTAGCTCAAGCAACGAATTCAAAAGAAGTTCTAACGTCCGCTCAAGTGAACGATCGAACGCCTCCAGCTTCTCAATATTTGGCTTTTTCCTTTTAAACTCATAAACTAAAAATGCAATGTCAAGCCCAATGAATACCGGAGCCGTGGCAGCCGTTGCTATGCCAACTTTTGACACAACTTTTCCCACCGTTCCAAGCCCACGCAAAATTCGAAAGTTCGAGATAAATCGTACAGCAGAGAAAGTTTCAGACGCCGCAAATACAGTTCTTGCTGCGGCTCGTGTCCCAATGGAGGCCGCCGCTACGCGATGCACCTGTCAAGAAAGTACGATGAAAGTCCATGCGTCAAGGTATATACACGATGACGGGGTGAAGTGCTACTGATATTTTTTCTCCATACATATACGGTTCTAAGCGGGAATTTGTAAAATGAATTCAATTCCATTCAATACAAAGATTTCAGTTAAAGACAGCTTGTACCTATTGGGTAGGTAGGTAGGTAGGTAGGTAAATTTATTAGTGCTCGATTGATATGGCCACGGCCTTTACAATCATATATAAAGAAGTTTCATACATTTATTTAAATATATTGAGATATTACTATTTCGATATTTTTTAGCCTAGTTTAAGTATTAAATATTAGCATAATATTGCATCCGTATTATTGTAGGCTTCTCTCACTTCAGTAGCTTGAGTCAAATAATGCTTAATACATTTTAATTTAGTCTCATCTAAATCACCAAGAAAACTTACAAAATCATTTCTACTTGTAGGAAGACAGGTCAAGTTTGCTATTAAGCACTTTGCGGATTAAATTGTAGCATGGGCAAATACATATGAAATGATATAGGTCTTCAATTGCAGACTGGCATAGGTTACATAGAGGGGTTGTTTCTTTGTTATACATAATATTAATTCCATTTAATATTACAGATTTGTTTTTAATTGTAAATCTGGGGTACATTGCTCTTAATTGCATGCCCAACTTAACTAAATTCCATGACATATTTCCATTTAAGAAACCTTCAACCTGGACATGCAATTTAATGTGTTTAAAGTGACATAAAGAGTTTGAGCTTTGCATTCTAATTACATCTTCTTCTACTATTCTATTTCTAATCGTATTAGCTATTATATTTATATTGTTTCTTAAAATATTTATCGTATCTAAATTTACATTTTCCGGATCAAATGAAAATAAGTTTTCACATTCATACTTTTTTAAATAATCATTCAAGTCACGATACCAATTAAATTTCATTTTATTTTTTGAGAATGTACTAGTTTTAATTAGATTATTGAGGACTTGCCTCAATGCAGTACTGTACGGACGTTGCAGTATCTTCAGCACAAACTTCATAGCATTTTTAATTACACTTAATTGTATCGGGTAGCAGTTAGTTTCTAATCTCAGAAACCATAGAGGAGTATGATTAGGCAAGTAAAATAACTTTCGAAGAAATTTTGCTTGAAACATAATTAATTTATCTAACACTCCTAGGCCCCATATATGTGAACAGTAGAGTAGTACAGACTTGGTTAATGAATCAAACAGTTTCAGTCTTGTATCAAGTTTTGTTATATTGGCTTTATAAAATAAAATAAAAAGCTCATTTTCAGCTTGTTTTGCTTTTAATAGAAAAGAGTTACAAATGTCGGAGTAGTTCATCCTACTATTAAAGTTGACTCCCAAGTATTTGTATGATTCTGTGCATGCGATCTTGTCATTTCCCCAAAAAACGATTGGTTCTAATCTCTTAGGCTTGCCATTTCTAAAAATCATGAAATTAGTTTTTGAGAGATTAATTTGCATATCATTTCCTATTAAATAATCTCTCAAAATATTTATTTTTTCTTGCAAGTGAATGGCGTTTGTTGCTAACAAAATGATATCGTCCGCATAGCATAGCAAATGAATTTCAGCAGTTCCAATTCTTAAGATAGACAGCTCTATATTATTATGCATGAGGTCAAACAGGTCATTTGTATGAAAGTATACAATTTTGGACTGAGCGTTTCTCCTTGTAGTACAGCTTTTTTAAAGGGAAAGAAATTGCTTTCTCCGTGGCGCGTACGGACTTTTGCCTTCGCTTTGGCATAAATGTTCTTGATGGTATTCAGCATTTTGTCACTAATTCCTGCTAATTTTAACTTTTTCCAGAGCTGATCATGCTTGACTCGGTCAAAAGCTGAACTGAGGTCCACCAGTAATGCATATACCTTTCCCCTTTTATTTCTAATAATATGTTGCAAGATTGAGTTTAACATGAAAATATGATCTTCATAACCCATTCCCTTTCTGTATGCAGCCTGAAATTGTGATATTTTTTCATGTTTCTCACACCACTCATTTAAACGATTTGTCAAAAGCATAGTATACAATTTTAAACCGGTGTTTATTAGGGAAATAGGTCGATAATTTTTTGGATCAAGTTTATCGCCTTTTTTGTATATGGGTGAGATAATAATATCCGCCCATCCATCTGGGATTTGTTGACTCTCCCATAATAAGTTTATGCTATCTAGTAATATAAGTCTTTGCATGTCATTAAGTCCCTTCCATGCTTCATTTGGGATACTATCCGGCCCGGGCGCTTTTCCAGTACTTAATTTCTTGATAACAATATTTAGTTCTGCAGATGTGAAAGCTCCATCCGTATCGTCATTAATTATACTGAGTTCGTCATTTGGAAGTGTGTCCTTTTGTTCATTTGTGTCGAAAATTTTAGAAAAATGGTCATGAAATGCTACAGGAGTAATTGTTTGATCATTGTCGTAATTACCATTACAGTTCCGCTTTGACCTATAGTAATTAATCGCTTTCCAAAAGTCCGACGAGTTTTTAGCGTTACAAAGTGAACTTTGAATTGCATTGAAAAATTTTAATTTCTTCGCCTTCTTAAGATTGATATAAGTTCTCTTCTTCTGTAAGAAAATCAATTTTAATTGGTCTTTTTCTAATTCATTCCCAGCTTTACGAAAATTACGAAGACTACTATTGAAAAGCTTCTTCTCTAACAAGCATTTTTTATCGAACTATCTTGGTCCATACGTTATATTTTTTACTCCTAATATTCTTCTCTTCAACATTTCACATGAATCTATTCCTTTAAGCATGCCCTGTTGAAATTTATCAATTGTGATATTACTACTCTCGCAGTTTTCCAGGATGTTATCGAAATTGTCTTGAAATTGTCCGATTTTATGTACATCCCATTCTACCCTGACTATTTTTGTGAGAGTCTCAAAATGTGGTACTGCATTTAATTTTAGCATGATAGGGAAATGACAAGACTGCTCGCTGGACAAAACCTTGAATTCTTTCTTATCTGTTATTGATTGAGAGGTGATACACAAATCTACAACGCTTGAACCATTCTTATTAACAAAGGTGAAGTCACCGTCTGTACCATGCTCTCCGTTACCATTCAGCAAACTAAGATTATTTTCCTGTATTATTTTAATAAGCTTGGTGCCACGTAAATTAGTGACTTTGTCCTTGGATTTACTTGTATGATTTCCTGTTCTCGAATTAAAATCACCCATGTATATGCAAGAAATCTGTGCTGAATCTACTGCCTGAAATATCTCTTCTATTTCGATGTTACTATTAGGGGGTAAATAGCTAAAAATAATGATTACTTTCCTAAAATTATCGTTTAACTGTATGACGCTATATTCATTCTTCATACATATAACTTTACTAAAATTAACTATGCTATTTTTTATACCAATGTAGTAACCCATCGATGCTCTTCCTTTGATTTTTGATTTCACAGCTTTCATATCAAAAATTGTATATCTATTTGTAATTTTACTGTTTAACATATAGTCATCAACGTGCCATGTTTCACAAAGGAAGAATATCGTTGGGTTAAACTCGATTAATTCATTATAAAATAAGATATTTTTAGACCTTATACCTTCTATATTCCAGGAAATTATATTAAAGTTACTGATCCTTGATTGTTGTGTTAATTGTAGAGGCCGGCCGTATCGTCACGTCATTTGTTTTCCATCCTCCACAATTTGATTAGAGTCATTTATTGTGTACCAGGTTGTAGCTCCTTCCGTTGTAATTTTCACCCGTTTCTTGTAACATCGGAACAGCAGGTCCGGTTTTTCTTTCTTCATGTTTCTCGCAAATTCTCTCAGTTGGGAACGCATCTTTCTTTCCTTGGGTGCCAGATCTTCATCAATAAAAATATTGGTTCCGCTCAGTTTCATGCGAAGGGACAGGATTTGTGCTGCGTCGCGTTGAAGAGCAACGAATAGCTCTAGCTCAAGCAACGAATTCAAAAGAAGTTCTAACGTCCGCTCAAGTGAACGATCGAACGCCTCCAGCTTCTCAATATTTGGCTTTTTCCTTTTAAACTCATAAACTAAAAATGCAATGTCAAGCCCAATGAATACCGGAGCCGTGGCAGCCGTTGCTATGCCAACTTTTGACACAACTTTTCCCACCGTTCCAAGCCCACGCAAAATTCGAAAGTTCGAGATAAATCGTACAGCAGAGAAAGTTTCAGACGCCGCAAATACAGTTCTTGCTGCGGCTCGTGTCCCAATGGAGGCCGCCGCTACGCGATGCACCTGTCAAGAAAGTACGATGAAAGTCCATGCGTCAAGGTATATACACGATGACGGGGTGAAGTGCTACTGATATTTTTTCTCCATACATATACGGTTCTAAGCGGGAATTTGTAAAATGAATTCAATTCCATTCAATACAAAGATTTCAGTTAAAGACAGCTTGTACCTATTAGGTATAGGTATTACTTGCAATTAGATGTAATTTTTAGTATTATATACATATGTAATAGAGGTCAAACAGGTGCACCCGGTTAAATCCGACTTGCATGGAACCGACTATGTTTGTAGTAGTACATATACAAAAAAATTAACTACACTTTTAAGTACCGTAAATTAAGCAAATCTGAATCCTCGTGAAGAAACTGAATGGATTTTAGAAATTCCCTTGTAAAAATAGAGAAAGGGGTACGTTGAGATGAAAAATAAATGCATCAACGCGTCATCCTTTACCACCTTTACCGGCCGAGTTTAGTAGCTACCTATGTATTTGAGGTGACAAAACGACATTGTGTTTTAATTTTGACACCCTATTGCTTACCTGTTGTGATCTCGTCCACCCAAGTTTAAGCAGCATGGCGAAATGCTCGGAGTTATAATTGGCCAAGCTATATTTTCTTTCGCTGCCATGAGCCAATTGTTTCCTCGCACGTTTGACCGTTTCACTAACCGGAAGTTCTAGGCCGTGATAATTCCTTCGGCGCAATTCACGAAGGCCTTCTCCTTTAAGAAATTCCTTCATTTCCTTTAATTTTACGCCATCAACCCAAAAGTCCAGCACTTTAAGTTTAGAACCATCCAAGATACAAATCCCGTGATGTGTGCCCAAAAATTGCATGACAGGGTCCGACAGAGGTCGCATAATATAGTCACCCTCTCTAAATGTTATTACATATTTTAGTTATGTGGTGGTAAACAGAATTGATGTTACACAAATATTCACGGTTTCTGTTCTATGGGGCGGTTCATAAGTTATGTTAGGCAAGAAGAGGTTAGGTTTGGACGGTCGAAAGCTTGAATGATATCGTGTCTAAGCGAGACAGGTTAGATTTTGGGGCGAGGAGGGGTCTAGAAAATCGCGATTCCCTCGTTACATAATTTATGAACGCCAATTATTTAAATTTGATACGAATTACTTCAGTTGGTCAACCGTAACGTCTTCATCAGTTGGAAGGCAGTATTCTATCACAGAATCCATAAATTCGTACAAGTTCGGAAAACTGTTGAGAAATAAAGCATTATGTCAGCCAAAATTGAAAACTATTTACGTAATTACAAGTAGGAATTTGGTATTTTATGCGCAGAATAAAGATTATCAAATGTGTACAAATATAAGCGTAATAATATGTATAAATTTATCAATATTTGCAGTGAAGAGATCAAGAACTTATACGCATAATAAAAATTATTAATTTTTATCAAGTGTGCAAGAGATTCAGAAATAAGCCAATTGTTTTTCAACAACCTGACGCAACTTTATACTAGCAGCTAGACGATGTTTACAGATTTTTTGAAACCCATCCAGTTTTTTGGAATACAATACAAAAAACAAAAACTTGTTTGACATCAATTACCGCAGGTTAAAATAACAGAACCCTTTAACTCCTTACTCACCATTCTTTTCCATAATCTCCCAGCTCTTCTTGTAAAATTCCCACGACTTTTAGAAATTTAAGCGTTTCTTTGTTTAAAACTTCGAACAGTTTTTGTATTTCGTCCTTGTCGTCCTTCTCCAGGAGTCGGTCGACAAGTGTGGTCCCCAAATTGGTGGCTGCGCCCGCAATGGCTACGCCGGTGCCGACCGCCATGACGGGTAGCGCCACCACGGCGACGCCAAGTGTGGCAACGGCCGTCGCCACGGCGGCGACAGTTCCTCCCATGGCGGCTGCAACGGTTCCCACGGTGGACGAAATTAAGCAATTTTTCCCGTGTAATCGAGCACTTTGCAGAAGGGCCGTATTTTTATCGAATATACGTTGTACGACGGGAATGTAGTCATTTCTAAGGAAAATGATAATATTTCTGATTTCGGTATCCATTGGAGCAGAAAGTTCGTGGGGGGGTTGCCGGTTATGAAGTAAAAATGCGACTTATGTTCATAAGATGGACAAGTTGTGGTAGATCGACAAATAAAATCGTCGGTTGATCGTTTATTTGACTGTTGTGGATTAAAAGTAAATATGTATGAATGCCATAAATATTTGAACTGTTGTTAGTGATATTTTGGCGACGTAATATATGAACGTTCCACATGAGAAATACAGTAGATAAATTCTAAATATGTACTTGGCATGAAGTCTTGTTGGAATTCGTAAACTTGGCCAGGTCGTACTTGGCAGTATCCTTCACAGCCGGATACCCTGGTTTGCAGAGGAGTTCCCTTAAAAGATACAAGTTAAATAGCAAATGTATTGTAAGAGTTGACCCACGCCAAAGCTTTTGCCGTCCTTACAACTCGCTAGGAAATGTTTAGCTTGGAAAAATATAAAAGGTACTTCATAAGTGCGTGAATTTCCTCATCTTGTTAAATATACCATGCTAATTTGGCGTACAAAACCTCTCACAAAAAGTTTGCGAAATCTTGCAAATTTATAGCTTAACCAAAGTTATCATAAAACTCCTCCTCTCTCCCACGAAATATTTTGTTGCCACCATTATGCAAAAATTCGTCCCATCGTGTTGAAAAATCTGATATTGTCGGTAATAAGTAAATATAACCATCTAATAACAAATTTTGACCAGTCTCAGCAACCAAGAGTACCGTACATGACATAAATTTGACACAACAATGGTTTAATTTTCGTAAATAACTAACCACGCCACCACAACGGGTTACATTGACGACTCCGGCAGAGGCGACGGCAACGCAGGAGAGAGCTATCAAAATGCCGAATCTCATTTTTCAATGAATTTGTAAAATGTTTAAAACTGGAAAGAAAGAAAATGTTAGAGTATGTACAGCTGGACAGAAATTCTGCCTGTTTATACGCAATTGGGGCAAATCGTTATCTGATTCGTCGGATCAATTTTACGATTTACGTAGCGTAGTCAAACTGCTAATCACGAAAGATAAGAGAACGAACAAAGGCATGTATCAATTCTTGCGGAAATTTTGTAGATAAAACTACCCCAAAATGCAGCACGTGCTCTGTGCACGATCCCCAGGAACATTGTCAAAATGTCTCTAATAATTGATCACTTAACTAGGCCGGATGTGATCAGACCCGATTAAAAGTTTGCTGGATGGTGTTCAAGTGTTTGCATCAGGGGGACGAGCAACCCATTGTCAAATTTAATTCTCAAGGCAGTTGTATGTATGTATCATTCAAGTAAGATAAAAACAATTAAAACTGTGTAATCAGGTTAGTTATTTATTTATTTTTCCATGTGTCGTTGAGTGGGCAATTAATTTGGTAATTTACTTATAACATGGAATACGGTTTCCCACCAGTTTCACTACAACATGCACACTACAAAAAACTTATAGTGTCACATCTAGTACTAATATGGACTTGGTAATGGCTTACTGTAACTTACTGTAACGATTATACATTTTTAGTTGCATTGAAATTATAAATGCTAAATACATGTACACAAAGTGTTCATAGAGATTTTCCAACCCAATAATATAATAATTATTGGAATCAGAGCTGCAAATTAAAATATGCATACATATTTCAGTAAAGTTTAAACTCTCATTTAAATTTAATCCTTAATATGATTTCAATTATTTCATTCCAATTTTTTTTCAATATGAATAATGTATTTATACAAAAAATATGCATGTGTATTAAATATTTCTCTTACATATTTAGATACGAATAAAGATACATAGATATGTACATATTTCTGTAATTCAAATAAAGTTGAGAAAAATTAATTTACAAAATCTAAGTACACTCAAATTTTAAAGGTCAAACTCGTCCATGCACAATGTGGTGCATACGAGGGGAGGATCAATAAAAGTCAATCTATTGGGGTGGTATGGTAATCTCAGAACTAATACTGGAAACTTTAAAATTTGTTAACATCTATATAAAAGTAAATTTGAGTTAGTAATTCATCATAGAAACAAACCATTGCTTCATTAAGATGATATATACATACATAAATACAAATGTACTAGTTTGTAGTAAAAGACCATCAAGGCTTATACTAAAGGTATAATTATCTAAAGTATCATTCGGGATTAATAATCTTTCCCTTTCAAATTCCTCTAGCTCAAGCAACGAATTCAAAAGAAGTTTCTAGGAGTCATTGTTAGTTTCATTACACCATATTAGTTCTCGAAAACGCTCGGTTTTACCCCAGGAATCTGCGCTTGTGGCAACAGTTTCCCGTTTTCGCGAACTTGCAACGCTAAGAGCTTGCTGAATTTTCGTATCTGCTCAAGTGCGGCGCTAAATGCTGTTTCCAAAGAGTTGCTCTTTGAAACTTGTATGTATGTATTTTGGGAGGAGGGCTCCTCTTGTTGGAGGAGCCCAATGCTCAGATCATCCATCAGATCTATTGCATATTCTCTTACTTACACCGTATGACAGTGGCTATCTAGTTGCTCAGGTATAATCCCCATATCTATTGATGAGATATGGGGATCGAGAAACCATTTAAGGATAGTAAGACAGGAAGAGACGCCGGCTTGCCGTAAGCACCACCACTCACCCCTGCACTTACGGGGCCAGTCCCACTCCGCCTATCCTCTACCCACCACTGCCTATTCAATCTTAATGTATGCCTCTTTGGACGCGAATACTGCCACGGAAAGGCAGCATGCTCAGTCCACTCTACTGAGTGTCCAGCTACAATGTGTGTAACTGGCACCCAGGGAGGGCTGCCCCAGCTGCCGAGATATGTATCTTTGAAACTTACATAGATGGTCAAAAAATAATCTGGATTTAACATGGTTTTCGTCCCAATTGTCCGATCAAGGGCGTCTTTTTGTGTTGTACAAGGTTTTAATATTATTTTTCAAAACGTACGGAAGTTACTAAAAGAGGTATGAATTAATTCATAAACTTATTCAATAGACTATGCAAATTTTCCTATCAAGACCACAAAAAATTTTACCACCGCGATCGTGCCAAAAAATTGTCAATAATTATAACCACCCATTGTAACAAATGTTGAGCAGACTCAATCACCAAGAACAATGTGAATGGCAAATACTTTGTTACAAGATGGTTAAACTTATCGCAAATAACTAACCATGCCACCACAACGGGTCATGTTGACGACTCCGGCGGAAGCGATGGTAAGCCAGGAGAGAGCTAGAAAAATGGCGATTCTCATTTTTCAATCAATTTTGCAAAATGTTTAAAACAAGAGAGTAAGAGAGCAAGGAGAGGAAGGATTGGAGTATGAATCGCTGGCTAGAAATTTTGCCTGCTTTTATATGCAATTGGGTCAAATCATGTGCCGTGTTAACAGGTTCACCGGATGAAGTCAGTGATTTGCGTAGTCAAATTTCTGATCACGAAAGATAAGAGACAGCAGACATACATACATATGTACATAAATTATCTTGGTATCTGTTTTCGCGGAAACTTGGTACATAAAACCACCCCAAAATGCAACACGCGCTATGCACGGTCCCCATGCACATTGTCAAAATTTCTCTTGTAATTGATCATAGTAATCTTTTTAATCGAATATCATATTTCATTAAAAAGGTTAATGTGATGAGACTCAAGTATTGACGTCAATCGTGAAGAACAACCCCTTGTCGGAGTTACATAGTTATCAAGGCAGTTGTCCTGTAAGAGACAAGGGGGTCAAAAACAAATTAAAACTGTGTAATTAGACTATTTATTTATCAATTTACCGGCGAATGGGAAATTAATTAATTTGAAGTATGGAATGCAGTTTCACATTAGGTTTGGCGAAAAAATATGCATTGCAAAAAATCTTGTGGTGACGTTTACATACTTACATGCGCTCTTAGGAAACTGGTTGTAGATCATTACTTCCCGGAGTAAATACATATGTATTATGTCTGTACTTGACGTTTTTTTACTTTTGCACCATTCGTTGTATGACTTTTTATTTTGCTGTCTCATATCCCCCATGATTCAACAAATTTTGTGTAGCGTATGGTTGCTTAATATCAGGATAATAAAATTTCATGAATTATTGTCTCACCCTTCTTGAGGTACGGAAACTAGGAATATCTTATCACTACTTATTACTCACACCTTATTTACACAATACTTACAGAGTAAATTCATACATGCAAATGCATATTAAAAATATAATCAACACACGTGTCTATCAGCAGAAATTGTTTATTCCATTTATCAGTATTTAAGCAAATCTTTGATGGTTCTCGGAAAAAGAAAAAAGTTTAATTTATTTTTTCACAAGATTTTTTCACAAGAAACGCAAATCTCCAAAAGATTCGAGATTGAGTGAGCGAATCCTGCTCTCAGTTGTACCGTTTGTCCGGAAAGGATGTCATTAGGGATGAGAGCATAATTGGCGGTGTAGATGGGCCCTGGGGGCGCGATGGTGATCAAGTCCGCGTTGATTATCAGCATGCAGAAACCGTCATTCAGGCAAACCTCCACCGTTAATTTGACTCCATTCATCTGACTGCCTGTAAAAGGGTAAATATTCTAAGATAATTTAACCACGAAATGGGAGCGTCCACATGTTACGTCAAAAAACTCCGATTTTAAGACCACCCAGCCACCCCTTCTCTATCCTACTCATGTTAATGTTAACAAGAGCGAGATAGGCGACGGAAAATCACCAATCAAATTTTTTGCGACGTAATATATGAACGTTCCCACTGAGAAATACAGTAGATAAATTCTAAATATGTACTTGGCATGAAGTCTTGTTGGAATTCGTAAACTTGGCCAGGTCGTACTTGGCAGTATCCTTCACAGCCGGATACCCTGGTTTGCAGAGGAGTTCCCTTAAAAGATAACAAGTTAAATAGCAAATGTATTGTAAGAGTTGACCCACGCCAAAGCTTTTGCCGTCCTTACAACTCGCTTAGGAAATGTTTAGCTTGGAAAAAATATAAAGGTACTTCATAAGTGCGTGAATTTCCTCATCTTGTTAAATATACCATGCTAATTTGGCGTACAAACCTCTCACAAAAAGTTTGCGAAATCTTGCAAATTTATAGCTTAACCAAAAGTTATCATAAAACTCCTCCTCTCTCCCACGAAATATTTTGTTGCCACCATTATGCAAAAATTCGTCCCATCGTGTTGAAAAATCTGATATTGTCGGTAATAAGTAAATATAACCATCTAATAACAAATTTTGACCAGTCTCAGCAACCAAGAGTACCGTACATGACATAAATTTGACACAACAATGGTTTAATTTTCGTAAATAACTAACCACGCCACCACAACGGGTTACATTGACGACTCCGGCAGAGGCGACGGCAACGCAGGAGAGAGCTATCAAAATGCCGAATCTCATTTTTCAATGAATTTTGTAAAATGTTTAAAACTGGAAAGAAAGAAAATGTTAGAGTATGTACAGCTGGACAGAAATTCTGCCTGCTTTATACGCAATTGGGGCAAATCGTTATCTGATTCGTCGGATCAATTTTACGATTTACGTAGCGTAGTCAAACTGCTAATCACGAAAGATAAGAGAACGAACAAAGGCATTGTATCAATTCTTGCGGAAATTTTGTAGATAAAACTACCCCAAAATGCAGCACGTGCTCTGTGCACGATCCCCAGGAACATTGTCAAAATGTCTCTAATAATTGATCACTTAACTAGGCCGGATGTGATCAGACCCGATTAAAAAGTTTGCTGTGATGGTGTTCAAGTGTTTGCATCAGGGGGGACGAGCAACCCATTGTCAAATTTAATTCTCAAGGCAGTTGTATGTATGTATCATTCAAGTAAGATAAAAACAATTAAAACTGTGTAATCAGGTTAGTTATTTATTTATTTTTCCATGTGTCGTTGAGTGGGCAATTAATTTGGTAATTTACTTATAACATGGAATACGGTTTCCCACCAGTTTCACTACAACATGCACACTACAAAAAACTTATAGTGTCACATCTAGTACTAATATGGACTTGGTAATGGCTTACTGTAACTTACTGTAACGATTAGTACATTTTTAGTTGCATTGAAATTATAAATGCTAAATACATGTACACAAAGTGTTCATAGAGATTTTCCAACCCAATAATATAATAATTATTGGAATCAGAGCTGCAAATTAAAATATGCATACATATTTCAGTAAAGTTTAAACTCTCATTTAAATTTAATCCTTAATATGATTTCAATTATTTCATTCCAATTTTTTTTCAATATGAATAATGTATTATATACAAAAAATATGCATGTGTATTAAATATTTCTCTTACATATTTAGATACGAATAAAGATACATAGATATGTACATATTTCTGTAATTCAAATAAAGTTGAGAAAAATTAATTTACAAAATCTAAGTACACTCAAATTTTAAAGGTCAAACTCGTCCATGCACAATGTGGTGCATACGAGGGGAGGATCAATAAAAGTCAATCTATTGGGGTGGTATGGTAATTCTCAGAACTAATACTGGAAACTTTAAAATTTGTTAACATCTATATAAAAGTAAATTTGAGTTAGTAATTCATCATAGAAACAAACCATTGCGTTCATTAAGGATGATATATACATACATAAATACAAATGTACTAGTTTGTAGTAAAAGACCATCAAGGCTTATACTAAAGGTATAATTATCTAAAGTATCATTCCGGGATTAATAATCTTTCCCTTTCAAATTCCTCTAGCTCAAGCAACGAATTCAAAAGAAGTTCTAACGTCCGCTCAAGTGAACGATCGAACGCCTCCAGCTTCTCAATATTTGGCTTTTTCCTTTTAAACTCATAAACTAAAAATGCAATGTCAAGCCCAATGAATACCGGAGCCGTGGCAGCCGTTGCTATGCCAACTTTTGACACAACTTTTCCCACCGTTCCAAGCCCACGCAAAATTCGAAAGTTCGAGATAAATCGTACAGCAGAGAAAGTTTCAGACGCCGCAAATACAGTTCTTGCTGCGGCTCGTGTCCCAATGGAGGCCGCCGCTACGCGATGCACCTGTCAAGAAAGTACGATGAAAGTCCATGCGTCAAGGTATATACACGATGACGGGGTGAAGTGCTACTGATATTTTTTCTCCATACATATACGGTTCTAAGCGGGAATTTGTAAAATGAATTCAATTCCATTCAATACAAAGATTTCAGTTAAAGACAGCTTGTACCTATTAGGTATAGGTATTACTTGCAATTAGATGTAATTTTTAGTATTATATACATATGTAATAGAGGTCAAACAGGTGCACCCGGTTAAATCCGACTTGCATGGAACCGACTATGTTTGTAGTAGTACATATACAAAAAAATTAACTACACTTTTAAGTACCGTAAATTAAGCAAATCTGAATCCTCGTGAAGAAACTGAATGGATTTTAGAAATTCCCTTGTAAAAATAGAGAAAGGGGTACGTTGAGATGAAAAATAAATGCATCAACGCGTCATCCTTTACCACCTTTACCGGCCGAGTTTAGTAGCTACCTATGTATTTGAGGTGACAAAACGACATTGTGTTTTAATTTTGACACCCTATTGCTTACCTGTTGTGATCTCGTCCACCCAAGTTTAAGCAGCATGGCGAAATGCTCGGAGTTATAATTGGCCAAGCTATATTTTCTTTCGCTGCCATGAGCCAATTGTTTCCTCGCACGTTTGACCGTTTCACTAACCGGAAGTTCTAGGCCGTGATAATTCCTTCGGCGCAATTCACGAAGGCCTTCTCCTTTAAGAAATTCCTTCATTTCCTTTAATTTTACGCCATCAACCCAAAAGTCCAGCACTTTAAGTTTAGAACCATCCAAGATACAAATCCCGTGATGTGTGCCCAAAAATTGCATGACAGGGTCCGACAGAGGTCGCATAATATAGTCACCCTCTCTAAATGTTATTACATATTTTAGTTATGTGGTGGTAAACAGAATTGATGTTACACAAATATTCACGGTTTCTGTTCTATGGGGCGGTTCATAAGTTATGTTAGGCAAGAAGAGGTTAGGTTTGGACGGTCGAAAGCTTGAATGATATCGTGTCTAAGCGAGACAGGTTAGATTTTGGGGCGAGGAGGGGTCTAGAAAATCGCGATTCCCTCGTTACATAATTTATGAACGCCAATTATTTAAATTTGATACGAATTACTTCAGTTGGTCAACCGTAACGTCTTCATCAGTTGGAAGGCAGTATTCTATCACAGAATCCATAAATTCGTACAAGTTCGGAAAACTGTTGAGAAATAAAGCATTATGTCAGCCAAAATTGAAAACTATTTACGTAATTACAAGTAGGAATTTGGTATTTTATGCGCAGAATAAAGATTATCAAATGTGTACAAATATAAGCGTAATAATATGTATAAATTTATCAATATTTGCAGTGAAGAGATCAAGAACTTATACGCATAATAAAAATTATTAATTTTTATCAAGTGTGCAAGAGATTCAGAAATAAGCCAATTGTTTTTCAACAACCTGACGCAACTTTATACTAGCAGCTAGACGATGTTTACAGATTTTTTGAAACCCATCCAGTTTTTTGGAATACAATACAAAAAACAAAAACTTGTTTGACATCAATTACCGCAGGTTAAAATAACAGAACCCTTTAACTCCTTACTCACCATTCTTTTCCATAATCTCCCAGCTCTTCTTGTAAAATTCCCACGACTTTTAGAAATTTAAGCGTTTCTTTGTTTAAAACTTCGAACAGTTTTTGTATTTCGTCCTTGTCGTCCTTCTCCAGGAGTCGGTCGACAAGTGTGGTCCCCAAATTGGTGGCTGCGCCCGCAATGGCTACGCCGGTGCCGACCGCCATGACGGGTAGCGCCACCACGGCGACGCCAAGTGTGGCAACGGCCGTCGCCACGGCGGCGACAGTTCCTCCCATGGCGGCTGCAACGGTTCCCACGGTGGACGAAATTAAGCAATTTTTCCCGTGTAATCGAGCACTTTGCAGAAGGGCCGTATTTTTATCGAATATACGTTGTACGACGGGAATGTAGTCATTTCTAAGGAAAATGATAATATTTCTGATTTCGGTATCCATTGGAGCAGAAAGTTCGTGGGGGGTTGCCGGTTATGAAGTAAAAATGCGACTTATGTTCATAAGATGGACAAGTTGTGGTAGATCGACAAATAAAATCGTCGGTTGATCGTTTATTTGACTGTTGTGGATTAAAAGTAAATATGTATGAATGCCATAAATATTTGAACTGTTGTTAGTGATAAGATATTACAGATATATTTACTTATAAATGGACATTCATAATATGCAGTATCTTATGGCATATTACCTTAAATACTCTGTTTATTGCCGGGTCTAATGACAATCCAAATCCGGCTATAATTTCAAACCGGGTATAATTGGAGACCTAATAAGAGGAAGATGAGAATTAAACTCATTGAATTTTGAAAAGCCAATTAAACCAAGAATGAGAAAAAAGTTGCGAGCTGGCCGGAATCGAACCGGCAACCTTTCGTTCTGATCACTACCGGGTTGCCACTTGGTTGGGGAGTTGTACAGCATTTATATTCACCATAAATGCTCCATTATAAGTCAAAATATACTTTTTCCCGGCAAAATGAGCAAAATTATAATACAATATTTATCCAAAACTTTTATGATCATGAATGTTCACTTTCCTTTCCGCAGAAACGATTCTGAACAATTTATGCACATAATAAGAAAAGAGATCGCTGCCGCTCCCACGTTTGATGGCACCTTCCTACTCGGGGATTGGAATTTTGTAGTAGATTTAGATAGAGACAGATTTGGTAGCAGCGAAAGTAGGAAAGGGTTTGCAAAAGAATTTCAAAATTTTATTAGTTCGAAATGTTTTGTAGATGCATATCGTCATTTGTGCCCCCATGGTAAAGATGTTACTTTTGTGAGCCGAATGAATGGTACGTCTGCTAGACTAGACAGAATCTATATACATAGTTCCCAAATTCAAGACTTAGTCAGTCAGAATATTATTCCATTCATGGGCGACCACCTAGTTTTTTGTGTAACCCTGGCAATGAATAATAACAAGAGTAAATGTTTGTGGACATGTCCAATTTCACTTTTTAAAAATTCAGATTTTATTTTTACCATTGGATCGATATTAGATAAATTTTTATTGTCAGATTTTTCATTAGAAAGCTACGAAAAGCTTAAAAGTAAAATTATTCGGGTTGCCATGGAAACCGATTTGTACTCTAAAATGAATATAAAGAGATTAGTTCGTTCAACGTATAATAAAATGACTCGCACCCAAAATGTAGTGAGTTCAGAGATATTTAAAAATTTCATGGACAGTGTTGAAGGTGCCATCTGCGGTGAAGGGGTATGCAGTGATGTTCCTGACAGGAGAATTGCTACCGCTCGTGATGGGATCACAGTGGGCGAGGCGTTGACGGATTTGTCCAGAGATGAGCGATTAGAATACGTTGGTTCATTTTTTAGGGACAAGTTTTCTCACTCCTCAGTTGATTTATCCAACTTAAATGATTTTATGGATGGAATGCCTAAAATTGCATGCCCTGAAATCTTTAACCATGATTTCTCAGAAGAGGAGATTTTCGATTCTATTCTGAATTCTCCTAATGGTAGAGCCCCAGGTCTGGATGGTTTACCTTTTGAGTTTTATAAAGCCTTTTCTAGTAGATTTTCCAAAATTTTAGCATTAGTTGCCGAATTTTCGCGTGAAGAAGGAACTTTTCCAAAATCATGTCGAAGTTCGGTAGCCACATTAATTTTTAAAGCTGGTGACCCCAAAACTTTAAAAAACTACCGCACAATCTCGTTAACCAATACCGATTATAAAATAATTTCAAGTGCATTAAAAGCACGCTTAGACCCCACCCTCCCTTCCATCGTTGGTCCGTGGCAGACATGCGGTGTGAAAGGGAGGTCCATATTTGATAATTTGACATTCATGCGTGATGCATTTCAAAGTGGTGAGCTCAATGGACTTCTTTTTAGCCTTGACCAAGAGGCTGCATACGATCGAGTAAATCACGAGTATCTGTATCAAGTGTTACAAAATTTTGGATACCCTGAAAAATTAATCCAGTACGTAAAGTTGTTGCACACAGATTTCACGCTAGTGGTATCGGTGGGTAGTGACCTCACAGCCCCCATTGCTACAGAAGTCGGGTTAAAACAGGGTGACCCCAGCGCTGGTGCCCTATACTGCATTGCAATTGAACCTTTTTTATACAACTTGAACAAAAAGTTAAGGATTTCGGGTCCCAGTGCCTGGCGCAGGTACCCACATATTTATTTGTCGGGATACGCCGATGATACGAATACGTTTCTTGGCCATGAAAACCAAATTTCAACCGTTGTGTCGGAGTACAAAAAGTATTCTCAATTTTCCAATTCAAAATTAAATAGTAGTAAATCTGTGATACTAAAACTAGGAGTGTATAATCTTCATAGGCCGGTAGATTTCCCAGTAGTTTCAGATGGATTGAAAATCTTGGGAATTTATTTTGGCAGTGATGATTATATGGCTCAAAATTTTACTAGACTTATGGCCAAGTTTGATTCAAAGTTGGAATTTTATACTAAAAAATGTGCCCCAGTGAGTCATTTTTCACGCAGTAAAATAGTGAATACCTTCTTACTTCCTGTTTTCTGGTATTTTTTCAAAGTACTGGATCCCCCACAGAAATTTTAAATCAAATTTGCACAAAAATTGAAAATTACATTTGGTATAAATCGAAGAGATGGGTTGCCCGTTCGTTTTTGTACTTACCCTTGGTAAATGGGGGTCTTGGCGTGCGAAGTCCTGTAGCGCAAATCGCTACTTTTAGACTCACATTTTTACAAAAAGTTCTCGGTTTGTGTAGTGATAAATATTTTCTAAATGAATCAGTAAATCAAGTGACCAAAATTCTAAATGGTGATAATAAGTTAACAAAGTATTATGAGCAGATAATGATGGTGACCCAGGTGCTTGGAGTGAGACTTATTTCATGTGATAGGGAACGTCTTCACAGTATTCATATTAACAGCAAATTTATTTTTGGTGGTATTAGTCATAATTATCTTCGCAGGTGCAATATTTCTAAAATAGGAGATTTATTAAATGAGACTTATTTAGTAGGGTTAGAGTTGTTGCCAACGGCAACGCATAGGCATGTGTTGGCCGAAAGGCAGAAATATGTTCAGCTGGTTGCCATGGTTACAGAGTCTGAAAATACTCAACTCGCAATTTCCTCGCTTTTTCATTCACCCACTCTAGTCAATTTGTCTAAGAACACTAATTACCTACATAGTTTGAGATCTCATAAAAATATTAAATGTGAAAATTTAGATTCGGGTTTTTGCTCACTCTCGCAGTGGGAACCTTTAGTAGCCACTGCAGTGTCAAATCCGGAGAAAGATGTGGTTTTTAAAATGTGGCATGGCGTGGGGCTAACGCCGTCTCTTGCACTATCGATGAATTTTTATGATAACAATTGCTGCCCATATTGTAATATTGAAAGGCCAAAAGTCGGACATTATTTAGTTTGTGAGCATGTCACAGATTTGAAGCAAGCGGTTGCCAAGCTGTTGACCAAGGTAAAAATACACGCACGAGACTTCGAGGACGCCTTTCTTCATGGCACAAAGCATGCGGGTGCCAATATTTTGATCTTTTATGCTTACTATATTATTTATCAATGCTTTGTTCATAGGCTTAACAATTACTCTGGTTCCTTTAACCTAATCTCTTCATACCGCCACATGTTGTATGGACGCATAATTACAGAATTTCATGCATGTAATCTCAATAAGAGTTTGATATCCAAATTTTATGATAAGTGGGATAAATTTAAAATTTACGAAATTACAAATAGTAAAATTAATATTAATTTAGGGTTTTGATGCATTAACTTTCACTATTTGTGCATGACTAACCAAAGTAAAGTTAAGTTGTATGTTACTTTTTATATTGTAATTGCAACTATTCATGATATCTCTCACGTGGTCATCAAGATGAAGGAGAGGACAAAAATGCTTAGTTCCTACCCATGACGGCATTATGATATTGTCCTCTCAAGAAGAAAATCACCGCCATAATTCGTAGGCAAAATTTGTCGTAATATACAAAATTAATATTTTACCAATAATTAAAAAAAAAAAAAAAAACTATAATAATAATAATTTTATCATACCTCGATACAAATCATAGTTTTAGTTCTTTATTTAGTTATGTGATTTGTTTTGTACTCTCATGATTATTAATTGAATAAGAAGGTTGAAATACCTATGTTAAAAATTAAAAAAAAAGAAAAAAAACGACTTCAAAAATTGAATACAATTTGTGTTCAGAATTATGCCCCTGAAAATATAAAATTTCATTTTCAAAAATTTTTTTAATTTAATATTTTCAAGCCATTTCTGAGCTTTTAGAAATGAAAAAAAAACGATAATTTTTTTAAAATTAAAAAAATTTTGAAAATGAAATTTTATATTTTCAGGGAAGTAATTCTGAACCCAAATTGTATTCAATTTTTGAAATCGGGCTAAAATTCGAAAAGTTACAGCGTTTTTAAAAATCAGGATTTTGGCTGAAATTTTTTTTGAAAATTCCGCCACGGGCGTAAACATGCCCATTCAGGAAAACGAAAAAATACGGGTCCACTTATTTTTGAGCGTCAACAATTTAAAATTAGTCCGGTGGTTATCGGCGATAACCACCTCACACCTCCTCATTGTTAGTGGCTTCGCATGAAATAATATAAAGTCAAATATGAACAAAAATAACCAGAGGGGCACTAAGGGGTGACCCATACCGATTTCTAATATATTCAGCTATACTTTAGTGTGGAGTTGAAAAAATAACTTGGGATTAGAGTTTTGGAGGATTGAATTTTGAAATTTTATAATTGAAAATTGTATCAAACATGAGTTTACTAATCAACCCTGGTTCGGGCTAAGCAAAGCTGTACTGATAGGTTTTTATTATGCATACATACATACGTATTGACATCATCATTGAGCAAAGATAAACTAACCACATATGTACAAACGTTGCATACTTACCAAAGTAGGAATACAGGACATGGGAAGTTAATTTACGTATGAAAGTGAATATTTACAGAATTTGGGTCACTTTTTACATGTCAAAGACAATTAACAACACCAGAGGACATTCCTACTTGTTCACGGGAAGATTTAATTTGAAATACAAATATAAATTTGCTTCGTGATAATTATTACAATAAATTGTCCTAAAAATTTAGAAAAAAATTTATAGAGAATCTCTTCATTTCAGTAATTAATTTGTCTTAATTCATCGAATTTAAGAAACTGTTATGAACGATCAGCATTTTTAAGGTGACGAGAATCTCATTATGTGATGCCTTTCTGAGTCTTTATTCTGGCTAGAACGATTTGAGTATATAATTTCAGAATTTTAGATTAGATTCCTTTTAAAACTATAATTAAGTAGGAGGTAACATAAATATAACGTTTTTAATTGCGTATTCATAAGGATCGGATTCATAAGGCTTTTATGAACTTAATTACATATGTAAGTACACATGTATGTAATTTTCACAATCATTTTCATTATACACACTAAATAATTTTCCTCGCATCGGTGAATAGGAGACAATTTGCACCACACGATTCCACTATTGGCAAATCATCTTCATCAATTTTAAGTTATTTATTAGTATTTAACAAAGTGGTGTTAACGTATAGATATGTATTATTTTTATTTTACTTATCATTGCATACGCATTACACAAATTACACATCAGAAAAGCTGACTATGTACAAAGGAGTCGTACATTAAAAATCCCTAATCTGAATAAAAAACGAAGAAATCATTAACAAAGTCAAAATAAGTTACAAAATAAATTAAAAATAATACACCGTAGATTATGCATTTGTACTAGTTATCAATACACACACGTGCAACCTTGATATCAAGCACAGAACCGTCACACAAACCCCACCGGAAAAACAGTTCCAAAAATTTCCATTGTTTTTGCCGGCGATATCATACAAATCGATTAAGATAAGACAAATCATGAAGCTGATCAAGGCTGAATTCCATAACATTTGTGTGATATATGTACATAAGTTGCAAGTCCATTAGTTACTCATTAATACGGCCCAATTGGCAAATAATTTTTATCCTTAAATATATAATTTAAGGACATTATTCGGTTAAACGGACCGAAACGGGGACATTTTTTTCAAAGCCTGAAAAGGCCTTCCTCATAAAACTCAAAGCCAGCAGCAAGTGCAACGTATGTACCTTTTTAAAAAGTTGTGTATTTTGAGAATAATCATCATCACTAAATATAACAAACTCCACACTGTTATAGATCTGAGGTCACGCAGGTACTTATTTCTAGGAATTAAAGTTGCTATTGCTGACTGCTTGATAATGGCCTTTACAAATTTGCTACTAACATGCAAAAACTTCAATACCACGAGAAATTATCTACTTAGCAGTATTACTTATCACTACGACGTTTGTAGAATGTATGCATGAATACAGCTTGGTTTTACGTATCTTATTACTTTATTTCTATGTGTGTACCAAAATTATCCCCATGAAAAGATTTCCTAAATTTATTTAATTAACTAGCAATCAATTTCTCCTAAAAAATTAATCCTTTCAGCTTTAAATTTCCTCGTTCATAAATCCTTTCATATATCTTTTTTTCTCAGTTTCCGATACTCATTCCCAATGGAAGGAAAACAGGACCAAGAAGTTATCCAAATGTCGGCCAGCCCTTACGCCAATTTCGCTCCAGCTACCAATCCAACCGCGGCTGAGAAAAGTGAAGCTCAGGCCCTGGCGAAGGAACGCCGCGAAGCGCAACAAGCTTTCGCGAGCAGATGTGGCTTGGATAAATTCTGCAGATTGGCATGTACCTGCCTGGGTAGCATGATTTTGATCGGTGTCCTTCTCGCCGCCATATTAGCCCTGCCAATAGCAATGATTTACGTTGGTCGGAAATACAACGACCGATGTCCAGTTGAAGATTTGCCAAATATTTTGCTTTCCGGTGGAATCATATTCATCATCCAAGGATTCGTAGCGCCATGCTTTAATGTGAAGAAGGATGCGGCAAAATTTTTCAATGGATTGGTCGCACTAGCCGAATTGTGTTGGTTTATTGCTGCCGCGGTATTGGTTTACCGGTCGAATATTAGTGACAATTTGAACGATCCAAATTATTGTCATCCTGCCGTTTATAAGTTTGTCTGGTGGATTGTTACTGTAATCTTGGGCAGTTGTATTGTATCTATTTCAATTTGTTTAGGTGCAGTGTACCATGTGAGACGGAGGAGAAATAATTTCTGAGGTTTACGTTATGAATTATTGAGAAAAATTTTGAACATACTTAATACATTTTCCGGTAAATTCTATGCCATTAATTTGATTTTGTAAGTATGTAAGTATATATATATATTTCTTTCAAATGACTGACTGCACATCAAAAACAATAAAGATAGTTCGGCCTGATAAAGTGATTTGACTTAAAGCCATTATTAAGGGGTGAAAGCCCTTTATAAGATCGTTATGTCCGTCTGTCTGTCCGTCCGTCCGTCCATCCGTCCGTCCGTCCGTCTGTCTGTCCGTAGCTCCGATAACTTTTGAACGAAAAGACATAGACACTTGAAATTTTGAACGTAAACTCCTAACGTCAATAGAGAGGACGAGTTCGAAGATGGGCACTGTAGGTCACACCCATCAAGGTCAAAAGGTCATGAAATGTCATTTAAAGGTCAAATTGCATACATGCATCAATTTGAATTGAAATACGGATAACACACTTCTTTCACCCCTTGGTTACATTCGTTGTGACGGTTTATTATTATTATGTTTGCATACTTTTTAGAAAACACGTAGTCCTAATTTTAATTTAACATAATTTTTCAAATAATTCTTAATCGACCCATTTCATGTATCAATTGATGGATTCATGGGTTGCCAAAAGACTCGTAATTTTTGTTCTCTATAACCCGAATCGAGCGTTTTTTGAAATTGAAAAAACAAAATGGATACAAAATTAAAATTATCTGTAATTAAAAGTACCCGTCCTGAGGCGAGTACTGGAGTTTGAGTGAAACCTAGGCAATGGGACACGATGAAATTTCAATTCATCGTGTGTCAACACAGGTCCTAAAAAAGTTTAGTTTGAAATTTATGTAAATACCTTTCTCTAATCTACTTGTTCACAACACACTCTATAATAAAAAGTTCTTGAAAATACTGTTAGAGACGAGGCAGTTATATAAAATTGATTAAGTCTGTATGCACATAAAAATAATATCTTATTGCAAATTTAATCGTCTCGGTCGATAAATTTGATGTTACATAGTATGCTGTTTGGCTGACCGTATGATATTTTGAAGCTTTATTACCTAACTAATAAAGCCTTTAGTCTAATCAAGTTGTTATTTATCCTGGTAAAGTATGTACCAAGGCAAAATATTTCTTCGTAAGAAGTTTTGAGTATTTACTCAGAGTGTGCAAGGGCAAAAAGGCATGCCGTGCCTAAAATGCCTTTTTGCCTATTAGGCACGTGAATTTTGGCCATGCCCGATTGCCCCAAATGCCTTTTTATATTTTTGGTAAAATCGGGGCAATGTGATAATACGATCCCATGATTTGTTAGTTTTAATCTTTCACAATTCACAGGATTTATCATAACTTAATTATTCAGTGAATAATTAAGTTATGTTTATTAATCCGATTTGGATGATCGTCGTCACCACTAAAAAAATTATGCACATCTTGAGGTGTACAATTATTCACAAATACTCTAAATTATCATGATCATGAATGCGTATATAATGAAGTAATGTTGTGGATTAATTGTGCAGAAGTGTAAGTTTGGTAACGTTTTAGAACAACCGAAATGTAAAGCCAATTACATTGTTGTCACACTTTTTTGTCCATAGAAAGATTTGTAAAATGGTTCAGGCAATACCCAATAGAAACATACGCAAAAAGGCAAAAAGGCATCAAACGGGCAAAAAGGCGCGCAAAAAGGCAATTCGGCATTGAAACGGGCAAACCGGCAAAAAGGCATGAATTTTTTCCCAAAAAGGCGCCTTTTTGCATACTCTGTATTTACTCCTTTGCATACACTTAATAAAGATCTGACAATACTTTATGGAACTTTGAGATTGGGAAGTCATCTATTATTTAGAGCTTGTTCGTCCTTGCTCACACATGTCGAAAAACTACCGTCATTTACCTTAAGCTTGACATGAATGTATATCCTTTATATATGTATATACTTGTCAATTTCTTTAGCTTATACAGTTCTTAAGTTTATGCTAACTGGCATTTAGAGTTTCTTGACATGACTTGACTTTACAACAACAATATATCAATTCATCTCATCCATTTAACAATACGTGCAATGTTTCCTCAACCACCAGAAATTACCGAATTCTTCGGAGCTTTCCTCGCATACTCAGAAATAATGGAAAAGTCCCACATGTTTGGGAAATTCCCTCTCCACTGGGACGTTACGGCGTGTAGGCTCGTTCTGGACTTGGATTTTTCCAGAGATTACAAAGTCTTGATAAGATTGGGCACCTTTTTCATTGCATTTACCATCCCAGGGATTGGAATCTTACTGAGATCTTTGTCCAACAAGTTAGGATTCTTTTCCCATTTTAAGGACAGCGTGCCGCAGGACGTCATCGCTTTATATGCCGTCGCCTTTGTAGTTTTTCTGGGCATCTTTGCATTATTTTCTCCAATACTTTTTATATGGAAGATTTATACGGAGGACGAAATCGAACGTTCATTCGTCATGTTTCAGAGATTATCGAGAGGTAATTTTAACTATAATTTTATCCGTGTGAGGGCACTTCATACCCCACATTTCATTCCCCAAATATTTTTTTACTGAAATGTGTTGGGTACATGGTTGAATGAAATGTGGTGTTTATGAAATATGAAATTGATCAGGTATGAAATGTGAAAGGTATTGGGTATGAAATGTGAAAATTGTTTGGTATGAAATTTGAAATAATTGTTAAATCTTGCTCTTAATTTACATAACAACTTTATCTCGCCCCAGTGCGCCCCAAACACGAGAACGGTATTCAGATAAGCACCAAGCTTATCAAGGTGGCCAATTTCGTCGTACAATGCTATGCCAACGCTCCCCTAATTCTAGCCGCAATGTGCATACCGTTCAATCTGGATCCTCTCTACTACATTATGACGGAAATGCAATTCGTACCCGATAATCTACCCAATCTGCTGCTTCGAACCGTTCTTTTTGTCATATCCTGTACGGAAGCGTGTAGACTGGTCGCGATTGCAATATGCTTACTCCTGTGCGGCATTAACTTGGGGAAAAGAGAGATGTTCATGTGGGGCAATATCGCTAGGCGGAGCAACCTGAGGGGACATTCCTTATACCGGCAGATTTCCATTTTATACACTATCCGGCGAGGACCAGTCACGATCATTCTAAGTTTCGTTGTTATTGTGGGTTTTATTGCTGAGGTAATTTAATAATATTTCAAATAAATTTTTTGAAATAATTAAATTTAATCATTTTTAAAACATTTGTATAATGTTAAACAATTTTACGGAAGTAACTAAATATGTACCTGCTGACAAATTTGAACAGGTTTTTTGCAACTCTGCGACCATCGTAATGTTTGGCGTCGTCCCAATCTCGATTTACTGGGCGCTCCCATACATCGCATTTGTCGTGAGGACGCTTGTCAACCAAATTGTGGACATAGTTGCCCAAACGCATGAAAATTTTTCTTCAACTTTGAAATTGATGAGGAGAAAATGTGTTACCAGGAAGTCGTACATGTATCGAAAATTGAGGGCGTCGCCAAACCTTGGATTGCACATTTTTCTTGGTGCAAGTCCTCATTTGGTTAAAAATTCTTTTAAAATTGAGTACCGCTCTAATGTTCTTTATTATACGGTGTCACTTATAATGGCCACTTAATAAAAAGTAATAACGTGTTCTATTTATAGACTTTATTTCTCATTTCTGTATTTGAAAGGGAAACTTTTTAGATGCTCAGAGGTCTCATGAGAGGTCACAGCTCCAACGGTGAAAAGGTGTCGAACTTTTTGTATTGGTCGTTTTTGACGTAGTTTTGGGCTGGGATTTCAGAAATCACCATCATTTCAACGTGGGACGACCCCATGACTGTGTGGGCGGTGTCGAATTTCGAATAAAGACATGTGGGATATCTATTGAAAGGTACCATTTAAATACATGGCGTTGCTTCCGCCAGATAATGTTGCGCTTGAGTGAACGAAATCCTGTATTGAATTCTACGATTAGTGAATTTTATTAAATGCCGAGAACATTTGAAATAATTTTGCTAGCTATACTGATCCAAATAATGTCCGATGGATGAGGATAAGTAGGTTTTGCAGATAGATTATCAAACCCTTTGTTTTATTTGTGCAAATTGGACAAAGAATATTAGTAGTATAATTCATGTTAGGTTTCTCGTAAGAAAGCTAGATTTTTGCTGTGCTAATTTTAGATTTATATTTAGCAGTGTGTCAACTGCTCCATCCCACTGGTTCCCTCACTGCATCCGAACAAATTATTTGTTCTGCAACGACAAGTAGTATCTCCACAACCTGTCCGGGCAACAAGATGGATAAGGATTTAGCGCATCGCAATTAATTCCATTACTTCTTGTGCAGTCCTCATTTCGGATACACTGGAATTATTAAGTACACATGATGTTATTTCACGGCCCTACCACCATTACATTTTGCATCAAGGATAATTTTACTGGATTTTTATTTTTCAAAATTGAATAACATCGGGATGTCTTAACCGATTTCGATCAGCTTAATTTGAAAATGGTGACAAGGAATTAGTGCAACTTTAAAAAATAATTAAGCATTATGCGATGCTCCAAAATGGAACAATAGATATAAACTTGAATTGAAAGTTTTTAGCCAGCAAATTTTTGTAATCTTAGCCGGACCAAGAACGGCTTTCAACAATCCTTCATAATGACAAAATGATTTCATCAAAGTTGGTTTAGAATTGTCCGAGAATTCGAATTATAAGTTACTTTTTTGAGGTATGATATTAATAGATGTACAAGTACTTATTTACATTGGAAATGTTTTCAAGCTATAGCGCGATTGGGTGGCGAATTATATAAAAAAATATAGCCAAAAATTAGAAACTACAGAAAAATTATCTTTCCGTTGAATGTACCCTTTCAAGAAAATTAGTTTGGAAGCAAAGTTTTGCTGTTTCTTTTTGCCTCCACGGACGGTAATTAATAGGACCTGTAGCTCTGCCATTCAATACTTCCCTTCAAAGAAACCGTTCAATTTAAAGACAAGTGTCATATGATTCCTAATTTTGGGCTTGCTTTTTGATACAAATCGCCAGACAATCCCTGTTTAGCTTGAAAAAATGTTTAATTGTAAATTATTATCTTGTAGTTAGGTATTTGCGTCACTTCGAGAAATGTAAATTTTGATGCAAACCAATAGCTATTATACAAAAATTACACTCTCAATAAACCTGTTCCACAATTGTCACCATCAGAAGCACTCTGGAATTCTACCGCGTTGTAAAACTATAGTAGAAGCTGGTAGTATTACTAAAAACTTTACTCTACAGCGTTGAATTAGGCTGTGTACATATAGTTTTAGTTACCCTATGGTGACAAATTATTATCGACGCTATAGAATACTACCCTGCGGGTAACCATTGAATCACAAATTTACTGCGAGTATACCTTCTTCCCTTGCATTGTAATAATCAATAAAGTAATTGTTCGAACCGATTGCTGCGAGATACAAGCACAGGTCTCATCCCTTCGGCATGCTTTCTTCAACGTTCCAGGACATTCTGGGCAATCGGAGGCAGTGAAGCACTACAAATTGTTATACAAATGACCATAAAAATTCTTTAAACAAGGGGATCATATTAATCATCAAGTAGTACACGCTTAATATCGCAGTAACACCCAGTGTAGGTGTTGCATTTCCTGATTGGTGTATCAGTTGGACAGGCTAATTGAGTGCAATCGGAATCGGATGAACACTAAAATTAAAAATGGGTATGAATAAACTAGACATATGTATTTTGACAAATTTAATTTTTCGAACATTTTTGGCGCAAATGGTACATCTATCAAAGTTTCTGTTACAAATACTTTTCTCTCCTGCTGGGCACCTCTGTGTACATTCCTCATTAGTCGCGCACTACGACGAACATACTATTAGGATTAGTGAGCAAAAATAATATTTTCGAACGACTTACTCCACACAATGGCACACAAAAGCCACCACCGACATTACACAGACCTTCACGTCCTGCCGGACAAGGACAATCAGCATTCTGCCGACACTGGAAATTAAATCAAACTAAAAATTTACCCCTATCCTCATTAACCTTCTTATAATATGTATGTATGTTTACCCCTCGGTGTCTTTTCTTGCAGATGCACTGCTCGGTTCCGCACTCCTCCGCAAAGTAAGCTCCACCAAGTTGCCCGCAAATATTGTCGTACCGTTCAACATCTGCGTCGCTGACGAAGGCAGGACTACAATCTTTGCCGGAGCTACTCCCGCACTAAAATTATGATTGTATTAATAACCTAGTTACGTTACTAATGAGAGTCTTGAAGACCTCGGTACCCTTACATTTCCTTGTGGCATGCATTTGCAACTGCCCAGTGGGCAAAAACCCAACGAATCTGCGATATCGTAGCGATGCACCAGCATTGAATCGTAGAGAATCTCTATCGAATCGACGTCGAAAACTGAGCTAAATGACCACCGAATCTGTGCGAAAGAGCAGCGATTTCTTAGCGAATTTCGCAGCGACTTCGCGGTGCATCGTTGGGAATTCGAGATGCATTTTTATGACGAATTCGCTCTGAGTCGTATCGATTTCGATTCGTTTCGTCGTGATTTCGCTGCGAATTCAATGTCACCTTTTTTGTTCGTTTTTTCTTGTCGAAAGCAATGGAAGATTTATTAAAACGTAATATAAATACATAAATATTAAAGTACAAAATACAAACCAAAATATTAAATAACATTCGAATTTACAATACCCATGGGAGTATGATTTTCGATTGTTGAATTTTCTGTATTCACGCGTGTCAGGCTGGAATTGGGTTTTCTATAAAATAACGTCATGAAGTTTAGAACAATTTTGCACAATCCTACTATGTAAAATTTAAAATTGCTTACCATTTTTTTCCAATCTCTGCATTTTTCAAAAATTTTGGGAGAACGGCGTCCACGAATTTCTTCCTAACCGACAGGACACTTGGGTTCATTCACATACTCTACAAAATTTGAATTATTGGTAGATTTAGGTAACATTTTATACCTAATAAGGTTTTAACCAAACAAAACATGACTTATCTGGAAATAACTTTGCAAACACAGTTTCCCCAGTGAGCAAACCCACACTTTGTGAGTATCGCTAGACCATCTTCTAAAGACCCAAGAAGTATTCCCTTCTACAAATTACCAAATGCATAAGAAATATGTTAGGTTAAGTTAAGTGTGGTTATTTGTATTCAACTACCCACTTACCAAAAGATTTCAGCACCCGTGGATTTCACAAATTAAATCACTAATTTAATAATTATTAATTTACACTAGAGGAGGATTATTTATTAAGTTTTCCCCATTGTGATCGTTTACTTAAAAGATCCGCCGGTCGAAGGGCACGTGATCGAAAGGCGAGGAGTAGTTGCGATTTCGGTGTGAAATCGCTGCTAAAATTTTATACGGACAATAAAATTCTGAAGTCGTTCCGAATTCGTTGCGAATTCGCATGAACAATTCTTCCCTCGAAATGCCAGCGATTTTCCGTGATCGAATTCGTAGCGAATTGTCTTCGATTTTTCGACGAGAAATATATCGTGGCGAAGTCGTTGCGGGTTCTAGGCGAAATAGCCCTCGAAGTCGCAACGATTTTTCGCTGCAGCGAATTCGCTGTAAATTCGCTATGGTCGCAGAGAATTCGACCAACGAATTGCCTACTGGGTGGTCCCGTATTTATCAAAAACGCATTCCGGCGTATAGGATTCACGACAAATCGTTGAGTTGCAGTTTTTAAGGTGATTGTCACACTTGTAAAATACAGGGAATTTAAAATATGTAATTTTTCATCACATTATTGCCTTTGATTCTATAAACATTTACCTGATAATTGAGGCAGTAGCACTGTCGAGATGTGGCGTTGCAGGATGGAACAGTCTGGTCAGGTCCACAGCGAAGAAGAGATGACTCACAACCTCTCACGGTACACTAAAAGTGTTGGTGAATTTGAAAAATTAGTTTACCTAGTAAAATCAGCCTAACTATAATTATTTTATTGATTTACAGAAGGTGAGGTATTGTCACATCGACATTCGCCATTTATTCGGCACGTTTCCGCAAAATAATCTTGGCCACGATTAAGGCAAATTTGACTAAAGAGTCGCAGATCTGCTTCATTAACACCTCTTAAGCTGCACGTTATGTTCCTAGTGTTGCACTGAAATAAATAGTTTCAGCAATTACGGTGAAATTTGGTTGGTCCGTAAATTTTAAATATGTAAGAACAAAATTACGTAAGGTCCAGTTATTATCGGAATACATTTGCAACGAGTTCCATACATCCATTTGTTCAGGACGCATTCCGCCCTCTCAAATTCGCTGCATACGGTTGAGCCACAGCTTTTTTCCAGGTTATCGCACTTAAAAAATTGAGTTATATAAGGTGCTTTGGTTTTATGAGAGCCGTATATAATCGTCATGCTAGTTAAAAAAAATAGCTCCTTGGTTTTATGTATGTACAAGGAGTTTCCTACTGATTAAAAATTAATATGGCGCAGGCTCTTTTTTTAAATCAAGGAAGACTCGGTCATAGCTAGTTTACGAATTAGTGAAGTAATATATAAACTAACTGTAGTAGAGTTTGATAGTTAATGGTGTTAAAAATTTGGTTTTCCAGAACATTATTAAGGCTACTTCTCATGAGAGGAGGAGAAGTTTTGAGTTGGAGTAATGTCTTAGTCTCATCTTTCCCTCTCGCTTTGCGTAATGCGTTGTGGGACCTATCTCGAAGATCGCATCAACCTTGTGGGGGGGGGACTCGACATCAGGGTTCCGCATGCCCCAATGTTTTGCATTTCTTTTTCTACACCTGGTGGTTTTTTTACACTACGAATCAAACCACCCAAAATCTCTCATTGAATCTCTTCCGTACTGTCAAGCATTACGTATAAAAAAGATATGTTCCGATCCTGAAAATGCTGTGAAACAAATTGATATGTTATTCGGAAAATTTTCAAAACGGGGTTATCCTTTGAATGTACTACATAAATGTTTATTGAAAATTAATCAGATAAGCAGACATGATATTCTTAAGCCAAAAACTCAACTTGTGATAAAGCATTTAAAACATAATAATCCTACTGTGTTATGTAAATATACCAATGTCAACTTACATGAAAAAGAGATGCATGAAAAAGTGTTTATTGTCATGCCGTTCTACAAGAATATGTATGGTTTTAAGAAATTATTTATAGATTTTATTGTATGTGAAGCAAAGAAAGGTCAAAATGTAAAATATAAACAAATATTAACAAACCTTAATTTAATTATATCTTACAAAAAAACTACCCAACTAAAAAGGTACACTGGCCAGCAACATAAAACTGGATAACAGTATCAATTTGTACTCAACTCGAGGCGTAACATATGAAAAAAATATTTGCCCAAAAAAAGTTTAAGAAACTTGTAAACAACTTATAAACATTTTAAAAAAAAAACTATAACAAGTCACTCAGCAGGTAATTTTTGAAATTCTGTTACAAAACTTACTAAAGTCTTTAATTTTACCAGATTATTTAAGAACACAATTACACTTATTTTAATGGCGTGTGAATAAGCATGTGAATATGCATGTGCATATACATATGTATATACTTTTATATTCAAACTTAATTGGAAATTTAATTCACTTTATGTTATTTTATATTAATTATTTTGTAATTTTCTATAATTTCGTAGCCTGAAGAAGCTGTACTTTATGGCGAAACCGGTCGCAGCTGGTGAATAAATCAGATTATTTGTCAATCAGTTGGAAGTGTTTTCTTCACACCTTCAATGTTTTTGAACAGCAAAATCATTAAATTTTCGAAATGTGGCCATGAACTCGTGAAATAAGCATTAATAAATCCTGATCATAATCTCCAATCAGAGCGTAATTAAATCAACTCTTGTGTCGAATATTTACCCGATACTGGAGACAGTAGCATTGACCAGAATTGTAGTTGCACGATGGAACGGTATTATTTGGTTCACAGCGAAAAGTTGATGATTCACACCCATTGAACAAACACTGCAATAATGTCGGATAGTTGATAATGTAGTCGACAAATTATTCAATTTCAATTTAAGGACATGAGATGGAAGTGGGATTAGGTTCAAAAGCTGAGCAGCAGCCAATAATCCGGTCCCCCAGAAGGTGCCAAAAACCAGCAGAACTAATTCGAAGTGGAAGCAACGCCAATAAATTTGTTACAAACATATTAATACAAGATAAAACTAATTAGTATTGCGAATCAAATTTGAGTAATATAAACCGGGTAAAACTACTCGTTTTGAGTACTACGGTGCTCTAATAGCAAATCATGTTCTTAAATATTTCATTTTTTTAACGTTAGCTCCCCAAAATAATAATTAAATGCAGAGACAGATTGGCATTTCCAATATAAAATTAACTTCCATAAAATTTCTCACTCATTTCACCGTCTTTCCCAAGAGAACTTAGTGAAATTTAGTGAAGATCGGTAAATTTATTTATCTAAAAAATTACTAATAATTTGTCTTACATTGTGTTATACCGGGCAGTCCAATTCTAGTTGAGAAAACACTCAAGAAACAAGTGCCTTAAGACGCTAATTAAATTTAATAAAGTTGCTAGCTTGCCAAGGGAAGAACTGGTTGCTATGTAAAATTATTCATCGTATTTATTTAGGTGACCTTTGACCTTTATCTGCCTTATTTATGGTATCTGTGTTTTTGGTACCATTTTGTGTGCATTTCTTACGATTGATCAGGTCTCATTTAGATACGTATGTATGTACGTACAGAGACCAGATTCGTAATTTTGCATTTTTGATCATACGATGGTATGATTTTGCAATGAGTCTGAAGTTCAGATTCTGAGCATTGTTCACATCATGTTAAATATGCATTTGTAAGGATTAGGGTTGAACTTTGACACTGCGTCTCCAGATTGAACGAGCACGATATCACGATAATATTAATATTTGTATGTATCAAGTTGACATGCCATTCAGCGAAGAGCATGTGCAGTTAATTATTTTATAGCGTGTTGTTGGGTTAGGAGAAGATAAATTAAATAATTAGATAATACCAAATACCAACCATCCCCGTATACATACTCACCCTCGTAAGTTGGATGGCAAATAAATATAAATATGCATGCATAACCAAACAGCGAAACTTGCTCACATTGACGTAAATCATTGATAAATATATTGTAATCACAAATTACATTAATTATGTATAAATTACATTAATACATGAAATTTTAATGAAAAATGTATTAATAATGTATAATAATAATAATTAATTACTAAAAATGATTACATAAAAGTAATCATAAATTACATTGATAAATAGGGAGGAGTGTGTAGATGGCCTACAAATCTGTGTTTTTTATGACGTCATATATGGAAGTACGCAAATCAGAGCTCGACGCCGCCGATCTCACACCGCCGCGCCGCCATACGCCGATGCATTTTCCGCGCCGCCGCCGCCGAAAAATTTGATTTCCTACTCCTTTAACATTGCGACGCCGCGCCGCGCCGCCGACGCCGCCGAAAAATCACCAAAAACTTGCACCGCCGCCGCCGAAAATTTGTCGTCGTCGACCTCGACCGCAAATATATACTTATGTAGGTATGCGTATCAAGGTTCCTCATGTTTAACAATTCTAACAGATATTATTTTTTTGATTACATGATGTCATTTACATCTATGTACTTACATATGTACGAATGCTGCAATTTTTCAAATGTAGCAAATTTATCCACTCCCTTTCCCCAAAAAGTTACCTATTTGAGTTTATATCGCAAGCCATAATAACAAACAAAATAATTTATTTCTCGAGCGCTGGATAAAAATTCGCTCATAACTATATAGAAGGAAACCAATAAATACATATAATCATTGTCTGTGCTTCCTCTAAAATTTGTATCAAAATTGTTATTTACTTTGTAACTTGCTTATATAATTGCGGGATAATGGGTCGGACCGGTTTGGCAAAGAGAATATTTTCTATCAGGATAAATATTTGTTTCAGGTAGGATGAATCCTGGCAGATTAAAATAAAAACTGTATTTTGCTTATAAGCTTTTTATTCTACAAAATTGCTACCGGAATTTTTTAATGGATGAAGAAAACGCTAATTGACCACCAGTTTAGTCGTCAGCTTTAAAGTGACGCAGTTTAACTCGTGCACTTCAAAATGTATACCAAAAACTGCTTCAAAATAATAAAATTCGGGCTCAGCTTACCCTTTCGCCTTGGTTCAACCAGTATTGGAGTTGATGTTAAATCGGAAACATTTTCAACAAACAATTTACAAAGACGAAAATTTTTGAAAATTACCCTGATGCTTGTCTTGATTTCGATACTTTGTTGCTTGAAAACATACAAAATTTGGAGTTACGAAGGGGGAAATTCAAATAAATATTTTCACATTTGTTACACATATTCCTTCCTGACGGTAATAATTACGGGATCTTTCATATTTTTGAACTGGATGCCAGAAGATGTTTGCAATATGGCTAATCAGTTAGTCCGGTATTGCCGTTATACAACCCACGAACACGGCTCTTTAAAAAAAATTCACGCGCGACACGAAACACGACTTTGTCTGACAGAAAAATGCCCAACACGCACGGAAGATTTTTTAAAACGAAAAAACACGCACGACACGCATGGCACGCACGATGCGCACGACCAAAAAATTTCGGTTTATTTTGCATTTGAGCACTATCGTGTCGGGTATAACAACAGAATTGTTTGACACTATCATGAATAATTGTCACTTAACCGACATTTGCAATTTCCAGAGTGTAAAAATGCAATTATACGAAGAATTTAGCAACGCAATTTAGCAACGAATCTAGTAACTAATGTCCCGCTTCACAGCGTGCGTGTAGTGCTAAAAGTACCAACACGCACGATACGATAGTAGAGTCTGGTCTGGTAAGTAGACACTTACGGTACCCGGGTTTTTACTGCTACCGCAATTTAGCAGTAACAGTAAAAACCCGGGTACTGTAACTCTGCATAAGAACGCAGAGGACCACACCGCCGAAACCACCATCACCACCGACTAAACCGATGGCGGCGAAGACGCTGGCGCTGCTCCCGAGTCGCTGGGACCCACGCCACGGACTGAGGCGATGTCGTGGGCCGCGCCAGCGCCCTCGCCGTCGTCGTCGTCGCAATAAAACCTCCTCCGCCACCACCACTACCCAACCATCACGAAAACAATAATAATAGCAATAAAAACGATGATAATAATAATAAATATGTAATGCAGGTACTCACGAGTCAATCAGGAATCAGTCTTTTAATTTATTATTTCAGTCTTTTCTCTTCCCTGAACAAATAATAAATAAAATATATGTACACATTCATACTCATTCATCCTAGAAAATCAAATTAAAAAAAAAACATTCACACACATACACACACATACACACACAAAAAAAACAACACCACCATCACTAAAAATATTTAGTGGCCTGTGCCACGACCCGTCTCCAGTCGGTTCGTGGCAATCGAGGTGTCGATGGCGAGACGTGCGGGGGACAGGTTGATTATTTGGACTTCCTCCTCCTCGTTCAAAAACCTACAAAAAAGTAGTTAGTTAATTATTTAATTAACGTGTGACAACACTCTTAGAAATCCAGTCTTAAAAAACGAACCCAACGTACGGTACGGGTCGGTTGCGGCGACGACGACGACCAATTGCTTTCACCGTCACCACCGCCATTCCTCCAACGATCATGACGATGATGATTGTTGTTGCTGCGGTTATGATGACAATAACTGCAAAAAAAAGAGAAATATGTATTTAATATTTAGGAAAAAAAGCGTCAAAATATTTAAGATTAAATTGTGACACTTTTTGATCTTATAAAAATTAAAGAACACGCTCACAAAGTTTGATCGTCAGTCGTTATCAAATGAAAAACTTAAAAATGTTCCACTCACCAGACACTGATCCAGGCGCAGTCTGAGGTGAAGGGGTGGGGAATGTTGGAACTGTTGTTGCTGGTGTTGGGGTGATTGGGGGAGGAGGGTCACACCGACCAGACGGAGGGACAAACGAGGTGTTTGTAGGGCGGGAGGGGGTGCACCCCAAGGACGAGAAGAAACACCCGGCACGCACACACACAAGACAAGACTTGGTCACCGGGCAACCTGAAAAACAAATTTAAAAAATATTATTATCATTACTGCTATTATTATTATCATTACTGCTACTACTATTATTACCGAAAGTAAATCCAAACACTAGAAGAAGAAGAAAAAGCCGCATTTTAAAAAAAAGCGAGAGGAACAAAGAAAGAACTCGAGAACTCACAACAAAAGTGAGTGTTTGTGTGAGTAAATCGCGGTGTTAATATAAGTAATGCTCACTTTCCCCCAACAAATCATCTCAGTCATGATAAATAAATATATTTTACACAAATTTGATTTTAATACAACTTTATTACAGAAATCATGTGTAATACTTTTTGTAATAATCATTGATGAGGGCTGCAGACCGTATATCAATAAATAAATACTATACTACACGATACTATTAAAAAAATTATGAGAAACCAGTATTTACATAAATAAATGAACTACTTACAATATATAATATTTTTACACAAGAATTTCCTTCGAGAACAACTAGTCTGAGTACATTTAAATTTAGTACAAAGCTTGCGTTTCAAAGTTGCATAAAATGCAATCACAATCTGATCATTTTTTAATGTATTTCGATCAAATATTTTCATAAGGTGAGACATTGATACTCTACGCAGTCGGTGAAAAATGAAATAGAGACAGTACATACCACAAACATTACTATCCCAGTTTTGAATAGAACGTCTATTCTGAATCGGATGATTTTCTAGTATACAATTAAAATATTTTTTACTGTAAAATACTAAACCTTTTCCAAAACTATCAAATACTTCTATTTTATGTTCATTCATGGCATATATGAGAATCCAGTGTCCCATTACAATTTTTGAGGTACTCGGTAGCACGTTGCAAATAAAAATTTTAGGATAAATAGTAGACTTAAGTAATTCACGTTCTAGTTCATCAGATGATACCACACCAAAGACAGTAATTTTATAAGGTTTGACAATTAATTTCAAAGCACTGTACATTTGATTACTATTCATTTTATCGTAAAAGTCCTTGATTCTCAATTTCTACTTCCCTATACTTATTAATAGTCAAGAGATTCTGAGTCTGTGATAAAATTATAACAGTAACAGCAGCTGAAAGTTCTTGAGAAAAGTCTAATTCGAGTTTAAATGTACCGTTAGTAGGATAAAAACTAGTCTCACTCTGGAAACTCTGTAGTTGGAAAGCAAATAACGTGTTTCCGTCGGCAAAACTAGAGCGGTCTATCCCGATGGTCTTGTTTTCCAGACTCAAACCATCTATAAAACTTTGATAAGCTAACAAGTACCGTGTAGAGAAAGTCAAGTTCAAGGAACGATATTCTAGAGGAACATTATTAATCGAGACAACAAAACGTGACAGGTTGAAGTTAGCAAAGTTGAATGGGTTCTTGGAATATTTTCCACTAATTGAGTCTGTAACCAAAATTAAGTATAAATGTAGAAACTCTTATGTATTTGTAATTTATTGTGTAAGTACCTGTCTCAACCAAACCTATGACAATACGTTGGCGTAGTTGAACGGTTGAAAAAATATTTTCTGTTACAGGAATTTTGGAACCTTTTGCAACTGACACAGTTTTAATCTCATTCCTAACTAGTGGATACAAAGCTTTCTGTTTATCAAGAATTTTCTCATGTAGTTCCACGACTTTTGGTGACACAAGTTGATTTTTGATGTAGAATACAGCTTCGTCAATCGAGATTATATACTCTGTCGTGTCCACCGCTGAAGCTAAACTAAATCTAACCGGTGCTCGTCTCAGTTTGAGTTTAAAGTCAACCAGAGGAAGAATCCATCTAGGTTGAAGACAGACATCGTCCATGATCCGCCCACATAATTCCACCGACTGACTTTTAGCAAGATACGATTTTCTTGATGCGTAACCATCGTTGTCATCACTTTGCTCATCAGCGTTGGTGTCCCGAATATAAAGTGCGTTTTTTAATATTTCCTTCTTGTATACTTCACTATAGGAGAGGTGGTTTAACAAATATGCACAGTAGTGATAGAACGGTTTGGATGATATTAATTTTCCATTCATGTAGACTTCTACCATGTCAAATAACGAATGGAGTAAGTTATTTGTACAGCTAAGGTCGACTCCTGCAGCAAGATTTGTACCATCACTGTTTAAAACCCGAATATTTAGATACAAAAATGATTCCGCCAAGTCCTAATACACACCGGGAACGCCACTAACCTTGAGAGTATAATGTATATGCACATGTATTCAATAATTACTTTTACAAATCATTTAACTTACATTAAACTCTAGTGGCGCCGCTATTTCCTTTGTCGAAACTGTTGGGAAAACTGGAACATGATATGAATTTAAAGTGGACACGTCACTAGCGTTTAATGTGAACAAGTCCAAGTAGCTATTCACGGCTTTTATTGAAGTGTTTGCCATTATTTCTTCTTTTTCCTCTTTCCACCCTTCTTTGGTTTCTTCCTTTTACCTCCTTTACTCTTAGATTTTTATTTTCGTTTTGTTGAGGTTTTCTTTTTCTTTTTCTTTCCACCACAAATAGGACTCTTTGTTTTTCGCTTTCGTTTACCACCCTTTTTTACTAATCCCTCTCCTAATTGTGTAGACTTTTTTGTTTTGCGAACTCGTTTAGCTTTGGTTGATTTTAATCTCCAAACTCTCGTTTCTTGGATGAACTTTCCCCAAAATTGAAAGGAACGAGATACGAAGTTGTTTCACCAATTAATCCTTGAGTTGGCATTGTGTGAAACCCTTCCTATCCTTACAATGTTTTCAATTTTATATGGAGTAGACATGTAAACCCAGAAGTTTCGTCAAATTGAACACTCTGTCCTGCTTCGTTTGTGATGCAGAGTCGTATTCGATCCATGTTAGGTACGCATACGTTTACATATTGTAGAGGGTGGAAGGAGGAGCTCTGAAGACTTGCTGTGTTGTGAGGTTGCTCGAATACTTTGAGGATTTGTTTGTACTGGTTACCAAATAACTGAGGGGGAACTAAATCACAATGAACCAAATACAAATTGTTGTTTTGGAAAAGATCGATATTGCTCAACTCAATGTCTTGTCCACTCAGAGTGCGACTACTCATACCCAACATTGAAGAAATTCGCTTAGAAAATACAAGCTGGTACGAACCAGTGCTTGCATGAATTTTGTTAAAAACCGTACTTATTTCAACCCCATCTGAAGTTTCTTCACCAGTATGTATAACTCCAGCTGTTTCTAAAATAGTATTGACTTCGCTAACAAACCCAGCTACACTGAAAATACTAGGTTCTAAAATTGTATGTACACTTATGAGTCCAAGCTTTGATGATGCTATAGTTAGTAACGAGTCACTCTTGTCACCATTTCCAAAGAATGAATCGATTGGTTTAAACCAAGCAGTTGATAACGCAACCTCAAACTGATTCGATTCGAGATGTAATGGAGTATATAAAGTATTACAGAAATCTGAGGTAGACAGAGATTCACCAGAAATTGTTTTATTACTCGAAACGTAAATGAAATAAGAATCAGTTGACACACTTTCGATACTCATATTGTAACAAGGTGAACGACGTTATGGGTGAATGATGTGAAGCGAGGGAGAATTATCGAGCGACCGAGAAAACGGGGAGGAAAACGGAAATGAAGTGTTTGGTTGAACAGGTTGCTATGGTTACACCGCGATGACTCAGAACAGTCGGTTCGAGTTTTGCACATGCCATTACATTTGCTGAAAAACGTTTTTGACAGTCTATTCACTAGGACGTGGTACTTTGTAAAACGCTTCCGTCTCCTTTTTCTGATTCATGTACTGGAAGCAACTCTTGTTCATAATAAGTACCTGTTATGAAAGCAAAATATGAAACCATCGATCGTTTGACTACAAAATAATTATATTCCTACCAACAGGTTCGTTGTTAGCATCCAGAACAGCATATGTAACGGGGTCGGTTTGCTTGATTTCAGCAATATGTCCAATTTCCAATGACCAGCGAGTTGATTCCAGTAGACAAGTTTAGAACAGTCATATGAAGTATAATTATTCCAAATAAATCGATTTGGGGAATTTTGAATATTTAAACAATAATCTGACGTGCAGGTAAAATCAACAATAAAACCTTTGTAGGTTGAAAAAAATTGTCTACTTATACATCTATAATCAGGTGAGCCTAACGCAAACCACAAGGACTTAATAAATACAGTCTCCCCATACTCAATACATGACAAACACTGGTCAACAATTGTTGTATTATTATTATTGATAGCAAATGAAAACAAAAATAACTGAATAAAAATAAAAAAACTGAAAAAATTTATCCATTGGTTTCACTTTGGAGTTGAGCCACTCCAATCTTGACTCGTTTGACGAGTTCCTCCAAGAGATGTTGCAGTTCGTGGCAACTGAACCAAATGCGTTGTCCAGACTCTGTTCCTCGTGTCTTTAACAGAGCAAAAAGTATGGTTCGGTTGACTTCGGTGTACAAGACATCCACTGATCCGACAGGATAGATCATGTCACCCCCACCAAAATTTTCTTGTTGGTAGATTAATTTATCAACCAATTCATCCAACTTGACAGTTTCTGGTTGTCCAGTAATAACAAAGTCTCTGGATACTCCGAGGTAAAGGAAGTTGACTGGATCATAGAAGCAGGACTGTTGGTCAAATTGTAAATTGAACTCATCAGTTTTCTTGCCAGTTGCTGTCAACTCTGATATCTTGGTTGAGTAAATATATGAATAACTTGATGAGGATCTGAGCTTCAAACAAATTTATCCACACTGCTTGACCTTTAGTATTTCCAGAACGTTTGTATATTCCAATCATCGGACCTTCGTCACGATAATCAAAATATTCATAGGGAGACTCCTTGAAAATTGAGGTAACGAGAAGGCTGTTGATGGTTGTCTCTTCAAGCAATGGGTTGTTCCAAAATTCTAGTTGTTGATCAAGACGAGCCTTACTGATACTTTGTTTATCGACTTCTGATTCTTGAATCAGTCCTTTAAATTTCAGTCCAAATTTTTCAAGATCGAGTGGAACGAATTCGATACGAAATCTTGGTGGCGTATGGTGTAGTCCTTTCCACTGATTCTTCCGTTGTTTCAATCTTCGAGGAAGGGTCCCCTTAACTCGGCGCTGTTCCACCAAAGGATAAGTCTTGAACGTTTCCATTCCTGTAGTATCCAATTCGTCAATGAAAATTCTTTTGGTTTTCGAGTTGGAACTCATTTTCCCCTGGAATAACTACTACTTGTGCTACTACTTTTGTCTCTGACTGTTTTCTTTCTCAACTTGCCTAACAACTGAACCCAGAAAGAAACTAGTCAAACTTCAAATAGCGTTATTGTTAGCTCGAACTGCGCACTTGGCTCTAACCCTTCCTTTTCTTGTTCATCGATTTAATATAAACACGGTTGTTTATGAAGTATGCCCCATGCAAAGAATTTTTATGCAAAACAAATAAAATTATGTAAAACACAAAGTTGGTAAATATGAAACGTTATTACCTTCTAGTCATGCTTGGTCACGACCCTTCCATTCGGAGGTCCTGTTGTAGGGCCAGGTTTTTGGCCAATACGTGTTTCTGAAATTCATAAAATTAACATATTCGATGTATAATAAATCTTGGTAGCATTTAATATTAAAAAATAAAACATAAAATATACTAACAAGAATTCTGACTCTCTTTTACGATACACGTTGAATGGTTTGTTGCAACTCTCGTCGTGAATCTGTTGTTTAGTTTTGTCCTTGTATAAACAACGGATGCAGAAAATGGGAGGAAAGTGTACAGTTGGTTCCACTCGTGGTTGAAGTGGGAACATTGTGTCCCGCTCAAAGGAACGTCGGAATTTGATGTTGAATCTTTCAATATTTTCTTTCCCCTTCCCATCATACAGCGAACAAACATTAAAAAACTGAATTTTTTTGAAGTAGGTACAGGAATTGGTAGGGAGTTTGGGAGGGATCTCACTCAAAGCTTTTTTGATGAAGAACATCTAATCCTTAGTTGTGGCATAATCTTATCACTTCGACCACCGTCCACGTAGAATTTGGTGACAACTCTTGTACAGTCGTAACAACCTGTACAACCAGGATGGTGACACACTAAAGAAGTCCACATTGTGTCCATTTCCACAGTTTTAGCGTATGGTTGACTCACAGAAATACTTTTCAATATAGCATTTCTTTTGCTTTCTTTAGCTTGAATATGTTTCAACTTCTTCTTCTTGAGGGGAGGTGAAAGTACTACGTCCTGGAACGACTCCGTCACCTATAAAATAATTTTAAAAAATTCAAACAAATGCACAAAAATAAATAACAAGCAAACAACTAGTAGTCAAAATAGCAAGTAAGCAAGTAAATAGAATAAGCAGGAAATAAAATAAAACTATTTAAACTCCAATCTCTTTTGTAATTATTTATTTCGATCAACAAACGTTTCAAAAGTTATCCACTCCTTACAATTAGATGGTTCGTCAAAACTTAGCCTATCATATTTATCTAGCAACTTCACAAATTCGGAACTTAAATAATATAATAGAGCATTTGTATCCTTCAGAAATTGGATAAATAGTCCCATACCTGGCAATGCCAATTTTCTTAATTTACTGTGACAACTAGCAGCACTTAGTAAATCAATAATATTACTTTTTGGAATGGTTTGACCCAAGTATTCAATCTCACCATTTTTCTTCCACTTAAGATTATTGTTTTCTATAATAAAAGTAATCAACCGACTTGCTTTATTTCTCTGATTTTCTGGAATTGCAAGAAGTAACGTGTTTACTTCAGGATTATCTACAGATTTTGAGTCAACTTTCACTTTCTCACTGCTACTACCACCACCAATGGTTGAATTAGATAAAAAAGTTGACTGAAGGTTGGCTGGCGAAATATTTTCATGATTATTATTACTACTACTACTACTACTAACGTGTGTTTGTGGGTTGGAAATTAGAGAAAACTGATTATCTATCGGTGTTGGTGGAGGTGGGGGTGGAGTAGGTTCAAAAATACGTCGATACTGATCTAAACTAATAACTTTGAATATTCTAAAATTAGACATAATTACTCCTTTTCACCCTCGTTTAAAAATTTACAAAAAGCCCCCTCAGTAATTTTTGTGAGTACTGTCGATATAATTAATGGTAGAACTGAATTATACTTAACAAATAATTTTCGTACTAACTCTAATTTAACTCTTTTAAACTTAATTAAACATAGGAGTAGAGGTTTCACTTTCTTCAAATCTTTTTGTTCGTTTTTAGTGTAGGGAAACGAATTTATATTTACACACACTTCTACTAAAATCTTAATATTTTCCTCAGTTGTTGTCTTAATTAGAGATTTTCTTGCAGTAATATTTGCACTCATAATAGTTTCTAGAAAAGCTTTATTTTCTTCCACTCTTTCCATTATAGTGGCCTCAAAACCATCATATCTTCAGGGAACAAACTCGTCTTTACTCTAAATCTGTTGTTCTGAATCGGGGTGAGATCAATAGCTAAGTAACCGTGTGGAGATTTCGTTACAAAGTCATATGCGTCTTTTAAAAACGCTGTATTACCAGGAAATGTTTGACGCCCAACAGAAGTAATTGCAGACCGATCACGAGGAAAATTGAAAATCTTGGAGAAAGTAAAGAATTAAAATCATTTCAAGTTTATTTTGACAAGATTTTTTAACTTACAATAAGGTGATCAATTGATAGACCAGCTGTTCGTAAACCAGGAGTGTAAATATTGTGTAAAATTACAATAACAGAGACTCGAGCATGATGAACCTTCTTTGTTATTAAATCTATTCATTTAAAAATAAATACTTAAAAAAATAATTACTATTTTTAAAATTAATTACAAACCAGTTAGAAATGAGTTCATATGCTTGGAAAATGAATCTCCCATATCATCGTAAACAATAATCGATTCAGGTCGTAGAAACGTGTCATCCCACTGATTCGTTAATTCCAATGTTGGTAACTATTTTTTTATTTAGACAAATTTAGTATAAATTTATTCACCACGATGAAGCTTTCGTGACTCCTTTGCAAATTTACTATATTTTTTGAATTACTTGTTTTTTTAATACAGCAAATTCTGGTTGGTCTTGACCTGCAACGTAAACTAGATGACGAATATCCCCACACACTATTTCCTTGCGTCGGAGCAGAATAGACTCCACCAGATGACTTTTTCCTACCTTGGCCGGGCCTACATAGATGGAGAAAGCGAGTTGAAACGAGAAATACGGGTAGTAGCTAGTAGTGAATGTATGTAACTATGACAACCAAAGTGAACAAGGGAACGAGTTACCACAAACGAACATGCTAAAAGGATGAGTGAGACCAACCACCATCTCGTCCGAAGCTAACATTTTAACTGCATGGAAAGTGGAGAAAGTTTGAGTTTAGTTCACCACCAAACACATTCCTGCTCCGATCACTTCACATAATACTTGACTCGAAAGCAACAAAATGAGTAAAAAAGAATTAGCTCGACCAGGCAAATTTTTTGTTGGTGGTCACCGAAAAGTGTGCAATATTTGCAAAAAAATTGAATACACAAAAAGAAGTTTAGAAATACATAAACACAACGCACACGCGTGTCTACGTTGTGGTGACAAGACTATTGTTGACAAAAGTCGTCATCGTTGTCGTCGACCTCAATTTGGTGGTGCTGGTGGAATATCAAACAGTTTGCTAATTGAAACTACTGCATTTGAGGAAGTGCAATCTAGTCTCGCTGGAACATTTCGGAGATATGTTCTCAAACATAAAGTTGCAGTTCCTCTGTTACAAAAATATTACTACGAAATTTATGACGATTTCAATGTGTCTCTAAAAAAACTTTTGAGACTGCGATCTATCTATCCTGATGGTTTTAAACTGAGACTAGTGTTGGATGTAATTCTACATAAAACTAATTCAGACATTCGTGCGTCAAGTCACTTATCTTCCAGTTGTAAATGCTTGGTAAATAAATATGAAATTAGAACTAATTTGTTTGATATGGTGAATGAGCAGGTGGCTAATCTTGATGTGTACCAACGCAACGGTTCTAACTGGACTATTGTAGAAATTAAAAATCTTAATGTTTATATTTCTAAACCCAAGTCACTTCGAGGAGGGTCATATATACCAACACCAAAACGTTATGATGATAAAAGAGGACTAATCAAATTAAAAACAACAAATAACCAATGTTTTCAATATTGTTGCATTTCAAAATTACTTGGACATCGAAGCTTACAAAAAGCTGCCCCACTACAACAATACGAACAATTTCAAACACAGAACAAGGATAATAGTTTGATTAACTTTTCGTGCTTCGATTCTACCGCTGGAGTTAAAATTTCTCAACTATCAAGATTTGAGAAATTGAATCCTGATTTTTCTGTAAATGTGTACAATTACAGTCCAGAATGGAAATCTATTTATCTTATCTATAAAACAAAGAAGATGAAGAAATATCATGTAGATTTAATGAGACTTCAAAAAGAAATGAAATCACACTTTGTTCTAATTTCAAATTTTAGTAGATTTATGTGGGAACCTGGCTACAACAAGAAATATTTTTGTAGAGTTTGTCTACACGGATTTATAACAAAACATGGTAGAAATAAACACAGCAAATTGTGTAACCAGATAAATAAAACAGTTATACGATTCCCAACCATAGCATTACATAAGTATGGACAATATGTAGAAAACGAACCACCACCAGTGTATATAGTAGCAGATTTTGAAACGGTAGCCAGTAGGCCTGGGGAAGATGTGGACATAATGGATGGAGAAAGTGATGATGAGATGGGTGGTGGTGGGAGTGGTATTGACCACATTCTCCAACGGCGAGGGTTTGCATTCGTAACCATGAGTGGTGATGAACCTATAATAATAAAAACACACGTCGGTACTACCCCTGCCAAGAAATTTGTCATATATATGCTACGAATATCTGAACTCTACCAGGAGCGTGTAAGTGCATATGCAAAGATGATGAGAATGAACTCGGACGATTGGATCAATTTTGCTACAACTACTATTTGTTGTTTATGCAAAAGTAAGTCTGAGTACAAACCTAGATTTGAAATGTTAATAATTCTAATTGTTTTATTATTATTGCAGAACCGTTTTACTCCAAATTCTACGATAAAGTGGCTCACACCAACGAAAAGCGAGCAATGGATGCAGATTTGGACCAGTTCACAGTCCCCGACGTTCAGTACAGAAAGGTTCGACACCACTGTCATACCAAGGAACAAAATGTATTTCAGGACCGGGCGAAATACATCGGAGCCGCCCACGCTAACTGCAACTTAAATTGTAGAAATAGTCGGTATTGCACGATTATATTCCATAATTTAACTGGCTTTGACTCAAAATTATTAATTCTCGCAATCGCGGAGCTAGGACTCCCGTTGAGAACAATTTCAAAGACTAGTGAACGACATATTTATTTACTGGTAGGTCAACGTCTACGAATAATTGATAGTCTAGCACACTTGAACAGTTCACTTGACAACCTTGTACAGAATCTTAAATTAGATGGAGTAGATAAATTTAAAGTGACAACAAAATTATTTGAGAATGTGTTGGGTGTAGACCTACCACTAGTTTTTGGGAAATTGGCATTTCCTTACGACCATTTGACGATGCAAAATCTACACGAACAGATAGTGGAATTACCACCGATTGAGTGCTTTTACAATAAGTTGAAGGATAGTCCCTGTGAACCAGAGGAATACAAGAATGCGTGCACAATTTTTAAAAAGTGCAAATGTAAAACTCTCGCTGAATTTATGAGAGTCTATAATTTACTGGACTGCAGTTTACTGTGTGATGTATGGCGCTCACATAGAGAACATTGCTTAAATACTTATAAAACCGATCCCACCAATTACGTGTCACTAAGTAGTATGAGTTACAAGATAGCGCTGAGGGATGCAAATGCAACTCTACAATTTATTACCACCCCAGATCTTTATAATTTAACAAAAAAGGCTCAGGTGGGAGGAATCGTGAACGTGAGTAAACGTTACGGCAAAGCCAATGTTCCTGGTTTCCCTAATTATAATCCAAAGAAACCAACTAAATACATTATACAACTCGATGTAAATGGGCTGTATCCACACAGTATGTGTGAGAAATTACCTACAAGGGATTTTGTTAAAAAATCTAGTAAATTTATGAGGTCGTTTGACCCGACAAGATATTCCACGAAAGCGGATGTCGGGTTTCTTATCGAGTGTGACCTCGAGATATCGTCCGAGCACCACAATTGGTTTAAAGATTTACCACCATTCGCGGAGAAAAGAGTTGTCAACGAGAGTGACCTTTCAAAATCACAAAAGGATTATTTGAATAAAAATCCTAATTCGAAATCCAACCTGGGTGGAGAACAACTACTACTCACACTTCACAATAAAAATAACTATGTATTATTTCTACCAATGTTGAAAGTAGCACTTTCCCTCGGTGTGAAAGTGAAAAAATATCACACAATTTGGACTTTCAGTCAGAAAGCCTTTCTAAAAAATGGATATTAGAGAATGCATATTTACGTGTTGCTAAAACAATTGGAATGAACCAATTAATTAAACTTGTAATGAATAGTGTCTCTGGGTATTTCGGAATTGATCCAACTAAATTTAAGAATACGCAGCTTGTGTCTGAAATTGAACAAGCTAAACAACTTGTCGCAAAACACAATTTTTCTAACGCAAAAATGATTAATGAGTTTTTAGTCATGATTGAACACCATAAAGAAAGTGTAGTAATGAATAATCACATTCTTGTGAACGCTGCAATCCTAGATCACTCCAAAGCTTATTTTTATTCCCTAGTCTACCAGTTTAAAAAACATTTTGGAGATAGGATAACTATTTGTTATGTAGATACAGATAGTTTTTTAATGGAAATATATGTAGACGACTCGTGGAAAGAATTAAGTCAGGTGAAACACAATGGAAAACCAGTTATGGATTTCTCATTTCTCCCAAGAGACCATCCTTATTTTTCAACCGACTGTAAAGGTACGTTGGGACAATTGAAAGATGATAATATGAGTGGAGTTCTCAAATTTATCGAGGAGTACGTTATTCTAACTAAAAAATGTTATTTCCTAAAATTTTATTATCCTAACCCTACCGATAGAAAAGGAAACAAGAAATTAGACAAAAGAAAATTAAAAGGTATTGGTCGATCGTTTGTTAAAACGTGTGATGAAGACGCTTTCAAAGCTGCATTGTTCAACCAAACATCAAAGAAAGTAAAAACTAGAAATCTACGCAGTAAAAATTTTGAAATTCAATCTGTGAATTCTGATAAACTAGCTCTATCATGGGTGTGCAACTCACGATATTTACTGGGGGAACGTGGAATAAAAACCCTACCGTTCGGCACAAAGATATTGTATGAAACAGTCTACATGTAATTAAATTGTAAATAGAAATGTAATCAATGCAAATATGATAAAAAATACAACCAATTTGTACAATGTGTAAATTTTTGTCTGGGGTTAAATATTTATTTCACATCACAACACATGAAAAGTGAATATCTCCACAAGTACTCATCAGTAAATTGTTAAAATAGTTTTAAATATTTAATTTTGCATACAAAAACCAAATACACACACAAGCACACATCCTCATAAAATATAACTAGTACACATACAACAAACTCAACACGAAATCTAATACAATCATCAAAATAACAGTAAACTATTTAGGCAGTGGTGGTAACATCAGATTCTGCAAGAAATATATATTTTTTAAATTATTCATTGTCCCAACTCTTGCTTCAGCATTACATTCGTTATCAGTGAATCACCTTTGCATTAGCTTCCTCAAAGGAGAAACACACGTCACCAACTTGAGTCAACCAGTTAGAAAAATAATCGTCAGGATCCAAGATTATTTCCAAACATTCTTCACACGAACACCGAGTTCGCCAATCACACCAGAGATATCTTCCTTCAGAATCCTTTGGTGGAGCTGGAATCTGAGGTTTGCAACACCCTCGACACACAAGTCGGTGGTTGAACTCTGCATATTTATGTTCCCACGGGATGAAATCTGTACTTTTAAAGTTTATTGTAGGATTCTTGACCTGATGACACAAGATTAAAAAATTAAAAAGTAGCAGAATACTGAAATAACTGTCAAATATTCATACTACTTTGTAAACTTCTCACCTTCCACATACAAATTTTGCATACACACTGACTTTTGCGTTTGCAGTCCTTTATCAGTTTAAATCGGAGTAGCCACACATATTTGTTGAAATAAAAATCACTGGGGCGCAATGGGTAAGGTAAACAACCCATTGTACATTTTTTTATGGGAAACATTCCTTGATCATTCACACACTGTGGACATAACATGACATCTAACAAAGTCTCAAAAGTCTTGTTTGGTCTAATACCACTCATGATGTGAATTAGTTTACTACCGCAGTCTTTTCACGTGGTGTGTCATTATTATGAATAATTATTACCACGAAGCATTCCTGGTGGTGTTGTGGGAATAGTTTTAAAATTTTCTCCAGTCCAAAATTAAACGTTGTCGCTTCTGTGAGTAAGACAGGCTCCACTGTATTCATTTCCACTCGTGCCACGTGTTCTGGGAGATTTGTAGATAAGCGTTCAGTAGTAGTAGTCGTCGTGGTAGTAACCAAGGGGGAGAAAGTAGGGGGAGGTTGTTGTGTGACTGATGACGTTGGTAACAGTTGTGTCAGTAGTGTTGCTAGTGTGGGGCTGGGAGAAAGTGCGGAAGTCGACCGGTTGTGGGAAAGTTTTGGTGAGTCAATCGTTGTGTTAGTAGTCAACCCTGTATAGAATTTAAATCAGATCGTCTAATCTATTTAATCAAATCTCGACTTTATTCATCACGAACCATTCTCATGCAGAAGTCTGGGACACGTGTAGTAGTCGTGATTGCGTGCCCGCTTTCTCCGGAATAATTAGTAAAAGGCCGCTGAGTTGGAATGGTTGGTGGAGTTGTCAATATTTTTGGCGAGGGGGAAAGTGATGATTTTGATCGAGGTACTGTTAAATTGTAGGAAAATTTAGGTGGTGGTTGTGGGGTGTAGGTTGGTTGGCCTGGTGCCGAGATTGGTTGTACCGGAAGTCGAACAGAAGAAAGTGGTGGTGGTGCTACCGTTGATAAGAACCCCTTGTCTGAATAATAGAATAATATTACACAGTGTTCCTGAAATCCCAGTACTTCCATAAACTAACCATGATTTTTCTGCACACTCTTTCCGTCGGTTGGTGTTTTTGCTGGGTAGTGCGGTGGTGTTATCACTGAATCTATCAATAAAATAGAAAACTAGTGAATTTATAAACATCACTCGTTTTCATTTTCATTGATACAGTTTCTTACCAACTGGGCATTGACTCATGCGAGTGAAGACACGTGTCACTCGAGTCGTGTGAGTATCATAGGGCGGATATGTATGTACTTAAATTCCTCAAAATATGTATGTAATATGTACTTAAAAAACGCGAAAATATGCACGTAAAACATATTTTTCAACCGAAATTTTCTACTATATTTGCATTTAATTTTCTAAAAGTTTCAAATTTGTAACACTCTTATTAATGAATTATTATGTATTGTATTTTAATATTCATGTAATGACCCGTAACACGACATTAGCCATATTTAGAGATTTTCAGGGGCAATTTTATGACTTGAAAAATGGGGCAAAATGGATTTTCTAGTCGTTTACACGAATTAAACTCCGTTATCATGAAAGTATAATTTTTATCCAACTTTAACGTCTGAATGAAGAAAAATATTTTTTCCTCAGGAAATCCTGAAATATGCATTAAAATGTTTATTTTTAGAAAATGCTCGAAATATGTAGGAAAATATGCGTATTTACGAAAAAACCTCAAAATATGTATGAAAATATGTATATGTACGAAAACCCTAAAATATGTAAAATATGGAAAACCATGTTTGAATTTTTGAAATCATGCTTCGATAGGATGTGTGTATACGAAGTTATAGTAAGATCTGATTGGGAATGAAAAAGTTAGAAATACATACATATCCGCCCTCTGGTGAGTATCGTTGGCTGGTTTGCAAACAAATTTATTTCCATGACCAACAAAGTGGCAGCCGTTTTTGATACAAGTTTTACAGTTATCAATAACGGCACAGGACTGTGCACACGGTAGAAATAAAATTACAAACAATGTCACCTTCATTTTACTTTAAATTGGAAAAATGGGGAAATTGAGAGGCGGATGAGGGTGACTGATATGTGTCGTGTGAGAAGAATGAAATAAGAATGCAAAGTTGAGAATAATTTTCTCCAGCATGTTAAAAAAGAGAGCAAAAGATTCGCAAATTCCTATCTGCATAACACTGGTTGCTAAAAGTTGCTTATGTAAACATTGATCTGTAATTTAATACTAATTGTCTTGTTTTTGTTCAGCGAAAGAAGTTCGCATCATTTCTCAATCTTCTCAATATTAGATTACCGATTCCAGTATTTACATAAGTCACCACTCACATCTCCATGAGAAAAGTATGCATAACTATGTAGGAATAAATATTCCCCATCTTTCATTTCTAACAATCCCGTTCACACTATAATTAACCCTGATAAGAGTTTGTCGTTTCTCTAGTATTTTTATAGCTCGGTTCGACTGAAAACCTTACAATACCAAGATACTCCGACATCCCCTTTTACCTCTCCACTCACTTAAAATTAATAATGGTAAGCAGTTGCAAGCGTTAATCAATTGGTAGCAGTAATATTAAAACGAATTTACCTTTTTATTTGACCCAGCCATGATATCCAAGATTTATGTAAGAACAAGGTTGCACTTTTTATTCACTTTTTTGAAAGAATTGTTCAAGTTTTTGTCAACTATAACGAGTATTGTTCGCTTTTTAGACAATATTTTTCACGTATTGAAAAATATGTCGAGTTTTGACCACTTTTTCTGCAAGTTTTTTGTCACGTATTAAAAGATTTTCAAGTTTTGAACACTTTTTTCTAGTAGTTTTTGTCACGTATTAAAAGAATTTCGAGTTTTGACCACTTTTTCTGCAAGTTTTTTGTCACGTATTAAAAGAATTTCAAGTTTTGAGCAGTTTTTTCTTCAAATTTTTTCACATATTGACACCCGTTTCAAGTATTTTGAGTATTGATCACCTTTTTGCACGAGTTTTTGTCTATTAAAACTATTTAAGAGTCACCAATTAACTAAGAAAGTAGTCCACTTTACAAATAAACACCACAAGACTGCAAGCTGCACAATATTTTATGATTTTTTCCGTTAAAAAACCAAGCGTCACAAAATGTGAGGGAAAAACGTGGTCTTTTACCGGTTACCTTTCTCTTTTTTATTTTTACACAAAAGCAGGTAACCCCGTGCGCGAATTTCATAAGTTGATGAAGATGAGATTTCACCGGGTGACTTTTTCGGGATATTTTTTCATCACTCATCCTTTTCACTATCAACGATTTGACCACGACTGGGTGTGTGTACAATTTGTTTTTAAATTATTACACAAGTTCATACATACATATTTATTATTATTATCGTGGTCGTATTATTATTTGTGGTGGTGGTGACTCGACCAGTAATCTGTCGTCGTGGTCATCGTCGTGGTCGTGGTCATCTTGCATTGAGAAACTCGATTCACTGAACTCACTGTTCACTGAATTCACTGTGTCTGAGAATTCAGAATCCTCATTTGTACAACTCTGTCGACTCTCTTCCTGTGAACCATTGTCACTAATGTTAATACAAAAGTTAAAGTATTTCTCTAGTTCGTTGTCATTTCGTTGAGGTTGAGTCTTTAATCTTCCTTGTCGTCGTCGTACTATTATTATTTGTGGTGGTGGTGACTCGGACGGTAATCTGTCGTCGTGGTCGTCGTCGTCATATTATTTGTGGTGGTGGTTGTGGTATGGCTGTGGTGGTGTTTACAATTTTTTTGAAAATAATAATTAAATATTTGGCTGCTAGAAATTTAGTGAAAAGTAAACGTCCATCCCTGAATTACACAAAACTATGTGGAGTAGTATGTACATACATATTTATTATTGTTTTGGTGATGACTATGGTGGGAACAATTTTATTGATAATAATAATTTAAAAGACTGATTCCTGATTGACTCGTGAGTACCTGCATTACATATTTATTATTATTTGTCGTCGTTTTTATTGGTATTATTATTGTTTTCGTGATGGCTGGGTAGTGGTAGTGGCGGAGGAGGTTTTATTGTGACCACGACGACAGCGAGGGCGCTGGCGCGGCCCACGACATCGCCTCAGCCCGTGGCGTCGGTCCCAGCGACTAGGTAGCAGCGCCAGCGTCTTCGCCGCCATCAGTTTAGTCGGTGGTGATGGTGGTTTCGGCGGTGTGGTCCTCTGCGTTCTTATGCAGAGTTACAGTACCCGGGTTTTTACTGTTACTGCTAAATTGCGGTAGCAGTAAAAACCCGGGTACCGTAAGTGTCTACTTACCAGACCAGACTCTACTTACGATGATACTATTGGTCGCACGAAGTGTTTGAGTGAGGGTTACACGCACGGCACGACACGGCTCGCGTCGGCGCACGCACGACACGATGCACGATCGTGTCGTGCGTGTTCGTGTTAACACCAAAAAGTCGTGCGCACGGCTCATCTCTGGTGCTATATAATAATGAACAATGGAGGTCTCGCAGCGTATGGTCTCCGATTTTGGCCAAATTTGTGCTGACTGCTGATCGACGAAAAATATAACGTTTTCTGCAAGTTTCCTGTTCTTCGTATGCGAAATATCTCCGCCAAACCTAAACCTCGGAAGAGTGCATTTCGCAAACATGGTATAAATTAAACTTGTGCCAACCTTGAAATTAATTTGGTTAAAAATCTGAGAGCAGATGCTGAGAGACCTCTATTCTTAAGTCATTATCAAATTGTAATCGTTTTAAAAAATTATGTCGTGTGATTAATCAATTTGAATTTTGAGTTAAAACTCATTTTTATCTGTAAATATACAGAAAGATGGATGGTGAACTATGATCCGATGAAATTACTCCCTGGAGTATGGCTGGATTATGCAAACGTTCTTGCAATTACGTTATTTGGTCTATTTCCCCTCTCGAATACAATGTACTCTCTGTTATTTCCGGAAACTCCAATATTTTTCTTTTTCCATAGGAAATAGGAAATGGTTAAATAGGTCCTGCTCATCATGCTGTCAATACTGGCACAATGCATCTGGTTCATTGGTTTAGAGGTCACGGGAAGGATTGACTTGTATGGGAAAAGAGTTTTAAGATCGTGGAAATATATTGAGCACCAGAACAACGACGACAGAAAGTACATGAACAAGTTTAGAAAGGGATGTCGCCCACTCGCTTGGGGAGTCGAGGGTGTTTGGGTAGTGAAAAGATTGTCTGTTCTTAAGTTCTTGATGGCTGTGGTAAAAGGAACTTTTAGAGCGATACTGGCCCTCAAAACACAGTAGTTAATCCAAAAATAAGTGTAAACTTGTATACGAGGTTAATATATTAAATAGGTAGATACATACATATGTAATGAACATAGCATAAACAAAAATAAATACTAGTCAAGTTGGCCAGCGAATTGCTTTCGAATTCTGAAATGGCTAACCCAAAGTTTTTGCCGAATCGATGGAATTAGCTGAGATATTCATTAATATCAACGCAGTTTATCTTTTCCCATCCCGCGCTGGTATCCTTCCCATATTATTAATATGGTAGGGAAACGAACGCGGTTGCCAAATTTTGGGCAAAGTAAAACTGCCTTGATATTACACGCTTGCAATCTTGGTCGAACCGGGGCATGTTGGGTTCGAGCGAGATGACGTACATATGACCTAGGTATGTAAACCCAGTATACTCCGGTTCAACCAAAATTATAAGCCTCATCCATTATGCCAGATCTTGGGTTTGATCATCGATGCATACTTAATGATTTTTAAAGCCAGGTAGGTATGTAGTTAGAGTACATCCATAAGTAAGTGTATACTACTTTCTTATTTACGTACATAAGTCGTTACTCGTTGTGATAAATAATTATAAACCAGTGTTATTAACAAACTGATGGAACCGCTTATAATAGTGCTAAATAAGTCATTAATTTTGGCTGAGCATATTCCAGCGTCATGGAAAATTTTGAAAGAACATATATACCAATCTTACTAATACAGGTTTTGCATATTTAATGCTTTTAAATAATTGCTTTTTTACTGGACAGTTGAGAATCCAATCATGGAATATTCTTAATGTTTAAGTTAAACCTGAGTGAAAGAGATTAATTATTTATGGTTAGTGAGACATAAATAATAAGCTTTGGGTTAAAGAACTACCGAGGCATGCATAAAATAAAACTCTAGTGACATATTTGCCTTGCTATAAAGGACAAACGAAACCAGTTCGGCAAACCTTTAACCTTGCAAACATGTTCACCGAGATAATATTTCTTATATTTCTCATAATGGCAATGGCCAAATGTGAAAAAGATTCCATATCAGTTGTCCAGACTTATATAGCTCACTTTTTGGAAAATATAACAAATTGCGATCTACAAATTGTTCATGATGGATCGGATTTCGGGAATCAAAATATTCCCGTGAAAGTCATACGGGTATATTCATTAAGGTTGCCGCGGGTACCGGGTAGGTACCCGGCTACCCTGCTACCCGGCCAATTTATCTAAAAAAGCAGGGTATCCGGCTGAGCCGGGTATTGAGAATTACCCGCCCAGGTAGTTTTATTTTCCCATCTTTCGTTTTCTGGGGCATACTGTGACAGATTTTGGTGCGGTTTCTTCATTCGACTCAATAATTCAGTCCTGTGCACACCTGCTCGAATTGTTTCATGGATATAAATTTACAAATTCTATCTAATAATTAATAAACTCATGCTAACCTAACACTAAAAATCTCCAAAAATGTCGTCCTCACACGAGGTACCTTCGCCTTCAAGCTCCCAGGACGAAGTCAATTCAAACTCCCTTGGTGGCGAGCAGAATCAACAAGCCGGTTTGTTAAGTCTGCTGAGATCAGGAGAAAAAACGAGAGCTTCGGCGTTAAAACAAGAAGCACAAAAAGGTAACTATTTTAGCCATTTTGCTAATAAATTCGCTTTATTTCAGGAATCAAAAGAATAATTTCTATTCTAGGAACGAGACGGACAAGTGGGGCTTGGCTGTGGTTTAAAGATCATTCAACCAACCCATCTAAAGCGGTCTGCACTGTTTGTAATGGTGAGATAGCTTGTGGCATTGGAAAAAGCCGTAGCACTTCATCTCTAAAAAAACATTTAGAGGCCAAGCATCCTACTCACTATCAGCAGGCGTATTCAAATGATCCTGATGCGGTCGCCGTTTCAAGTGACGACGACAATTACGGCTCCACGACTCCAAAGAAAATGCGACTAACCCAGCCAACCCTAATCGAGAGTCTTGAATCTAAAAAGAAATGGAAAATCGATGATTTAGGGGCACAGAGTCTACATTACACATTAGGAGAGATGATAGCCGTTTATGTCCTACCGTACAGCTTTGTAGAGAAAATTGGATTCAGGAGATTATTAGCGGCTATGAAACCGCAATATCCGGTATGCTGATTCTAAATACACTCAATAAAAACGCCGGCGTGTTAAATTAATAAATAGATGATCCTTAACTAAACTTGTTTCAGGTCCCAGGGCGAACTTACATGACGGATACAATTATTCCCAAAATTTATGAAAGGACACGGAAAAAAATTTGGAGTCAAGTACAGGACGCTACCTGGATTTCGTTCACCAGTGACATTTGGACAAGCGAGCATAATAACTTTGGATTTATAAGTTTCACTGGGCATTTGATTGACGAGATATTTAAACATCGCCATGCTGTTCTTCAATGTAAACATTTTTCCGGTGAGCACAGCGGTCAGAAGATTTCTGAAGTGATACTTGATATGCTAAAAAGTTGGGATATTCCTACAAACAAAGTTCACACGTTAGTCCGGTAAGATCTTATTTTAATAAAAGAAACGCAAAAGCAACAAGCCGGATTGTTTTTTATGAATCTTTTCCTAAATAGCTCATTATATTTCAATTTCAGTGACAATGGTGCCAATATAGTCAAAGGTTTAAATGATGCTAATCTGAGCAACATCGGATGCTTCGCCCACACAATTCAGCTAGCATTCCATGATTCAGTCAAAGCAGTGAGCGTCAAAAATTTAATTGCGAAATCTCGGAAAATAGTCGCAAAGTTTACTCAGTCCCAGAAGAACTCAACCCTTCTCCTTAAAAAGCAGAAAGATATGGGCCTGACACCAAAGAAACTGATCCAAGATGTCGCGACAAGGTGGAACAGCACGTTCTATATGCTTGAAAGGCTTCAGGATCTAAAGGCAATCATAGCAAGTTTATCAACTGAAATTGATTTTGACAATTTGACCACAAATGAGTGGACACTTCTACCAGGCGTGATCGCTATTCTGAAGCCCTTGGAAGAAATTACGAAGCTTGTCAGCTTTAACTCTAGTATCGTATCTGAAGTGATACCAAATGTGGAAGCCCTCTTACGATACTTCAAAAAAACTGAAGGTCTAGATGCCGGATTGAAGACTTTGAAAAAAGAGTTTCTAAAGAATGTTGAAAAACGATTCGAGAAACTACCCGATGTGGATGAATATGCATTTGCAACTTGTCTAGACCCGCGGTATAAACAAATGTTCTTCTCTGACAACACTCGAGACCTGGTGAAGGCTAGATTACAGAATTTTATCCTACAAGAAGAGATGGGCATCCCTGACCCTGCCTCTCCCCTCGAACCTCAACGGCTTGTTTACATCTGAACCCGAACTCCCCCTTGTCAATTAGAAGGTCCTTTAACGTTAGCGGACCAGTTGCATGTCTCCTTCTGGAACTGTTACGATGAAGCCATTAAGCAATCTATGGAAATTTCGGAGGTGTCAGAAGAAAATATTGAAGCCGCTGCAGTTAAACGGACCTCAATTGTCGCCGAAATTAATTCGTATTGGAAAGCAGATCCAATTCCTATAAAAAGCAAGACTCTTACTTTGACGGATACTGGATTGAATGATCCCTTAAAATGGTGGAAGACTAACAAGGACAAATTTCCGACGCTTCAAAAATATGCAAAAAAGTTCTTATCAGCCCCTGCCACCAGCGTCTACAGCGAAAGGATGTTCTCTGAAGCTGGACAGATCTATGATAACCTCCGAACGCAGCTGACTCCTAATCATGCAGAAACCCTACTTTTCTTAAAACACAATCTGCCAATAATCAACTATCAGTACTAAAGCGTTTCCTTAAATCTATAATAATGTGGTAAATGTTTGGCTTTCTTTATAGAAGAAATTGCAGCTCTTAATAGTAAACTAGTTTATAATTTTATTAATTTACACTAACTAAAAACATGCCGGTATGTTCCTATTTTTGATGGACGTTTATTTAAAAAAAATAATCTTCACATTATTTTCTTAATGTCGTGAATGAATGTGCTGAATAAATTGATTATTTGTTACATAACATAATGACCAGGATTTACCATACATTTTAAGTCAAAACTATATAGTTCTTCCATTCCATATTGAAAAGCCGGGGCGGGTACCCTGCCGGGTAACCCAGCAGGGTACCCGCCGGGTCCGGGTAATTGGTAAATATTGGCCGGGTAGTACCCGGCCGGGTAGTGCAACTACCCGCGGCAACCTTAATATTCATACACGAGTTTGAAACCATAGGATTGATCATCTTCAGCTATAAATGTCTTATCTTCCCGAAGCCAGCAACATAAACTGAGTTTCCTTCTGTTAAAAGTACTGACTGGAACAAAATTTGTAAGCGATTTAGAAAAATGTTTCCCTCAAGGAGCTTGGATTGAAACCACGGTAGGCTACCATTTGTTCCATCTGGTAAGGGATGGCGAGAGAAACTCGAACAATTTGCTTAGCGACCAGACATGGCGACGGTTTTACCAATATTGCGACCACATGGTTGTAATTGTTATCACAACAAAGCAGGAGGTAGAATTGATTCGTTTCGTGCCGCCTTTGGTACTACCTAGAGATGTGCATAGGGTAGGGTTTACCCTTAAAAAACCCTACCCTGCCCTACCCTATAGGGCTTTGGGCGGGCGGGCTTTCATTATCACTACTTTTTAAGGGTAGGGTAGGGTAGGGCTTTTTTAAGTAGGGCATAGGGCCGGGCGGGCTTTTTTGCATGTACATAAATAGGCTGTCGGGCAGGGTAGGACTTTTTCTTTTTGTTTTTAAAAATAAAAAAATAGCGTAGTCAGTCATAGAGTGGGGCATCAGAAATGAGACGCGAGATTTGAAGTTAAATATTTTTCTTCCTTTGCATTTTTACTGCATATTTCACATTATCCGAATGATGTTCACTTATTTAACGTTTTGATGGGATTTCTCTTTAAAAATAAATAAATAATTTAAACTTCGCAAAGCTCAAAAGTCGCTGAGTTACTAATAATTCTCAATCTACATTGTGGCTCAATGCAATCTAAGGTAATTGGGGCGCCCCATACAGTTAATTTAATCACCAGCTGACATTTTTCGAACTTTTTTAGGATGTCGAATCAAAATATTGATTTTCCCATGAATGGGAAAATGAAGTGGAAAATACAGACAGCACACCATCCACCGAAACAGACATCGCCATCTTTAAAGTCGTGGATCCAGTGCTTGTAAAATCTGATATTGAAAAACTGATATCAAATAATAGTAAAAGAATTACATTTCATAAAAAATTAAAATCACAATCTTCTAAGTCAGATGTGTGGAATACTTTTGAGCAAGTTCTCGTGGACAACAAGCACACAGATGTAGTTCGATGTGTGTCATGTAAAAAATGCTTGACATACAGGCTAAAGGACGGGACGACGGCTCTTTCAAGACACCAAAATTCTGCATGCAGCGCTGCACCAAAATCGTCCAAAAGCTCAAGTAATAACCAGACGACATTAAATTTTGGTTTAAAAAACGTTCCATCGGGGGCAGTTGCAGCATTGAATGAAGACGTGGTGATAGGGTTGGCTCAAGACCTTCGTCCACTAAATTCAGTAGGTTCTAGAGGATTTCTAAAAATAGCAAAATCATTGATACATTTTGGCGCAATGTATGGAGATCAAGATCCAAAATCAATATTGAAGCATAGAACTACTTTAAAAAGAGAATTTCTTCCTAAACTAGTTGATGCGAAGCGAAATGATATTTCAATGCTAGTTGGTGCGGCACCGCAATTTCCATTCTTTGCTTTTACATCAGATATGTGGAGCGACAAATATCGACAGCGAAGCTTTCTATCACTGTCAATTCATTACATCAACAATAATTGGAAGCTGACATCGCATATGTTGGGGGTTGACGAATTTACTGAAGATCATAAAACAACGATTAACATCCGACAACAATGTCGTCAAATTTTATCTAAGTTTTTTGGCAACAACGTCGACGACGTTATGACAAACTCTTGGATTGTCACAGATTCCGGTTCTAATATGCTGCATATTTTTTTAAAAAAGAGAGCCATGTCTTTGTCATCGTCTAAATACGTGTGTGGAGTGGATGTTCAATAAAAAACCCACGCCAACAGCTACACAAGTAGCTAATGCCGAAAAGAATGGCCGAGAAATTCATCCCAAAAAATTTTTTTCGTTCAAGGAAAGTTGTCCGCGATTCCACGTACGCATTTTTATCAAAACTTGTCATTTGGAGTGTTAGAATAATCTACAATTTCAGTTTTATTTTAGGGCGCCCTAGTGTCAATTAAAGATGTGGTAACCTACTTCAAGCAGTCTTCGCTGAACTCCAAACTAACATCCACACTTAAGCAAGAAGTTGCCACTAGATGGAATAGAGAGTTAATTATGTTGGAGTCATATCTAAAGGCAGCTAGCGAAGTACAAAATTTACTTCTACAGAACGGGAAAATAAACAAGTTAAGCACCATCGACAACGAAAGTGTTAAAGAATTAGTGGATTTCTTAGGGCCGTTTGAAGAGTGCACAAAGGTTTTCAGCCAGGATAGTCAGCCAACTCTATATCAAATTGCACCCTGGTTCCATAAGCTACATCAACACTTGGAGATAAACGAGGATGATTCGGATGAATTGAAACTGCTCAAAGGACAGGCTATGATTTGTTTTGCTGAATACTGTAAAACCTCTACTATGCACTATGTTGCAGCTTTATTGAACCCAAAGTAAGCCATCAAATGTAGCATAACATACAGTGGGGCGCCCCAATAATATGTCCGATTTTGTAAAGGTTTCGCAAACTTAAATTCGCGTCTGAAGAAAAAAAAGCGGAAGCCCGGAAGGAAATGAAGCAACTCATAATGGGAGAAATCGAGAAAGAAAGAGATCAGGCTGGCAAAGACGCAGGTCATTCTGAGAAACCAAGACCTACTGACCCCGGACCAGAAGCAAAAAAGTCTCGGTTCGCGGATATAGAAGACTCTGATACGGAAGAAAACAGTACTGAAATTGGGTTAGCTAGTAGCAGTGACCTAGCTATAGCTGAGATGAACAAGTATCTTGACGCTAAGCTTACGGAGTTAAATATTGATTCCTTTCTTATCAGTGGTAAGATATTTGGCAAAATCCATTTGAACTTATTCTTAACAAATATTCTTATATTCTTATATTCTTTTTCGTTTTTAAGAAATTAGCGACAAGGAAAAAGAATCTCAAGTCCACTTTGACATTCTCGGATTTTGGTGTGGCGCCACAAAGTTTCCTCATTTGCAGAAAATTGCCCAAAGACTGCTTGCAATTCCTGCGTCACAATCTACAGATGAACGAGTATTTCCAAGCACATGGGCAACAAGTACGCCAAGAAGGACGTTGTTGTCGGCTGGAACCTTATCAGAATTAACTTTCATTCACAAAAATTATTGAACCATTCTTGTCAAATGCTTTAATGTCACTTTCAAATTTTATTGATATTAAATATTTCAGTTGTTATATAATATATATCATTGCATTAAACGATTTATATAAATAATCATTAAATAGGGCCTGGGCCCGAAGCCCTATAGGGTAGGGTAGGGCTTTTATTGGTTAAAAAAATCTAGGGTAGGGCTTGGGCGGGCTTTATTTTTTCCGGGTAGGGCAGGCCCGGTTTTCGATTATACCCTACCCTATAGGGCAGGGTAGGGTAGGGCTTTTTCAAGTAGGGTATTGGGTAGGGCGGGCTTTGAAAAATGTCGGCCCTGCACATCTCTAGTACTACCTCAACTTTACAATATGTACACCCTTATAATATCATACCTTACGAACGACAACCATACGAAGGAGATTTGTGGAATGCAAATACTTCCTCAAAGCGCAAGGTGGGCAGACTGCCGCAAAATTAGTGGAACAGTCGATTAGATGTCGTCGATACATGGTCAAATCTATGGAACTTTGCTAGTCAGGGGATGTCGCGGTGGAGCAATGTTTCTCCATCACGAACAAATGCAAATAAACCAATAAATCCATTTGATCGTAAAGAACACTACACTATGGAGGACTGGACAGATTTGGCAATATCAATAGCGAACGTGACAGTGAAGCACACTATTGCAGGATTCCACGAACTACAAATTCCCCAGTTACAATTTGGTTACAAGCTGGGAAGCGAAGGCTTTCTTTCCTCATATAAATATGGATTTGTTCACCATATAAAGCCATTTGTTCCAGTAATTACCAGAACTACCGGACTGCAGTATGTAACATGCTACCGGGAACGTTACCGGACATTCGAAATTTATATTGCCCCATTTCAACCCGAACTGTGGTTGTCATTATTGACGACGTTGTTACTTGTGATTGCTTTGGCATCTATTTATAAATATTTCACAAATACATCATTTTGTGCGTGGATGTTCATATTGGCTACACTATTCGAAGAGACGGGACACGTCCCCCAAAAATTGAACAAGATAAGCATATCTGTCTAACCTTTGGATTTTGGTGTTTAATGTCCGTTATTTTGACAAACTGTTACAATGGTTTAATGATTACTGAACTCAATGCTCCACTTCCATGGTTTGAACCTAAGACATTCAATGATCTAGTTTGCAGTAAACTATCTCTTAATGAAACAGACATTTTATATACTACGATAAAAAGTATGAAGGGTTTAGGACACAAAAATTCCAAGAGTAGCCATTCCCAAATAAACTGGTATTTAACGTGGTTACTTAAACCTGTATTGAATGAAAAGGACAATTAATACAAACATGTAAACTGCTTCAACCTTTATTCTAACCCTACAAATATACCGTTTGCAATGTTCAGTGATGCTTACCCCGAATTCCTTGGCTAACTATATCGTACAGCGTTCATTTTTGATAATTCGAATTGGCTTGAAAGCTCGTATCTTAGGAAACACATCAATCTTGCACTAAACTTATTTCTACCAATACATTCACACCACCCTAGAAATTTCAATTTCACAAGAAATACAACCATAAACGATACACGCATACAAATAGAACAAGAACTCGTTGAATGTGGTAACACCGTGTTCATAGCAAGTTCTGATTACATCGAAGCGGAGTATCAATTCCTCACGAAGAACTACCCATGGCATAAATTTTACAAAGGCAAAGAAGTATTGCGTGAATGCGCGTATGGAGTGGTCTTTAGGTCTGCGGGAAACTCTAAATTACCATCTTACTATAGATCTCTGGTTGAGACTGGTATTCAAGGGCGTGTCGAGGAGGAATTGAACAGCCGGCTGAATCTGTTTCGGGATCCCGGGGCCCCTGAATATATAAACAAATATGCAGACGTTGAATTTGGCGATGCTATTGGATTTGACTGACAAGGGAACCTTACGTACTGTCACCTCTCGATTTCCTTTGGAATAGCCTTATTCGACAGATAATTTAGTGAAACTAAAACTTTGTCATAGAACATGCGGTGCAAAATCGCGTTTTCGCGAAATATTTGGCGAGAGCTGCACCAAAACCTGCCATTTGCCCAATGCTTTTAACATAGCCACCAGCCTTTCGAATGATGAAATGAACTTTATAGAATCTCAATAAATTATATTTGTACCTGTCCGCGTAATTTCAGCCCGATCACGAATATGCAAAAAATGATGCGAAGATTCGCAAATTTTTTGCACATTGCAAAAATGCAAATATCCGCAAATTTGAATTTCTTCGTTTTTTTTAAATTCAACAAATTTATCAGTTTAACTGATATAAAGTATACTTTTCTGATTGCCAAAAAATTACAAAAATTTGCAAAAGATTGAAGTTTACAATTTTTAAATTCTGCTTTTTATAGAAACTTAAGAATTATCATATATGCTGGTATGAGCGAATAAAAAAAGCTAATTTGTTGAACAATTAAAACATGCTAACATTGCAAAAAATTCTACATATTGAACTATAAAATTGCACCAAGTTTTTGCAACTTGTAAAAATAAATACCACAAATAATTACGAAAACCACGTAAAAATAGATTATTTAATTTATTTTCATGAAAAATTGCGAAGTTCAATTTTTTGAAAATGTGTGCAAATTTTTTGCAATGACAAAAGTATATTTTATATCAGTTAAACTGATCAATTTGTTGAATTAAAAAAACGAAGAAATTCAAATTTGCGGATATTTTTATATTTTCGCAATTTGCAAAAAATTTGCGAATCTTTGCATCATTTTTTGCATATTCGTGATCTGGCTGAAATTACGCGGACGGGTACAAATATAATTTATTGAGATTCTATAAAGTTCATTTCATCATTCGAAAGGCTGGTGGCTATGTTAAAAGCTTTGGGCAAATGGCAGGTTTTGGTGCAGCTCTCGCCAAATATTTCGCGAAAATGCGATTTTGCACCGCATGTTCTATGACAAAGTTTTTGTTTCACTAAATTATCTGTCGATTAAGGCTATTCCGAAGGAAATCGAGAGGTGACAGTACTTAAGGTTCCCTTGTGAGCCTTTTCGACATTTTTCATAGTTTGGGGTGCCGCTGTTGCTGTTAGTTTACTTGCATATACGTCTGAAGTGCGTCAAGCTATTTATAGTGGAATTATTTTCATATTTTGTTATGCGCATATTAAGTTTAATTGGTACTGGAATTCAATAACTTTGTGGACAAGTAAGTAATTATAATTAGAACTTGATTATCTACTTGCCTTCAATTGAGTCTTAAGTAATTAATTACCTAAGACAATTAATAACTCGTAAGTAAAGTTTGAAAGCTTATTGTACGAAAGCAATGATTTTAACGATCTTGAAATTTGAGTTGCTGGAATATACATTCATTATCATTTTCATTTTCAATGACAATTTTTTGGTACATTCATCTTTATTAGGGATTCCAATCCCGGAAGATTTTTTAAATCCCGGGAATCGGGAATCCCGGTTTTAGCCGTGCAAAATCCCTGGATTTTTTCCCGAAATTCACGCAGCACCCGATTAGGGAAGAAAGTCAAATTTGGGCATACAAATAGGTACATGACTTTAAAAAAGACAGCATATGCATATTCATAATACTGATGGACCTATGTACTTATGTTTTTTCGGGATCTATGCATCCATAATTATTACCAAAGGGCGCTTTTCCTGGTGGTGACGAATTTGTCGTTGAATAACCCCGGAACGGTTTGTCGTAGCGGGTCAAAATTTTTAACAGAGGAGCATATTATTCTCAGATAGTTGTGTGCAAAAATTCAACTATCTACTTTCAAAAATGCCTCCCCCACAGCCCCCAGAAGTTGAGACACGCATAAAAACTGTTTCCAAACTTAAATACTCGTACAGCCGAATAAAAAAACATCATAAAATTGAAGGGAAAACGGTTTCGAAATCTGGAATCAATAAGGTATTGAAAAATATAGGTGAAAAGCGAGAAATTCTAAGTAGAGGGCAACCACCACCCCCTAGAAGAAGGCAAAAAAAGTGTCAATTCCGACGGTGTTGAGGGAAATTGACCTATTGACCTCAAAAGATATTCCACCGACCCAAAAGGAAATTTCCCGTAAGGTTGGGGTCTCTAAGCGTTCAGTGGAACGAGAAATTACGATTTTGAAAAAACGACTTGGTCGGAAAACTCGTGTGCATCAGCTGGCCAAAAACCAGGAAAAAAATCGCGCCTGTGTTTACAAATAAAATTATTTGAATTTTCGGTCAAGGAATCACAGTGAGTTATTGGTGACATTTGACGAAGCACTAATTTCTCTACAAGTTACTAATTGGGTTCCAAGAGCTTACTACACGACAAATGCCGCAAACAATTCACGCAAGTTGGTGCTTCCGCGTAAGGAGAACTTTTTATAACAGTTTATGCTGATGGGTGCAATGTCAGGTCCTGGTATCCTCCCACTTATCAAAGTCCCTCAAAAAGTGAAGATATCTGCAAGGTATGATGTGGACCGTGTATTGAAACCACTTTTAGAATAACACTTTCCTAAATTGTACGGTAAAGAAATAAATAAGGTGATTTTTCATAATGACTCAGCGTCTTCCCAGACGGAAAAGTTGACTCAAGATTATGCAAAGGACCTTGAAGCTAGATTGGGGATAAAAATCATTTCGAATAGTGAAATACCTGTATAATCCCCTGATATAAGTCAAATGACCTTGTTTTGGTTCGGATACTGGAAAAGAAAATCCTTTCTGCGGAGACCGAATTTTTTAGACGGAGTTTGGAAAGAGTTGGAATGAGTGTCTCAACTTCTGGGGGCTGTGGGGGAGGCAATTTTGAAAGTAGGGAGTTGAATTTTTGCACACCTCTATCTGAGAATAACATGCTCTTCGGTTAAAAATTTTGACCCGCTACGACAAACCATTCCGGGGTTATTCAACGACAAATTCGTCACCACCAGCGAATGCGCCCTTTGGTATTATAAGGTATAGAATTTTCTGGCCTTCTCAAAATACATATGATAGCAGTACAAATTAGCGATTATATTGTTTTGCCTGCTATGGTAAATATAAAATTTCGGTGTAATGTGGTAGCCTAATTTTTCG